ACCTCACTGTTAAAAGCTCGTTTTAGTTTCAAGCATGTTTAAGTATTTATGGACATGAACAAAAACAGGAAATATATAAATTGAGATTTATTTAATTAATATAACAAATAAGGGGGAAAGAGTCATTGAAAGGCACATTCTTCCGGAAGCTCCTGATCCTGACGACACCAGAGACCAGCTGCAGACACCAGAGGATCACCTACAACCAAGAAAGCAGTTGTTATCAGTAAATAAATAATGAAATCAGGGCAGTTTTAGTGGGCTGAACACATTACAGAATAATTTTCTCATGGGGTAGTTTCATAACTTTCTATGCAGTAGATTGTAACTTGAGCCCAGGGTTCCTGGAGAGCTGCTATCCAGCACGTTTCAGTGGTTTTCCTGCTTTATCAGGTTAGATTAGCTGTTAAGCAGCTCAGCTATTCTTTACTGATTAAAACCAGGTGTGTTGAAGCAGATAAATCTAAAACATGCTAAATACTAGCTCTCTAGGGCCGTGGAGATAATCTGATGCTATGGCTAACAGCTACTTACCATTCAGAGCTGGTTCTGTTGGGTCGGTTCCGCTAGTTTCAGGCAACTCACAAGCTCAAAACAATAAGGCTCAGGTCCGCTTGTCTCCTCCAAATGGACTTGGTCCCTTTCTTCTCGAGTGTCTGGGTAAGGAGGGGGAGAAACGTCCTCCACTTCTAATAACTGCTCAGAGTGAAGGGAGCTAGCATCGTCTAGTTAGCCATCGTCTTCGCCACTGCCGCGGCTCCGCCCTCTCGGTCCTCCAGGCAGCGCCTACTAATGTTGCAGTTTTTAAAATTGATACGTGGGTGGAGAAGGACTCTGAGGGGGGCATTACCACTACTTTAAAAGTTCTACCGTCCGGCCCGCAAGGCATCTTGGGAAATGTAAACCACTGAAGGATACACCGGACCCATCCTTCATTCAGGCGAAAAGAAGGCCGGATTCGTCGACCGCATTTGAAGGAGTCTTTGAATTGGGACAAGCCTAGTCGCGGCGCTGTGACGTAACCGGCTGACGAAGGATGCAGATCCTGAATTGAGACACAGCCAGTATAAACTTGAAAACTGTTAGGTTAAGGATTTTTTGTGATACATGAACGTTATTTTAGTTTGAAATGTTACAGTAAAAGTGCTTGTATTGCAGTCTCGGCTCGTATGTGCGGCCGCTCGGTGTTGCACTTCTCCCGCTACATTTCCCCCTGATTTTAATAGAAGTTTGTATTTTAGGGACAAAATAGAAAACCAGGGAATTTATTAAGCTTAGTTAAGTTTCGTTTGAGTTTAGTTGTTTCTGTGAAAATATGAAAGGAATAACCCGTTGTCCTCTTCTATCTTTTCTCTTCCTGTTTCTTTTCTTACATGTTAGGACTATTCTGGAGAAAATGGCCATCCAGGGAAAGGTGACCCCCATCCAGTAAAAAAAAAAAGGGATAATTTAAAGAAAAAATATAAAGTATGTAGATGTGTGTGGAAAAATATAACATGTATACATGCTGAATCTAAAAAGGTTAAACAGGTTTGTAGTTATTTGTGTAAACTGACTTTTTTTTTTAATCTAGGATTGCAAGTATCCAGGGTCAGGAGAGGGGGTTAGTGGGAAGCCCACTGCTGCTACTTGGCCCTGGTTTGACCTCATGGATGAGGTACTAGGACAGAGACCCTCAACCAGTCCGCCTGTCCTAACTGCCTCTATCCGTGAGGACACTCCAGGGCCAAGTACAGCAGTGGAGGAAAGGGAGGAGAGTGAGGATGAAGATGCTCAGCCAGGAGGAAGTCAGCCAGGTGGAAGAAAAGGGAGAAGGTGACAGCGATGACCAGCTTCTGGAGCTGATCAGGGAGGACTTGAAGCTGCAGAGGGAGGCAGAGCAGCAGAGGGCACAGGAGAGAAGGGAGAATTTTGGCAGGCTTTTTAGTTTGCTCGAAAAAATGATTAATAAAGATTAAACGTATATATAATAAAAATATCTATATAAAATCAGTCCCGTATTAACCTGTTGAATTTTATTTTTGTTTACAAATGTGAATTGTTTAATATTACAGGGTATCCGCTGGGTCTTGAAAAGCCTTAGGACGTACTAACTGCTACAGATGTCAGTCAGAGGGGCCATCCACCATACAGTGTTGAAGGAGACAAAACACATCCTTTCCAAAACAAAGGAGTTATGTACCTCTATCTGTCCTTGACCCAAGTCTGAATAGTCCAATGCCGCCAATTCTGTTGTGTTGCTCCATTGCATCATCCCGCCCATCACACCAATAGGAGCTCTGTGGTTGGCAAGACACAAGACTGTTTGGACTGTGTTTAGCCGATTTCAGTTTTTGGTTTTTAATCATCTGAATTAATTGTAATAGAAAGAATGAAGGGAAATTTAAATAGATTAGTGTCTAGATGGTTTGTTTACCTGCTTGTTGGTCCAACATCCAGTTGTCAGACATTTAGGTAAAATGCTGAAAAGGGATGGAAGCATGGCTTTACACACATGATGGAAAAATACGAGACAGAGAAATCAGGTTTCCTACAAAAACAAGAAAGTTAATATTTGGACTCAAGGCCGTTAGATCAGTTTGCTCTGATGTGGGGAAGCGATCTGTGATAAGAGCTATTTGTGGTCAGAGAATGTTGCTGCTCTGCATTTCCATGACAACGATGTCAGCAGGTGATTGATGAATGGGTAAACACACCAGTCAGTATGTCTGCGCCTTCCAGCTGAAGCCTTCTAATGACGTAAAAGGATTCATTATCTTTAATAGAAATATAGTTTTTGCTTTGTGTGTGTGTGTGTAGTTTTCTGTCAGATTCTGTTGTCAACAGTCAGAGCTTTAGAACTTTTTTAGCCATTTGTATGTTTGGGACATGTACTTCATGCATATACGTAGTAAAAGTGTTTATTGAAAATGTAAAAATCTACGTTTACATGTATTTGAACCTTTTTAACTTCGATACAAAGAAAGAAATTATTTTATTATTAGCATTCTTGGCTCAGTTTTGGCAATAAGGATTATAAGATGTTGGTGTGGGGGTTAGAGGATCTAGGACAAGCTGGAGGGACTATTTGTTTCTTGGCTGGACTTATGCCCTGAGGAGCTGGCCCAAGTGGCTGGGGAGAGGAAAGTCTGGACCTCACAGCTTAGGCTCTGCCCCCGTGAGCCGACTCTGGATAAGTTGAGGATTCAAATGTCATAAATTGTAGAATAATAATGTACAAATGATGTACCTCATTTATAACCAGGGGTGAATCTGGTGAATGAAACCCTACATCACCCATATGTATGGAGTGCCCATGCACACCTGTACACCACATATCTGTGCCACTAATTATAAATTCTTTAAAAAAAAATTTTTTTTTACCATGTCCTGTCTGGCTGTGAAGCAAACAGAATTGATGTCTTAATGCTGATAACAAGCTTTACAGATTTACTCTCAGGTGGAGCATCAAAGCGTCTGCTTTTAATGTCACGCCTGATACTTAAAACTTTATTGTTATTGTTTTTTTGAATGTTTGTAATTCCGACCAGACACGGAGACAGAGGTGAAAGAGAAACGAAGGGGGGGTCCACAAAAGCAATCAATGATGAACAAGAGTGCTTCTAGACCTGCAGAAGGAGAAAAAAAGGGACACAATACATCAGGAGCAAGTTATCACCATGTCAACTTGATGAATAAATATAAAATCAACATTGTTTAACTGAACAATCACGATAATAAATCACAGTGCATTAAGTGCCAACCACAGCCTTAAGACCTGTGTTGAACGTGCCCAAGTCCATACTTATGAGAGCACCATGTGAGCACCTGTGTGTGTACACGCACTTGTTTATGTAAGGTTTCTCTATAGAAGCGTCCAACAGAGAGTGTGAGGGACCACAGACCTGCACCCTAACGATGCGTAGGAGATGGAAGCAGCTCCAAGTCCCACAGATCCAGGAGCTGCCCCAGAGTGGAATCAGAGGGACCCCAGGGAGACCGCGACCAGAAAAGCCCCTGCCCCCCCTCGAGAGGGGCAGAGGATCGCCCCGGGGGGCCACAACCAGCAGCCGGCAGAGTCCCAGGAGATATCGGCGCCAAGCCCACAGGCCCGCCCGCAGCCTCCCACCCCCAAGCCGGCCGAGCCCAGAACCCAGCGACCCAGGACCGACCCAACAGAGCCCAGGGACCTGGATCCCATTAATCAGGCAGACACTAAAAAGCTTAAACCCCCTGACCCGGGAGCCACGAACAATCAGGCAGACCAAGGCACCGCACTCCACTCCAGGTGTAGCAGGGAGGGGGAGACGAAGATCTATATCATCAAAAGAAGTCCCAGGAGAAGGGAGGAGTCAAAGGCCCCACCTGACATATACAGTCATACACAAACACAGTCACACACTCCCTCCCTCATGCTCACACATGCACATGCACCCAAAGACTTACAAAAATGCACGCCGGACACCCACTCATGCTCCCCATACACACCCTATTCACTCTGGTCCCGGTACTGCTGCATAAAGGGAACAACCATCACCAGTTCCCAGAGTTCGACCCTTTCTGCTGGGGTGCTGATGAGCAGGCTCCCCCACCCAATGCTGAGCAAAGCGACCCACCAACCCAGACCCCAACCAGACGGCAAGATCCCCCTCCTCACTTCTGAAGTCACACCCCCTCTGACAGGCACAATCCCTTACGCCTATTTAGTTATGAGACCCGCTTCTGTCCAGTTACACCACCTTTTGACATTTTAGTTTTCTTGTAAAATAAATCTGAAGTAAAATTCAAGTGGTGCTTTAATGTGCTCTAGAAATAAAGAGTAAAGCACAATCTTACTTAAATAGAGCTTAAATGTGAAGAGAATTTAGTTCATTTACTGATCAAAAAGGATTACGAACATGTTTTAATTTGTCCAACTAATTTACTTTAAACTGTTCCACTTAAAAAATAAGACATCCTGGATAAAATTGCAACTTTGAGAATAATCTGCAACCATCAAAAGAGAAACACAAAACGGAAAGTATTATTTAAAAGTAAACCATTTTTATTCGTCAGACATTATTCTTTTGCATTATTTATTCTTGGCTGATAAAATCAAGCTTTCCAATGTTTAAGACTACAGATCAACGTCCTCCAAGCGTAAACTCATCTGTCCTCTTCTCCGTTCCCGTTCATTAGCCGTGAGTGAGGCTGCCGCTGCGCCACAGCCGTTACCATGGCAGCGCCTTTCCCGCTGCCATCCTCAGAGATGTAGAATTTGAGGTCACATTCTGGGGCGAGGAATGCCACAGCATCCTCGAGTTTATGCCTAAAACTGGAAAAAAGAAAAAAAAAAGATGCAAGAGAGGAATTGAGGTTTGTGGAGGTCCAATGTGGCTACAGAGAAACTTTCAAATTAAAAACTCAAGGATTTGACATGTCAGGCGCTTCCCAAAATATACTAGGCCCCATTTTAGTCCCGACTCCTGAAGCCACTTGGTGCCAAATTCTCCAACAGCTGGATTTAAAATAGTGTGAAATCCCTGCAGAAAGTTTCAGGATTTATGGATCAAATGACTCCAATAGGAGCATCTTACTTGGGATGCTTCTTGTACACTGTGCCATCCACTCCCACAGCGGTCTTCAGGTTGTCCTTGGCTTTGTTGAGACGAATCCGGTTGGCGATGGCTGCCAGGGCTGCAGCACAGAGGTGTGCCGATCGAGAGGAGATGGTGTCACAGACCAAACTCACCACACGAGCATCATCCTCACTACATCGCACCTTCAGTAGGTCCTGAATCGTATCGATGACTTCCTGGTCCACTCTAGCCCTAGACCAAAGAAATGACATTAAAACCGAAGTTTTGTCTAAACGGCGCCATGTTTAAGACTTACCCTTCAATAAAAGACATGTGCTTTGTCTCAAACGTGTGTTTAGTATCCAGACGGACAGTCACTTTTCCTTCGAACAGCAAGTTGTTGTTTGTCAGCTCCACCAACACCAGACGGACGATTTCTCCTAAATACATGCCGCTGATCATCTTCTCAAATCTACAGGACACAATCAGAGCAAAGAAACCTTCAACAGATTCGACTCTGCTGCCCTCTAGAGGCCCAGCACCTGCTCCTGGATTTTTAAGGTTTCAGCTACTGATGGCAGCAGCTTCAACAGCGATTCAGTCCTGTCGAGTTGAGACTGGGCTTACATGTGGACTCCAGGGTTGATGGACGTCTCGTCCACCTCTTTGTCAAAGTCCGTCAGGATGTCATCAAGGGCGCCTGGGTCACTGAGGGGGCTTTTGTCCCCAAAGCCACCCCACTCAGTGTTGATGCACATCTGGCCTTCGGTTTCCTCACAGCGCTTTACGTTCTTCATGTCCTCCATGTAGCAGGCGTTGGTTCCCGTTCCTGCAGAGGAAGAAGTGTACATTTGAAGATCCAAACTACATAAACCCAAACATCAGAGATTGCATGTTGTGGCGATTCTGCGAACAAGGTTTGGAACACCAACACAATCACGAAACGCTCACCCTGGTTCCACACCCATCAGAACTCAAAACCCGCATTGCTGAAGGAAACGAGGGGGCGCTAAACACCAGTCACTGTTTTCTAGGTCCAAATGTCTCGTTCGACTTCAGATGGTGTTTTGCTTTTTGGGACTCTGGTAGTTTGTCCTAAAGTTGAAGTGGAAGCAGCCGGCTGTTTCTCCTGATACCGAGCGGAGGACCTCACCAGCGGTGATCCTCTCGTTTTAAATGACTGTTGCTTGTGAAGCTCTTCGGTCAGCTCACGCGCCGCGTTTTAATGGATCATATAAATAAAACTGTACACAGCATGGTGTTCTGCTAAACACACAAGTGTGTTATAAGGAAGGACGAAGGAAGTGCGGTGGAACCAGGCGGTCCGATAGTTGTCTGCGGTCCGAAACAGATAAATAGTCTAATTATATACATTTTTTAATCTCCATAATATATTTGTAGCAACACTATTAGAAAGTTAAGAGGCATGAAGAATGTTTCACAGCTAAAACATTTACCAGATTCGCTCCAACAGCTTTGATTGTGAAGTCGGGCGAAACGCATCAGATTTGACCAAAGCAGTTTTTAACTGGTTTCTCAACCCGTCTCCGTTAGAAGCTCGTGCATGACGGCCTGTTTGGCTTTTTCAGTGTTCAAAGCTTTACCGTCAGTGCAGGAGAGGCAGGTTTCCGCCTGGAGAGGCGAGCGATCCATCACAGGAACCCACAGAGACAAAGTGTTCATGACAGGTTATTTAGAACCATTAATCAGGCTAATATCGTTCAGTCTGCAGGAGGAAACCAGAGACGATTTTTACCTTTAAATCCAGAATTGTGTTACGTTCAGGTAGAAACACCTTCATTTATACAACACCTTGCAGGCGTGAGGCAAGTGCTGCAAATTAAACTGATAACAGAACTAAAACAAATAAAGACGGAATAAAATCAGAAAAGATCAGAAACATCTAACCCGCAGAGTTAAAAGACAGACTCTTCAGCCCCGTTTCAACGGATAAGGTTTGAGTATTCAATTCCGGGCCTGGAGGTCCGGTATCCAGCATGTTTGTTTTAACACACCTGATTTCAATCAGCAGGTGATTAACAGGCTTCTGCAGAGCCTGATGAGCTGCAGCACAGGTGAATCAAGTGTGCTGAATCAGAAACCACTAAAACGTGCCGGATACCGGACCTCCAGGACTGGAGCTTCGGTCCTGCTACAGAGGACTCCCCGTCCCCTCTTGTCCTCCACCAAGCCCTAGGAGCCACAGGAGGCAACTGGCTCCCAGAGCGGAGCACCCGAGCTGCAACACTCCAGATGGACTGGAGCCGACCCATTCAGAGCCTTAAATAGCATTAAGGTTTAAAACAAACTCGAAACATCCGAAGAGCAGCCAGAATTGGCGTCACGCATTCAGATTTTCTCTTGCCTTCAAAACAAAAATCTTGTCAGCATTCTGAACAAGCTGCAGGAAAGCTACACCAGTTACACCTTTCTTAGTGGCCTAGTGGTAGAGTGTCCGCCCTGAGACTGGGAGATCAGGGTTCGATTCCTGGTCGGGTCGTACCAAAGACTGAAAAAATATGGGACCCAATGCCTCCCTGCTTGACACTCAGTATTAAGGGGTTGGATTGGGGGGGTTAAACCACCAAATGGTTCCCGAGCGCAGCTTGTCTGCAGCTCACTGCTCCCCCAGGGGATGGGTCAAATGCGGAGAACAAATTTCGCACACACACCTGTGTGTGTGACAACTAATGGGACTTTAACTTTAAAGAGTTAAAAACTGACCAATGATCATGCCGATCTCACAGTCCGGGTCCTCGTGCTCCTGCTGGTTGCAGCTCATCATGGTGGCCACCGTATCGTTCACCATGACAACCGAGCTGATGTCGTAGTCCTGAAGGGAAAGCAGACGAGACTGAAGTGAATGCCTGACGTTTACACGAGATGCTAGAGGCGTTTCATGGACCGACCCCTCTTTTGTGAATGGCGTCCTTCAGTAACTGCACCACATCCTTTCCCTCCACCCCTGAGCAGCTGAAGCCTTTAGTCCAGCGGATCAGAATGCTCTGTGCACACATGGGTCAAAGGTTAAATCTTCAGTATATTTCAGGTGTGTGTGTGTGTGTGTGTGTGTGTGTGTGTGTGTGTGTGTGTGTGTGTGTGTGTGTGTGTGTGTGTGTGTGTGTGTGTGTGTGTGTGTGTGTGTGTGTGTGTGTGTGTGTGTGTGTGTGTGTGTGTGTGTGTGTGTGTGTGTGTGTGTGTGTGTGTGTGTGTGTGTGTGTGTGTGTGTGTGTGTGTGTGTAAAAGACCTTATCGATTTCTGTCTGTTCACAGGGGAAGGAGAATGTGAAGCCCAGAGGAAGCTTCTGTTCCTTCAGCTTCTGAGATTCCAGGAACTCACCGAGGCACTTGGCGAGGTGGTCGAACAGCTGGAGAGAAATTTGGTTTAGTCGTTTACAACTTTTATGATGAAAGAAGGTTTAACATTTAGATTTAGATCTGCCTGCAGTGTTAACGTCTTCCTGATGGTTTTTGCATTTTTGGTTTGAAAATTCAGAGAATTGTTACAAGTGCAAGAACCCTTGCTCTGTGTGTGTGCGCGTGTGTGTGTGCGCGTGTGTGCGCGCGTGCGTCTCTGCAGGAAAATTTAAGTTCCTTTTCATGCCAAACATTTGTCACTACAGGTTTCAGACCCATCCACGTGCATTTCCCACTTTTTGGAACATTCCAGAATTTTTCCCATATGCTCCTCACTCTGCTGGACCCTTACCCCTATAAATGGTGTCTTACTTCATGTCCGGTTCCCTGCATGATTTCCTGCGGGATGGCGCAGATCTGACTGTCCACCTTCAGAATTTTCTTATCCTCAACTCTGATGTGAAGCACCCGGAAGTTTGTTCCGCCAAGATCCAACGCCAGGAAGTCTCCTCTCTCTGTCAGGAGGAACAAACAGCAGATCTGAAGGTTAGTGACTTGGATACAAGAGCACTCTTGTTATAGATTTGTCTAAAACGTCTGACTTTGATGCTTGAATATTGCTCCTCAGAGTTTGTCCTTTAGCTGAATGTATGAAGACAAAACTTCTTATAACCAGTTTGTTCAAATCAGAAGCCCAAGTGTACAATGATTTGCCAACGCTTTCATTTGAACCATTAGCATCCAAAAATATTCAAACCTCTGAATAAGGAGATGCTGCAATCTGGTGAACAATGAATTTACCTCCTTAAAAAAAACTGAATTTTTCCTCGTGCGTTCTTGGCTTATGAATCGATCAAATTGCTAAATATATCAAGTATGGTTTCATTTTGAGCAAACATCCCAAACCAGACCGCTTTAAAATGGAAGTTACCCTTCAAAATAAAAGCAGGGTGAAGATACTCCCGACCATCACCTCAGGAGGTTTTAAAGGTGAATCATTTGTGAATATGCAGCGACGACCCCGACAGGAACATAGATTAGTGATCAGTTCCTCCTTCCGGGGGAAGTCAGACCTTCACCCTGCATTTGCGTCAGTGAGACACTTCCATGTTTTCAGTCAGAATCTGCTAAATGTTTAGTTTAAAATGTTAAAAGGCAGCTTTATGTATTAAGATTCAAAATGCACATCGGAACATTTCAGTTTACATTTGGCCGTGTAAATCCTCAGCTTAGGGGGATGAATGTGACAAATGTATAACATTAAAATACATTTACCCCAAATCTCAGGTTTTACTGCTATTTTGTGCATTTTGTACGTAAGGGGGCAAAAATCTAGTTTGTAAACATAAGAATGTAGATTTTAAGTCTAAAAGATGCAGGATGAGCTTAAAAGAATCCTCCTGGCAAGACGTGTTAACTCCTAGGAGCCATTTAACGGATAAAACTTTTGATTTTGGGAATTTCTGCAGCGAGACGCATCTGCCGGACGCTTCCTGGAGGATCTGAGTGGTAGCAACACTCCTACCTACCCGACCCGTCCGGCATCGCCCTCACAAAGGTTGGCAGCATCTTGACAGCCGCCTTCTGATGTTTCTTTTTATCCAGACCGTTATCCATTTCTTTAGTGAACCGAGACGAGATCTCCCTCAGCTTCTTCATAGAGAGCATGAAAGGCTTCAGGGTCTCCTCCACCTGCAGAGTCAAACACATACATGAAACCCAGCAGAGATTTAGACCTTCAGGCTTAGAAACCCCTCAGAGCTCCACTCAGGAGGAGGTAGATGTTGCATTTGGCCACCAGATGGCAGCATTCCTTTAAGAACTCACGAGTTGCAAACACTAATTCCGTTTTCTCAGAACTTATTAAATCCAGGAGTTTTTGTTCCGAGCTCATTAACAGGAGGTTCCTCTGACCTGTAGATGGTCAACAGCAGCTTCTCATCTCCTAAAACCAGCAACTGGCACACTGTTGCACCAGAGTCAGCCAAGGTCGTGGTGACATGGAGAAAATGTTACAGAACACAAATCAAAGACTGCACTTGGCCATTCTAGACTTATCTGAGTATTTTACATTTTATTATAGATTTTAAGTGAGTGGTGCGGTTTAAAAAGATAAGATTTAGACTTCTAGGTTCAGTAAAGGATGCAGGGAAAGGAACCTGCAGCCATGTTTTAGTCAGACTAGTTAACAGGTTAAGGCAGAAAAAGCATCAACTAGCTGACTAGTGAGTGTTTTGAGCTTAACTGATTAGCTATAGACAATGTAAATAATAAATATTTTAACTAGTAACGTTACCGTCTAAAAGACCCACACTCATATGACCCCTATCAGAGTAAGGACACACACACGCACGTTAGGTCTTGCTCAAGGATACAACAGCAGCATTCTTTGCTGGAATCAACCAGACAACCCTCTGACAACCTGAGCTACTGCAGCTTCTAAAGTGCTCTTTAGCTCTAGAAGCACCACTGAGCTCTTTGGGTTTAATAGTGGGACCATAATTGGACCAGCTATTAAACGCAACTAAAGGGGCTCAAATGAAGGCCACTTGTTTGATTTCTTCACAACGATTTGTTTCTTTTGCCAAACATCTCCAATAAACCAAAAAAGTCCTTCGGGTTAAAATGACCCGGACGACTGAACCTTCATCAGCATGAATGGAGAATATTTTTGAGCTTTAAACATACGTCTAGTGAGGTCACAAAAGAATAATCTCAGCGTCTAGAGAGAATTTTGAGCTTAAGCGTCGTTGAAAGCCAACAACCAGGAGGTCACATTTCTATCCACTGCACCAGTTTACATTTTACATCTCATTTCTAATCATTCTGATTGAAACCCAAAACAAGACCGAGAAATAACTGAAATTCACAACTTACAGAAGGAAAAGTAAGCCTAGGTCCAGGCCTCGGAGCCAGGTGTTCTTTAGGTCTATAAAAGTGACAGAAGAGCGTTTCTGTAGCAGATCTTCTCAGACATTGGGGACAAAACGTGTCAGGAAAATGGTCATGGAGCGAGGACCAGAGCACAGGCAGGAGACAGGTGGATGAAAAATGGAAGGGCATGATGAATAAACCCAAACAAAAACCAAACGAAGGAAAGTTATGGGGACTAAGTGACCAACCTGACAAACAAACGCAAATAAAGAGCCGACAGCAAGCAGGTGAAGACCAGAGAGGTGATTACTAACGTGGGTCAGGTGGGAAGATTAGTGAGTGAGACCAGGTGAGAGGGGAGCCACAAAAACCCTCAAAAAGAGTAAAAACAAGGAAACGACGAGCTTTGATAGGAAGTCTGGTAACGGATGGGGAGCGCTCAGGGCCTAGAGAGGAGGAGGGAGATTTAGTACGGTGACGAGATGTTGCTCACACAGTAGGTGGTGGTGAGCACCTCTAGATGTTAGCAATCTGTCATTAAAGCCAGGGAGGAAGAAGAAGACAAACTACTCAGCAGACAAACAGAATCTCTTAAATCTGCTTCTGTTCACAGATTCAGCAGCAGGAACGGGAATTTACATCGACTCACAAATCCTGCAGCAATTCTGCATGATTCCTTTTAGAAATCTGTAAAAGTGATGCAATGAGATGTTTGTGTAATGTGGGTCACGTTTCTTTTTCTAAGCTTCCTGTCCTGTAGAGCTCCGTGCCAGTTGAATAGAGCGCCACTCAGCATCGACTACTAGTGTTGGACATCTGCTTCTGCACAGATGTCGGTCACTGAGCGCGCATGCAGGTTTGCAGAAGTACACATGCACAGTTTTCTCTCTCTTGTGAAACAGCGTGTTTTAGCTCTGTTGGTCGGCTGGAGAGGAACGAGAGGTGTTGCTTCCAGCTGTAACAGTGCTGTAAAGTAGTGAGCGACTTGAGGTGTGTTACATTTGTCAGCCTCTACACCAGGGGTGTCAAACATGCGGCCCGCAGGCCGGATCCGGCCCACAAACAGGTTAAATCCGGCCCGCGAGATGGTTGTGTAAACTTTATTTTCATACTTTACAATGTAGAGTGAAAATAAATTTGTCTTTGTGAGCAAGTTTTCTCTGTAACGAGTATAAATGAAACCAAGCTGCGCTCAAGGCTCACACAAGAACTTGAATCACATCCTGAAGTTGGCCGCCACTCAGGATGTGACTTCTGATATTGATGTGCTGGTGAAAGCTAAAAGATGTAAAGTAAAATGAGTCAAATATACTTTAAGTGCTGCATGAAACTGATCTTGCCATGTGATCTGTAAGCTCTTTGAATCACTAAGGAATGTTTTTTTAATTTGTTTATTTATTTATTTATTTATTTATTTCAAATTTTCCAAGTACACTTCAGGTGTTGTACTTGTACTACACTGTCCCCAGGCTCCAGCCTTGTTTTATATTGATTGTATTAAAACAAAGAAAACAATCTGAAGTTTTTTTATTTTATTTACCGGTCCGGCCCACTTGGGACTAGATTTCCCTCAATGTGGCCCCTGAGCTAAAATGAGTTTGACACCCCTGCTCTAGATGGTGTCTTCTGTGAAAAAGTCATTTTTGACACTGCTTGCACAAAATGTTCATTGATTGTGAAGCCGTAATCCAGATTGGTGTGAAAATGAACAGCATCTTTGCTGAACTGAGTCATTTTCTCCCAAACGTCCTAGAAGTCGAGCTTATTTGTTTTTTATTTTAGTTCCTGATGTCTGGCGGCTCCATCCTGAGAACTCGGGGTTTTAAATTCCAGGTTTAAACGTGTGTATGATATTCATACAATCACACTTATTAATTTTTTGCCGCATCTTAAACTCTTGAAAAGCTTCAACACATCGTACATGGGACAAAGGTTGGAGGAAATAAAGGAAAGGTGGACGAGTAAATGTTAATGATGTCATAAACACAAAAGCTGATGACAAAAATCAGAGACAGGAAGAGTAAAAATCTCCACACGAACAGATAAATCTGGCTATCTTGTGCTCAAGAATAAAACTTTTCCTAAGATCCAGGATCCGATCCGGGGTGGTGAACGTACTCTGCTCCTGTTGTTTTTCCAGAGACGTGCTTGCTCGTGTCTCACGTCTGATAAGTGGAAGTGAAGTTACAGCTGAACTCCCGTGCAAATCAGTGAAAAACTTCCCTGAAATGTTCATTCCCGCAACATGACCTTGGTCTCTCGACTGAAGCATAACAGAATCACTTCTTGTTTATTTTTGCTGCAACACAAAAGGACAAATGTTTGAAATGACCTGCTAGATGTTAAGATCTTTGTGATTCATGCTTGTTTTGTCTTTTTACTGCTTTGTTTTTTAAAAGAAAACCCTGAACGCGTTTCGTTTTATTTCTGTAACTACATAAAAGTCAGTTCAAACACTAATTATAGCCAATGAATTATAAAAATGTCATTTCACTTTAGACATTTAAAACAAATGTAAGGAAATTTGCACAACTGATTTGGGGAATTTTTCTCATTAGCAGACAGCAATTCAGTTGTAATGATCAATTATTTTTGCACAGTGAGTTTCTGGAATAAAAATATTCTGTATATTATTTTATTAGAAACTAGTTTAAGGGGGTTTTCAGCCATTTTTAAATGTTTCCATGCAAAATTTACAAATATCATGTCAACTAGTTTCAGATGTTTTGAGGTAGGTTTGAGGCTCTTATTGTGAAGGAATGAAAGAAGTTTTCAGAGTTCCCAGAACTCTCGAGTACCATAATAACAGAATAAAGTCAGGTTCTGAAGAACAAGGTTCGCCTCCTCTGGAAGCTTTCTCTCTTTTTATTTATTTATTTAATTTATTTATTGATTTTGTCTCAGTGGCACTAATTGGATCTCCCAAATGACTGGATTGATGAGCTAATGGCTAGGGCGACTGCAGCCAAGATCAAAGCTACCAGATTTTTTTTCAGTGTTGTATTAATTTAAACTAGTTTTATTTAAAAATGATCTTTTTCACAGAAACACTTTAAAACATGTACATTACCAACTTTTAGCATGCTAACGTGCTATGGCTAAACAAGAAAGTGGTTATTAGCATAGCACGGCTAACACATTAGTTATGCAGTGTTAATTGTGGTGATTATTTCTTACCTTATCGGATATATCAGACGGGATCTCAGCCTTCAGTTTTCTTTTCTTGCTCATTTTGGGTTTTATTTGACTCAAATTTGCTGTTTTTGATGTTTATCTGGAAAAAAAAATCAAAGTTGACAAAAATGACTAAATCTGACTTTTTTGTTTACATAGTGAATATAATTCAAGTCTTTTGTCGAATAGTTGTAAACGGTTAGTCTCACTAGTTAACACAGGTCTTTCAAAAAAAATTTGCATATTGTGATGAAGTTCATTATTGTCTGTAATGTACTGATAAATAAATAATAATAATGCATTGAACTTATATAGCGCTTTTCTAGACACCCAAAGACGCTTTCACACACTCTCACATTCACACACTGCTAGTGATGGTAAGCTACTTGTAGCCACAGCCGCCCTGGGGAGGTCTGACAGAGGCGAGGCTGCCATTTGGCGCCATCGGCCCCTCTCACCACCACCAACACAGGCAAGTTGGGTGAAGTGTCTTGCCCAAGGACACAACAGCAGGATACCCCTGGCGGGAGCTGGTATTCGAACCCATGACCCTCCGATCATGAGGCAATCCGCTCTACCACCTGAGCTACTGCTGCCCCAAAATATTAGACTTTCATATATATATTAGAGTCATTCTACACGACTGAAGTAGTTCAAGCCTTTTATTGTTTCTAATATTGATGATTTTGGCGTACAGCTCATGAAAACCAAAATTCCTATCTAAAAAAATTAGCATATTTCATCTGACCAATGAAAGAAAAGTGTTTTTAATACAAAAAAATGTCAACCTTCTAATAATTATGTTCAGTTATGCACTCAATACTTGGTCGGGAATCCTTTTGCAGAAATGACTGCTTCAGTGTGGCGTGGCATGGAGGCAATCAGCTTGTGGCACTGCTGAGGTGTTATGGAGGCCCAGGATGCTTCGATAGCGGCCTTAAGCTCATCCAGAGTGTTGGGTCTTGCGTCTCTCAACTTTCTCTTCGCAATATCCCACACATTCTCTACGGGGTTCAGGTCAGGAGAGTTGGCAGGCCAATTGAGCACAGTAATACCATGGTCAGTAAACCATTTACCAGTGGTTTTGGCACTGTGAGCAGGTGCCAGGTCGTGCTGAAAAATGAAATCTTCATCTCCATAAAGCTTTTCAGCAGATGGAAGCATGAAGTGCTCCAACATCTCCTGATAGCTAGCTGCATCGACCCTGCCCTTGATAAAACACTCCGGTACCATAGTGAGAGAATGGCCCTGTATAAGTATGCAGACGACATGACATTTGAAGACTTTCACCTAGGGCTGAATATCTCAAAAACTAAAGAAATGTGCTGTGGGGCAGCCAGTGAGGCAGGCACATCCCTGATCGAACCCCTCAGCATACAGGGTCAGCCTGAGGAGCAGGTTCAGTCATTCCGGTATCTGGGAACAGAAATTGATGGCCACCTGTCCTTTGCAAATCACAGCAACGGTGTCTACAAGAAAGCGCTGCAAAGACTCCACCTGCTAAGGAAGCTAAGAGCACTCAATGTGAACAAGGACATCCCAACAATTGTATATAAATCACTGATTGAATCCATTCTAACGTTCAATATTACAGCTCGGTATAACTTTCTTACAGTTAAAAACAAAACAACTCTCTTGTATTGTTAAATTAGGCAGCAAAATTACAGGTTCACCTCAGATCCCACTTCCTGTTCTTCACGAGCGAGCAGCGCACAGGACGGCTACCCTGATCAGTGCAGACTCAACCCATCCATGAACCCACATTTTCAGTTACTTCCGTCAGGAAGGAGGTTCAGGGTTCCACTGGCCAAGAAAGGTGTCTATAAGAAATCATTTGTTCCCACCGCAATTACAATTTTGAATTCTTAGTTTTATTTTTTTACGACGATAACATTCTAATACCCTTTAATTGTCTTTTTATGTATTTGTGTGAATGCGATATGAATTGTATTGTAAGGTGAGCTATGTCAAAGGTGAATTTCTGCCTCAAATCGAGGTGGACAATAAAGTTTATCTATCTATCTATCTATCTATCTATCTATCTATCTATCTATCTATCTATCTATCTATCTATCTATCTAAAGAACTACAATGAGTCAGATAGAACTACAATGAGTCAGCTGACTTAGAATCCGCCCACAAACGGCTACACAAACCTGTTTTGTCTTACATATATTATGGTAAGTCATTTGATCATTTAACCCTGATAATAAGACTTTGTTGTACTTTGTTGAGCCCAATAATTAATGCCTACTGGCACTTAATTGGTATAGTTAACTTGTTAAATGACGCCAGGATCTACTAGTTAGGTCTTGGATCACCCAGCTAGTTACGCAAAAGGGGCTCTACTTGGCCAAAAGGTAGTGTACTAACTACTCACTGGTCAAGTGTGGCTGTGAATGACAGCATCAAGGTTCAGGGGCTTAGAATAAATACACAAATGGTTTGTAATACCCGTGGTAACAAACTGGATGGTTGACTGGATATATTTAAATGTGCCCTTACTGTTTTAATTTAAATTAAACAAGTTAAACAAGTTTTCCCCTCACCTGCCACAGGAAGCGGCTGCTCAGGCTGTGAGAATGTCGACTCAGGTTTCAGACCCAGTTAGAGACTGATTACAGTTAGAGACCGAGAGGATGAGGACAGTGCTCCGACAGACGGGATCTAACTTCCTTGACGAATAAAGAATGAGTTGAGAGCCAAGTTAACTCCCACTCCTTCACACATCATCATGTTGCAACAGGATCAACGAGACGCGCGCACCGGCACACGCGTTATACGCGCGGCGCCACGCACGCAAACAGATGGCTTCATTTCAACAAACCGAAACCAGAAACCAGGTCTGAGGCTGGAGAGGAAGCACCCGGCGGGGTGCCCTGGGTGGAAAGGGAAAGAGTCCGAGATGGAGCGGAGTGTCGCAGGCGGCAGGTAAATCTGCGCGTAAAGGCGCGTGAGGAGGAAGCAGGTTCTGATGTAACATCACACGTTTTAAAACCAAGAACTTTGAACATTACAAGAACATCTTACCGCTGGGTTTTAGTATGTTTCATGTGCAGTTTTTATTTTATTTTACTTGTCTTTACAGCTAATTTTATGGTCTGTTTTCCTGTGAGAGATCACGTCTGCACCCAGTTTCTGCGTTTTTTCTTGTGCTGCAAATTCTACCCCAGAGCTGCAGCCTTGCAGTATTATATAAATGAAGCATTCAGAATTAGCATCAGGATTAGTACCTTCATCAGAAGAATCAGGATTAGTACCTTCATCCAGGGGCGGAGCTAAGGGTGGGCCTGTACCCACCCAGGCCCACCCAGTTTGACAGGGTGCCCACCCACCAGGGGCAGGGCCAGGCAGTAGCTTGGTGATGCTATAGCAGCATCCATTCATTCCCGCCACCCAGTGAGGTTCATGATTTTTTTTTTTCTCAGAAGCATCCTCCTGCCCTGGACTTCTCACAGCTGAACCGGGCATCTCCCAGAGTCTGCAGATGACATTATTGATATTTTCAGCGGTGTAAACTGAGAAAGGACTGGGTGTGAGGGGGAAACAGACGTGCAGCACGCAGCGGACACGCAAGGACCTTTTATCTGATGCTTTTCCTCGCACACGTTAATCCGGTAAAGGAAACTAATCGTTTCATCCGTGTATCTTGTCGGGTCTGCTTTAGTCCTCTAAGGCCATTTTATTTGGTTCTGTTCATTTTATTGCTGTTGTTATCTGGACCGGGGGTTCGGGTGGGAGATTCCGGAGGTGATGAGTCAGCCCGAACTGCGTTGGCGCGTCGCTGTCCGCGGTCCTGAATGAGACAGAGCCCTTGAGAGCCGGTGAGAAGAGGGGGTGTGGTCGGTGGTGTATGCTGTTTAGTCAAGGTGTGTGTGTGTGCTTGCTGATTATTTCCTGGTGGGGGGCGCAGTTGCTGAGAATCATCTGATCTGATCTCTGGTTTTGCACCACCTCCTGCTGCATCCTGAGCTATCTGGAGCATGAAGAACAGTCAAAAATCCTGATTTTTGAAACATGCGGTGACCTCTGGCAAGCTGCGGTCTTTTGGATCTTTAGTTCTTAGCTGATAGCCTGCAGCATGCCTGGCTGAGATTAGAACCTGTCCAAGGTCCTGAAACTTCACACGAGAGAGTGTGCAGGTCTTGGCCCAGAGCGGGAGTCCAGCATCGGTAACAGTCCTTAAAATTGAAATTTAACAGAGATCCATGGAATAAGTATCTAATATATAATCTTCTATCATAGTAGTATTTGTGGCTTGAGAGATTTGATTAAAACATGTAATTTTGACGTGCACGCGCGCGGCACACATCTCATATGAGCTTTGAAATTAATTAGGCCCATCCAGATTTTTCTAGGCCCACCCATTTTCTATGTTCTGGCTCCGCCACTGCCTTCATCAGAAACATCAAGATTAGTACCTTCATCAGAAGCATCAGGATTAGTACCTTCATCAGAAACATCAGGATTAGTACCTTCATCAGAAGCATCAGGATTAGTACCTTCATCAGAAACATCAGGATTAGTACCTTCATCAGAAGCATCAGGATTAGTACCTTCATCAAAAACATCAGGATTAGTACCTTCATAAGCATCAGGATTAGTACCTTCATCAGAAACATCAGGATTAGTACCTTCATCAGAAGCATCAGGATTAGTACCTTCATCAGAAACATCAGGATTAGTTCCTTCATCAGAAGCATCAGGATTAGTACCTTCATCAGAAACATCTGGATTAGTACCTTCATCAGAAGCATCAGGATTAGTACCTTCATCAAAAACATCAGGATTAGTACCTTCATAAGCATCAGGATTAGTACCTTCATCAGAAACATCAGGATTAGTACCTTCATCAGAAGCATCAGGATTAGTACCTTCATCCGAAACATCAGGATTAGTTCCTTCATCAGAAGCATCAGGATTAGTACCTTCATCAGAAGCATCAGGATTAGTACCTTCATCAGAAGCATCAGGATTAGTACCTTCATCAGAAGCATCAGGATTAGTACCTTCATCAGAAACATCAGGATTAGTACCTTCATTAGAAACCTGGCATATCCAATCTACTGCCCTCTGGTGTAGAATCTCCAGGTGTGTAGGGCAAGTTTAGATGGTTGTATATAATTACATAAAACCAAACTAATTATCATATAGTTGTTAAATTAAAATGAGCTAATGTATGGTTCTGTTTAAATGGATAAGTGTGTTTAGTAATCATTGGCAGCCCCTCTGAGTTTTGGGGGAAACTGTGAAGTTTAGTGAAGAACAAAATCCCCACAATTACCTCACATTCAAAGATTTTTTTTTTCTTACATGTGGAGGAACATTTCTTCATCCTCACAAGTTTCTGCTCAATAAAATTTGGTGCAACTGAATCTTGTGACTGAGTCTTTCATAACTGGATTTTAATGTCCTCCCAGCAATGCTGATTTCACACTGGTCGTTTGAGACAAACATAAGGAGACACTTTTCTACACATCAGATCGTTTCATTTCTGTCGGTTTATGATGCTGAAATGATGATCAGCGTTTTGTCAGACATCATCTATGAAAAGTTGAAGCACTTCATGTTTTGGTATGTGTAAACTGTGGCCTCAGCTGACACTTATTGTGACATAAAAGTGGGAATTTACAGCATTCAGGTTTATACGTGACTTTCTTCCTCATTCTTTAAATGTGATCTTTGAAACTGAAGTGTTAGAAAAGTTTAAAGTGCTGCTTGTTACAGTACAAGTGTTAAGCCCCGCCTACTCTGAGAGGTAAATCCTTTTCAACTCAGGTTTTTTACTTTTATCGTCTAAGTTTTAACTTTCTATTGTGTTTAGTTGTATTTAGTTAGTTAATAACTTTGTTTCATTTATTCTGTGTTGTTTTCTAATTCCATTGTTTTTGGTTCTTCTCGATAAATAGAGCAAAAAAGTTAATAACAAGCTACTCTGTGAAAAGAACCAAAAACAATGGATGTGGTTATTACTACTAATAAAAACTACACATGATTGTGTTCAGGTACGGAGGGGCAAAAGTGCCACAATGTAACAACATTTTAAAATTCTAAGAAAAAGGACATACAAATGACTTGAATAAACAATAAACCTGTCATAAATAAAAGAATCACATTCAGCATTCACTTATTTGTTTCATAGTCATTGTTCCTGTGCAGATCGATTGCTTTAGTCTAAATGGAGTATTTTTAACCATGACGGCTCTCTTTGTAGGCATTCCCAACGTGTTGGTGGTGAATGCTTTAAACCTGGACATAAAACAGAATTAGGAATTGCTCACACCTAATCTGGGATAAAACAAGGAATTGTCATGGTCTGTGTCTCTTTGTGTTCCTCATGTGTCCCCTGGTCTTCAGCCCTCCAGATATTTCCTCTCAGGTCCTGTGTTCCTTCAATCTCCCCCAGTCACCCCTCTGCAGTTTTTTTATAGGTTCAGCTTCTCTTTTTATTAGTCTCTTTAGTATGTTTTTTCCACAGGTTTTTGTAGTTTCCCTTCCCCTTAGAATATTAGTTTATTTTGCTGCTCATCTTGTCTTTAGGTTTTTTACTCTTAGGCCTAGTCCACATGTAGCCGTTTTTTTTTAACGAATATCCGCCCCTCCAAAAACTTGCATCCACACCACCTCGTTTAAAAAGAAACTCTGTCCACACCTACCCGGATAAATACGTTGTTAAGGACATGCCAGACCTGTAGGCGGCAGTACTTCCCCCGTTCTTAACCTCGTCCTTCGTCTGTGGTCTTCCGCAAGGAGCAGTAATTCCGCTTGCAAAAACAAACGAGCAAAAAGCGCTTGGACAATTGATAAAGCGAGTGCAGCTCTGAGGGCATCCATGCTGTCAGCTAGTGTAAACACAGGTCGCACAAGTGATGTCAGCATTTTTTTTGTCGCGGAAAGTGACGTTGCGGACCTTAAAACTCCGGTTTTGTCTGTCCAAAACGGAGAAAACGCAGATCTTCACTTTGGCCGGAGTTTTTAAAAATATCCGTTTTCGTGTGGAAAAACTCAGTTTTCGTGTGGATGACAGGCCAAAACGTAGAAAAATATCTACGTTTTGGCAGATCCCCGGCTACGTGTGGACAGGGCCTTACTCTTAGGTCATGTTAAAGTTTCCTCCCTGATTAGTTAATTGGTTTCACCTGGTTCTCTCTCCACACACCTGCAGCCCATCTGCCTCCCATCATGCCCCAGTGTATATAAGCCCTGTCTTGTCTCAGTGTCTTGTCGGTCCATTGTTTGTGTGTCAGCGTTGGTTTGTGCTCCATGTGAGCTTTTGTATCTTGTCTCCATGTTTGGTGCTCTAAGTGAGCTTTTGTTACCTTGCATCTAGGTTTTGTGCTCTGTGTGAGCTTTTGTTCTCCTGGTACTCAGGATTTTGTTTTTGGCTTCCTGCCATTTTGGATTTTGGTTTCCTCCTTAATAAAAAGGATTTTACTTTTAAACGCTCCTGCTTCGTGTCATCTGGGGTATCTGCATCTTGGGTCCTAACAACCTCCTTGTTCTCAACATGACAGGAATATTTATTAAAGAATCGAACACGAGTCTCTTTCTAAAACAATGGTGCCACTTTGCTGCAGCAGCATCAGGGAGCCTTTGGTCACTTATAAGTGGTCATTTCAAGCGGGTTTCTCCAATTGAAGCAACATTCAACCTTTTTCAAGAGCTGCTCAAAAAGTGGTGGTCCTCATCAGGCCCCGTGAACTGTCTGGTAATCTGTGCTTCAGTTTTAATGGTCAGATGCTCCCAGATCTCCCCATCACTTTGGTGTGTCCTCCTGATGGATGGATGGTTATTAATGCGAAACAGACTCCCGACGCTTACTTGCATTTTAAATATCGTTTCTGGCCGGGGCTCGCCACACATTTGACATGTGATGACATCGCCGTCCCTCTGTAGTGCGAAGGCGTGATACTCATGTCAGGCATTGCACAAATGGAGCAATAATCTGGCCTCGCCACGGTGGCGGCAGTACCCAGATGTACTGCCAGTCTCCTTTGAAACCAGCAGCCGTCTGATCAGGTTATTCGCCGTAGAACGTACTACAGATGTAGTCTAGAACTTCTTCAGAATAGGTCGTTGTGATGAACGAGTCGTGCACAAACCAAGCTGCCATGAATCCATTCAGACCAGAGCAATGGATTATGCAGCATTAGCCCTTCCCACTCGCTGAGCACTGCTTCTGCCTATTCCTTTTGTGGTTGAGATTCATGATGCCATCTTTGTTTTCTGAAACCTTTTTTCTGTTAACGTGACAACCAAAATTAGACATTCATTGCAAGTTGACAAAAAAAGTGTGTGTGTGTGTGTGTGTGTGTGCTGTGCAACAACAGACTATTAAATAGTTATGAGTAATAAAATTTATACATTGCATTTACTCATATTTCAGATTTTATCGAGTGACAAAACTACAGTATCTCTGTAGTTATGCTGCTATAGGCTTAGACTGCTGGAGGATACACTGACCACTTTCCACACTCTACTACTTTCTTCTACAGTTTGCTCTTTAACTGTATTATTTCCTGCTATTTCAGATGTTAAATTTATTTTCTCTCTAAGTGTTTTTCTCCCCAGAAGAAGCTACAATGATGTTCTGCTTAGCTGTGGTGGCCTCATGGAGGGGGCTATCGTCTAACACACTGCTGCTAACCACTAAAACATTCTCCCTCTCCTGATAACGTTTTACTTTCCTTGACGTTGGATGTGCTACTACTAGTTTACCCGTTTAATTATAGATTCCCTAGGATAAATACAATAGTTTATCTCTCACCAAATAGAATATTTACTAATAAATCACAACGTAACCATAGAAACATTGCTTGGTGTGTGTGTCTGCTGTCTTCTCCATCCCCAGTGAGTCGTGGTGGATGGCTGCTTATACTGAGCCAGGATCCTCTGGAGGTTTCTTCTTCACTCGTCAGTGACTTGATGCAACCTGCTGGGTTCCTTATATAGGAAACATTATTTCTGATTGGCTTAATGAACTGACCTGAATTGGAACGTCTATTATGTGAAGTGCCTTGAGACGACTCGTCATGATTTGGCGCTTTATAAATAAAACTGAATTGAATTGAAATGAAAAAAGATTTGGTGCTTTATTTATTGTACCGTGGCACTTTTGGTGCTCCATATTCTGGGTTTCACTTTTAACAAAAGGTCGAGATGCTTTTTCCATTTTTCTATTGATGTCCTGAACAAGGAAGTGAATTTTCAGTTATAGAAATAGACGGTTTATAATTGTCTTCGTGACAAACTCATAAAAAATCAAATAAAAACAGGACATGATGCAGCAGCAGGTCATTTGTAAAAGGTTAAATGGCTCTTTGACCTAATGGTGACAGATCCATACAAACCGTAAGTTAAACAGATATCATCATCTAGAACTTAAGCTCCTTCTTTACTTCCTTTTAGTGAAATTACTACATAAACAGTTCAAATATATCTGCATAAACTCCCACAGACTTCTTTGCTTTTCAGTGCTTTTGAGCCACTTATCTGAATGTTTTTCTCTTAAAAACTTCTGAAAAGCACCGCCTGGACTCCTGATCCATCACTTCAGGTTTTAAACCAGATGTAAGATCCGTAAACATCCATCAGTAAAACCATTTTTATTTCACCTGGTGTCAGTAAATGAGATCTGATTTACTCTTTTCGAATAATCACTTTTAAGCTATTTTAAAACTAGGCGGCACCAGTGAGAGGTTCTGGTTCTGGTCGATGCGCGGTCCTGATGGTTTCATCAAAGCTACAGTAACATGAAGGGAATGGTGTGATGAAGAGGAGGTAGTCAATCAGTGTTAGTGGCTTCAACAGTTTTCCTCTAACATTCAAGCGCTCCGTTCGGGTTCCTCAGGTCCAGGAGGTGTCACCAGAACGACGTGCCGGCTGATCCGGGTTCAGGTTAAGGCTCAGGACTTTCACACGGGACTCGTCATCTTCGCTTCTGACTCGGCTTCTTGGAACGCTGCTGTTTCTTGAAGTCGATAAGGCACCCGGTGGCTTCGGAGATGGAAGTATAGAATCTGATGGGAGAGTCACGGATCCGGAACTCTGCAGCCTCCTCCTCCTCCTCCTCCTCCTCCTCATCATCATCATCCTCCCGCAGGTCGATCACAGCTCTGAAGATTCAGCACAAAAAGAAATGTGTTTATCTACAAACAAAAACAAAACCGAAGTAATTTTGGATAAAATATCAGACAGTAAGTCTTAGACGGGCCAATCCCAGAACAACGCTATTTTCGTCTGTTGAAACCGACTTCGGGATTTGCTTTGGGAATTTCCTCAGGATAAACAGGAATTTTTTCTTACTGAGGTTGGAGTTTGGATCCAGAAGGTCCAGCAACTGAAAAAAAAAAAACCCACAAAAACACTTTGAGCAAAAGGTGGAACCTGATTTTACTGCTGGTGTTTGATTCTAAAGAGAACCAAAACTTAGGAGGAAAATAAAGATCCAACGATTCCTGTTGGTGTGGACGTGTCCACCTGAATGGTTTATGAGCCTACTAGGGTCGTCACGGTGTGAACATTTTACCTCACGGTTATAGCGACCAAAATTACCACGGTTTTCGGTATCGCGGTATTTTTTAAACGTGTTACATTTTCAGACAACTACATAAGCTCTGTATATCAGGAAATATTGTCCTCAGTTTGTGTCTAAATTTTGTCTAAAATGTGTTATTTTGTAATTATGTTGTTTATTTGATTACATTTTTCCCTTTAGTCTTTAAAATACCAATATTTGTCTATAACTTCTTATTTTTTGTCTGTTTGATGTCATCATTTTAAAAATATTAGATCAGATGATACTCAGTACTCAAGTAGCCTTCTAATCAGATACTTTTTTACCCTTACTTGAGTAATAAACCCTATATCAGGAAAATATTGTCCTCGGTTTGTGTCCTTCCAGTGAGCTTTGCAGATGTGGGAAAATGTCATCAGGCAGTAATCATTGTTAAATTCATAATTATTCTCGGAGAGAGACCAACTCTTATCTGCCCCTGGGAGTCCCGTAATGCATAGCATCATTTCAACATGGCGGTGTCCGCGACACGGTTTATATGCAGGTAGCGGCGCTGCGGCTGCTTTATATAGCGACTCGTTGCATTCTCCCTCAACCCAAATCCTCGGATCATACATTTTAGCTAAAACGCTAACGTTAGCTTGCCTTGCATTGACTGTAGAGTTGTGGGTGATGGTCACGCAGATGTGTCATGAGATTTGAAGCGTTGCTGCCTTTCACAGACACTTTTTCTGCACGTCCTGCAAACAGGATAGCCGTCTGCTATCAGCTGTCCCTCTGCATTCTTCAAATATCCAAAAGATGCCCGTACTTCCCACTTTGTCTTCTTTGAGGGATAATAAATCGCAGCCACGGTAATCCACAGAGAAATTTTTTTTTTTAAAACAAGACGGTTAATATTATTGTGACTTTTTTACCGGGATTTACCGCTACACCGGTTACCGTGACAACCCTAGAACCTACTGGTGTTCCTAAATGGATTCTGTTCCAACTTAAACCAGGACGACCAGAACAAGCTGAAACTCTGGAAGTCTCACCGCTCACGCCCCCAGCAATAAGGCCGGTGAAGCATCAAGTAACTCGCTCTGCCCTTCTGTTCGTCCCTTCTTCTAAGCACCATGACGTCACGAACTCACCTGAATCCCTTTTTTCTGTTTGCTTCAGAGCCGACAGCAGGTTCCCCTTCTGGAAGGTCACAGGTGAACAGAATTAAATCAGCTGTAACGTCCGATTTTAGATCTGAAGGTGTTCAGCTCACCGCTGGCGTCCTGGAGGTGGGACGAAGGCAGCAGAGCTCCGTGTGCTGGCTGTAATCGCTCAGAGGAACGACTTTCTGGCAGATGTAACACTTCTCCAGGTTCCTTTAGAGTCAGACGTCACAACTTAACGGCAACGACAAACTATTTTGTTCTGAATCAGACTTCACATAAAAACTTGTTTTATTTTGAAGGCAGAAGTATCAAGAATAAGAAACCGAATCAAAAACTTTCCTCGGCGGGTTAATGTTTGTAAAGCTGAACCGAATCATTCGTGTGATTTTAGTGAATCGGAATCCTTTGTTTTAAACACAAAAGCTGATTTCACACACCTGATGGTCTCTTCAGCCGTCTTCCCTGCTCTCCTCTTCCTTCTGCGAAGAGTCGCCACTTCTGTGTGTGAAGAGGAGGAGAAGTCGGCGTTACATTCAGTAAACAATCAGTTCTTACTTCAGCTGATCCAGCTCTTTAAGTCATCACAGTGTTCACTGCTACTCGGCATCACAGGTTCACTAGTTACTGGTCACTTCCTCTTATATTGGCTACACACTTAAATCACTATCGCCACCTAGTGGAACATCATCCAATCAGCACGGTCGGTTTTCACCATCGGTACAGAAACAGAAGTCCGATCTGTTCTGGGTGGAATCAGACGCCAGGGAAGCCTTTTCTGTGTTGACTGATGCGGGCGATCCTGTCATTCCCAGGTTGGTCTGATGGTGGCGGCGTTGCCTTGATTCAGACTGAAGGACTTTTGAGGTTTTTATAACTCAGTCCAGCCAGATTACAGACACTATTTAAAGTCGGGATTATGAAAAAATGTGTTGTTGGATTGAGTGTCCAGAGGTGTTTGTTGTTGTGAATGAATTGATGTCACAATAAAACAGCGGTGTACGGCTCCACCCACTCACAATCTGTCCCAAATGAATGAGCTTGCTGCTCGATGGAGGTGCAGTGGTGGAGTCATCCGTCTTACTTATCTACTCAAGTTCTAGAGCCACGACGCAGCGCAAAGCAACTCCGCTAACATTTGTCATTTCTGATCTCAGGTCAGTTCTGATGGACTCAGATTAAACCACCAGGTGATCGGACTCAGAAAATCCATCTTAATCTGTGATCAAACCACCTTGATCTCAGAGATTAGACTGTTTGTCTGTGAACGCAGCATTAGCAAGCAGAAACGCCCTACTCCCAACCCCGGTCTGTGAACTCACCACTTCTGAATGCTAAAGCATCTTCAGAATGACCCTTTTCATGTTTTCTGTAGATTACAGCTCTTTGGGATTAACGCACACATCCACTTTAAATGCGGTTTCATTTGATATGAAAGTAAATAACTCCCCGTCACCTTGGAAACGGCCTCCTCCGACTCTCCTCTCACCTACGACGGCCACCTCGCCATCGCAGTACGCCGCGTGCATCTCGATCTCGCTCGCAGGGAACGACGCCTGGCAGATGGGACAATCCACGGACGCCGTGGGGCTGCGAGGGACGACTGCCGACTCCAGCTCAGGAGACGCTGATCTTTGGATCCCTCGGTCCTTCGTCTCCTCCATGTCCCTCCTGTCCCCCTTTACTTCCTTTTCATCTCTCAGAGTCCAGCTGCTGCAGCCCGAGATGTTCTCCTTCGTCTTCGTGCACGTCGCCACTGAAACAGAAATATAATCTAATCTGGCACAAACTTTTCCTCAGAAGTGGCACCACCAGAAGGTAAATGATTACATTACCTCCCATTTCCTCTCCTCCGTCCTCCTCGTCCTCACCCAGATCATCCCTAATGGGAGAACCCTCTTGGGGGATCGCCTCTCCCTCTTGCAGCTCAGCATGCGTCTGTGAAGAGATTTAAGTAAATAGACACAAGTTTAATTTTTGCATCCAACATCAGATTTTGAATCTAAAACGGATTCTTTAATCTGCGTCATTTGTTGACATTAATTCTCAGGACTTTTCATAACCTCTGGAAACAAAACTTGGGCATCTGGGAGGCAGAAGTCTGGATTTGATCACTATTTTCCCTTTAACCTTTAAAATGGAACTGGGATTATTTTCTCGGCACAGTAATGAGGAGCAGAGTACAGACGCTTCTCTTTTCGCTCCCTCATCTTTTTTCCCAAGGCTCTTTGTCCTGTCTGCCCACAGAGCGCTTCTCTGCATTTCTTCTGAAAAACCCTATTTTTAACCATGGATTTGATGAATTGGTCATTCAACGCGATCGATGAAATCTTTTCTACAGTGAGAACGGAGCAGTGGGCTCCCACATGTCCACGGGGACACACCCGGTGGGATATACTGTATGTTGGATCCCTGGAAGGAGTGGAAGATCGTATGACTCTCCCAGTTGTCCATTGAGGACGACGAAGATGTGTGGATGTTTGGTCTGATGATCACTGGATTTCCCCTGATTGGAGTGGGAGGATATCTGGTTTTCTGGAAATTTGGGAAGACGGGAGCGATTGGAGGGTGACCCGCACCCGCGGAAAGCACCGTCCATGTGGAGACCTCTCAGACTGGGACGTTACTCGAGGAGAATCGTAAGCTGGACAATGTTCTAGCTGCGATACCGGCATTAGTGCGCAAAATGGATCTTATCTTGGAGAGGGTCACCGGACGGTATGGACAGGTTTAAAAACCCAAAATTGTCTTCACTAAAGGACTGGAATGATCAGTTTAAAGACTGAAGGCAGAGAGGAAAATTATCTCAGCCTGACCCAAACAAAGTCTTGTTATCTGAATCTGACGCCCTGGTAGCCTTGAGCTGCAAGCAACTAAAACCCCCACGAAGGAATGCAGACAGATGCTGTGAAAACCCGACCCCCCCCCCCCCCCCGTCTTTGGATTGGTGGACTTCAGCCTGGCGAGGTCATCAACCTGCAGGAGTCAATGTGCTCTGCGCTTCTCGCAATATCTCCCTCCCACCTGTGACTGTACAGCAGATGAGTGCCGTAGATGGCTGCTCTTGCTGGGGGAAAAGGGATCCCAGTCCCCCCCCACCCCCCACCCCCACCCCCCCCCCCCCCCCCCCCCCCCGCCTTCCTATTGGAGTCTCATGTTATGTTGTGTTGTCTGAAGTCTGTTGCATACATGTCTGAGGTGTTTTTTTGCAGAGCAAAGCTGCCCTCCCTGTGGAGGGTAACTCTGAAGTGCCTTTTTTTCCCTCCACCTGAACCAATCCTCACGTAACCCTCTTATCTCTATTAAGGTAGCGTGACTCAGGGTTGCGAATGACCACAGTCACCAGTTCTTGTCATGTGTCTTGCCCATGTATGTCTGATCTCAGAATTGTGTGTACTGAAACTCTAATTTCCCTCTGGGATTAATAAAGTATCTTTGATTGATTGATATGCAGTAAAAAGCCCCGGATCAGCCTTCATAACTGACCTCTTCTGCTCCATCGGTGACCACGATCAGGTCTTGAGTGCCGTCGTCGCTCAGCTGTGTTTCTGTTGTTGGAACAGGAGAAACGGGTTCAGACAAAACAGCATTCCTAAATAAATCCACGAGAGGCCGGTCGTTTAGGAGGAAAACGTGGTTTAGGCCACTGGTCTGCAGTAGAAAACTAAATAAAACTGATTTTACACCAAATTATCCTGTTTGATATAAAAACAAACATTTGAGAGCATTTTTGGTGTTTATAATTAAAGGGATACAACTTTAGAAACTGGCATTTTATTCTCACTAAACACAAAATGATTTAATCATTTAAGGAACTTTTGAAAGGAAGATGGTTCAGATGGAGAATTTAAAAGAAACGTGGTGATTTTAGACTTTATTAAAAGTCTGTTTTTCTTCCTGAAAATTGTTTTTTATTAGAAAAAAAATGTTTCGAGATCAATAAAAACGAAATTCTGAACTATATATATATATATATATATATATATATATATATACATAAATAAAATTACCTTTAGGGGGGAAAAAGCTCTAAAGACACCCTAACGGGGCTTCGTGCGTTTTATCCTAAAGTTTGACTTTTATGACCATTGAACACGTTATTATTAGATTATTTAAATAAAATACCCTTCCTTTAATTGTTATTATAAATTAAATAAGCATCTATATATAAAATTAAAGCAGACATGAGAACCTGGACAAACATCACAGTCATCGGTCTCCATCTGCTCTTCATCACCATCGTTCTTCTCTTCATTCTCTTCTTCCTCGACTGCGTCATTCCTTTTTCTGCCTCTCCGTCGGAGTCCTCTTCTGACGACAACAACAACAACAACAACAACGTAAACAACCAATCAGATCTTTTCCATCAACATTTAACAAAAATGAGACGGAAAAACATTCGACTGTAGTCTGATTTTTTAGCTCAAACCTTGTTTTTAGTCCCAACTTTGAAGGAAGACCCGTCTCCTCCATCACCCGAGCTTCAAACTAAGATTATATTTGGTTGAATTATGATGGAATAAAGTTAGTTTCGGTCAAATATTGAAGACAGAATTATGGATGACCTGTCAGCACTCGGTTGTTGGTGTTTTTGAGTCGCGCGTCTGTGGTGGCCATCTTTATTGGGACTGTAAATCAGAAATGTGTGTGTGTGTACTTTTGCCTTTATCCATTGCAGATAGATTTGGCCTGTATATAAGGAGGAATGTGATTATTTATACAGTTTAAACATGCAGCCATTGTTTTTTTCGCAGCAGATGAGGGAGAAGCAGACAGGGAGGGAGGGACTGGTTAGCAGACCTGCCAAAAAGAAGAGGGTCCAGGCATCTCAGAAGTTTTTGTCCAAATATCAAGAACAGTGCATGCTTGCGACCCTCTAAACAACCTCAGCATGCATTTTGCACAATCTGCAATTATGATGTGGACACCAGCCGCCAGGGAGCTGCAGGTAATCAGTATATTAGCCCAGGTGATGCGTGCATACCGGTATGTGCTTTAAGCCAATTTAATATTACGCTCTTGAGAACAGAAACACCTGTTGCAATTTACTAAATAAATAATTACCATTAAATACATATAAATGTTTGTTTTATTAATTTGTATTGAAATAATTTAATGCAAGTAGCTTATATAAACACAAATATTATATAAGGGAACTTTGGAGTTTGACTGTTTAATATTAAAATACACGTCTATAACCTTACTAGTCAAAATAAGAACTCTGTGTGTGTGTGTGTGTGTGTGTGTGTAAAATTTTCCATCCAGTGAATGGGGAGATTACAGCGTGAAAAGCAATGGAGTTGAAAAAGTTCGCGAAAAAACGCCGCACAGCATTTTGACAAGGTTGGCAGGTCCGTGATTCAGACATAAATTAAATCAAAGAGCTGAACATTGGTTTCGTTTATTATGATCGATGACGGAGGATTATAGAAGGTGGAACTCTAGAGTCAGGAGGTGCAGCACCTGGACCGTTTATGGGGGAGCACCTACCAGGAAGTTCCACCTGTGTGTACCAAGCCCAGAGTCCCGACTGGAGAAGTAGTGATTGTATCAGTGATCGTTTTAAACCAACCGGTGTTGTATCAGAAAGTGTTCCCCCTCCTCCTCCTGAGCGTTTCTGACTTTTGTTTCTATTGAAGAAAAAAGTTGTGAAGGATAAATCATTCGTACCTCGGTGGAACCTGAGGCTGAGGAGACGGCGTCGGTGCATCGGGCGACGGCGACTTCTAGGGAATAAAAAACAAGCTGGTTTAAGCAGCTGGCACATCTGATTCCTCCTTAAAAGGAGGAGGGAATATTATCTGACTGAATTCCTCAGAGAGAAAGTGAGGCGTGTTTAGAGGAGCGGCCATGTTGCCGTGAGCGTCTGACCTCCGACTGCGGCTGGATGCCCTCCCCCCACTCAGCCTTCCTGAGCAGAACCCTCTGAGTCTGTTTCAGACTCTTCTCATAAACCTCCATCTGGGCCACGATCACCTGATAGAAACACCAACAGCAGTAATCAGATTACTCTGTCTCTGGTTAGAAAGTGAAAGTATGATGGCTGACATGTTTTCCTGAGGGTGAAAGGCTGAGTGGTCCTGGTCTGAATCACCTGAGTGTATCTGTCTGGGTCCAGGCCTTGAGGACAGAAGGGAACCCCCCAGTAGTAGTGGATGGTCGGCTGGTTTAAGGACTCCTCGGGTGGGGGGGTGTTGCCAGCCGCTTCCTGTCTGCTGGTGGGAGAAAGTTCTTCTTCTGTGATGGAAATCTGCAGCCTGCTGGTGGATGTGGATGGCAACGTGCGTTTGTGGAGTTCCAAATCACGTTTCCCCGTTTCCTGACTGTAGAGAACACACAGATGTTCATCACCAGCTTTTTAGATTCATAAGAGAATTATGTACAGATAAAATCTAATCAGTCAGTAACTTTTAGGTCTCAGAAGGTAATTTAAACTCTGATCTCACTGCTGCCTCTTAAGAATGGCTGCCGCCCCCCAGATTCCCTTCTGCTAAGCACATTTAGAGCAGTTTGGGCTGAAAAGAAGTCTTAAAGGGACTTTACGGAGTTTTGAATTTTTATGCTCGCGATTGCCCCCTCAGGCCAAAAGCGTAATGGCAGCTTCAATAGTAGGCTCGTGCACGAGGCGCGCATGCTGTACGTGCACACTCCTTAACGAAAATAACAGCTGAGACAGTCCCTTGTGTGTGTGTGTGTGTGTGTGTGTGTGTGTGTGTGTGTGTGTGTGTGTGTGTGTGTGTGTGTGTGTGTGTGTGTGTGTGTGTGTGTGTGTGTGTGTGTGTGTGTGTGTGTGTGGGGCCCGGAGGACAGAGGACAGGAGAACACGCCAGGGCTCATTCTACAGGACCAGGGCACTGTAGGAGAATGTATGAAGGAGACATTTATTATTTCTATACATGTTTTGGCTGTCAAACTTCCATAATGTCCCTTTAAAGTGAGCTGTGACATAAAGCTGCTGAAACAGTTTTTCTGCAGAGGTCGAGGAGGCGGAGCTGCAGCATCGTTTACACCACATGTCAGACTCAAGGCCCGCGGGCCAGATGCGGCCCGTGGAGCATTTTTATGTGGCCCGCGAGATAAATATCAAAAATATATTCAAACTGGCCCGCTGGCCCATTTTACCGCAAAGACTACAACTCCCATGATGCTTTGCGGCGATAGAGTGGAGCCGAAGCGCCCCCTCCTTTGTGTTTTTTCCAGCATCTGCTGCCGGTGTCTGCAGCTCCGCTGTCTCGGACAAACTAAACACTCCTCTCACTCAGCGCCGAGTTCACTCAGCTGTTTTCCCACGTTGAAGCCCAGAAATGGAGATTTTAACCGCTCAGTAATGTGTTCACGACTTAAAGAGAAAGTTTTCAAACTAACGTCCAGACAGAGCTGATATAACTCCAGCGAGCAGCGACACGCTCAAACCAGCACGACTCTGTGGCTGCTGTCGTTGTGTTTCCTCCCCGACTCACAACAACGTGGTCAAGCTGCTCAGACATGTTCAGCAGCACAAACCTATGTGAGCACCTGTTGTCAACTAATGTTGTCATTATTATGATGAAGATGAACTAAACAACAGGAGTCTCCTCCTCAGCTCAGATCAACCCCATGATGCAGGTATCTGGCTGGAACAGGTGAGCATCACAGTAAACCAGTGGAGCAAACTGAGCTTTAAATATGTTGGTTTTATGCTCTTTTTCTGCTCCAAAACATGAAAGTTAACAGGTGAGATGTTGCATTTTCATTTAAGATAAAATTATATGTGGCCCAGTCCTATCTTGATTTTAAAAAAACAACAGAAAATGCTCATTCCTGATGGAAAAATCTCATTTGTGATGTGATTTCTGTACCTGGAGTCCGGCCCAGGTTCCCCCGGAGAACCTGCAGCTTTGTGGTTCTGGGAGGCCGTCCGGTGTTCTGCCTGAGGAGCAGCTCTCTCCTCTGGGAAGACGGGACTGACGAGAAATGTTTGATCTGCTTCGTCTTGCTCGTCTTCGTCCGACCAGACTAACGCCATCTGGCTTGGCGGCTCCGACTCGGCGGACGTCTGGGCTTTTAGATTCAGCTCTTCTGAAACAAAACGTGTCAGGTAAAACTCTGACCACGCAAACCCACCTGAAGCAGAGGTCTGACCCTACCAGATCTGGAGGGACGTGGACTTCCATCGGGCTTTGGATCCTTCATCTGAAAACAAGTGTTGTGGTGTGAAATATTAATTTAAGATTTACATTAATAGCAAAAGTTTATTTATTCAACAGAAGATTCAGTCAGATTATTTTCATTCGATAAACTGGAAAGGCAACCCTTTTGTGTGTTTTGTTTCAACAATGAGGCAAGTTTAAAAATGAAGAAATTTATTTACTAACGATTTTAAACTGAAAGATTTGAAGCGACAATCATAAAATGAAAATTCATAGACGGCAATTTAGATGACAATCCTTAACAGCTTTGATATTACTTGTTTAAAAGCAGACCCGTGTTGGATGGAGCTAAAATTGAGAATGATGAGTTTGGAATGTGTGGATGAAGTTCTCAGAAGGTTTCTTTCAGAGGGAATGGAAGGTGTTCTGGATGAAATGATGTTTTGCAGATAACGGAGTTATTTTTAGAGAAAACAGCATCAAACACATTCTGTCGTGTTCTACCTCACCCAAACAGGCCGACCCTCTTGTGGATCCGGAGATCGGAGGATGGGTTCATCCAAGATGACACTCGGGGCTGGCAGAGAAGACGCCGAGTGTCCGATACTCTGGTCCGGAGTGGTGACCGGGCACACGGCTGTATGAAGCGTTTGGCAGATGCATGTTTCATATTTAAATCAACTTCAGAAATCAAATGACTCTGGGAGAGTCCTGCGTTAGCTCGTTAGTTTCGTTTGTTCTTTAGCCATTCTTGTCGGCGTGACAGACAGCTTGCAGAGGGTCAAGGAGACGCCGTTCTCCTTTCCTCGTGGTGTTGGTCCCAGAACTGGACGTGAAATCTGTGATGGTTAGATTTACCAAACTCTCTCAGAACCCCTCCCTCTCTCTCCGGAAAAAAGCTCGGTCATGCGTCACAGAAAACATGTGCTGCAGTTATCTGAACTCTGTGTTAGCTGACAGCGAAGGTCTTCTCTGCTGAACACATCTTTAATCATTATAATAATTATAATACCCAAGCATAATAACCCATTTCATGTAATTAAAATACCTTTATATCTGAACCAAGTGATCATGTATTAATGATTATTTAAACAGTAATAAAATCATAAGTTTATTCATTATTATCATCGTGGCTCTAAGTGTCCTTCTTCTGGGACGGAACAGCAGATATGATGTTGTGATCTTGGCTAGACATCGTGGCTCCTTGGGTTTCATCTGTGGATTCAATGTACTGTTTGACCCCAGCGTGACCCAGCTGGGAAAATGTGACCTTTGGCACAAATCAGAGAGCCTTCATGCCGTTACACAAGCAAGGCACAAAAATAAAAATCCATTCTATTTTAAACCTGAAAACTGGCTTGTGAAGCCGATCCTAATAAATAATTTGAAATATTAGTTTCTGCTGTCTCTAGATAATCCACCAATCTGATCGCTTTAAGAAATCCAGCTGCAGATCTCATGTTGATAAAAAATAAACTAGAACGCACAAATTCAAGAGGAAAAGAGTCCTTCTGCTGCCACATTTGTTGAAAATGGCTCCTGAGTGAAGTGATGTTCTCACCTGCCAGTGGTGCAGCTCCTCCTCGCGGTTACAACCTGCAGCTGAAGGATTCAGAGACTTCTCCTGCACATTTGTGACGGACGGAGTTTTTCCAAACACCGGGCTCATGGGAGGCTCGTCGTTCCACCTCCTCCTCCTTCGGCCGTTGCTTCTGGAGGCTGACAGTCCCTCTAAGAGAAGTGGGGCGTTGGGGGGATTGGGGCTTCGGGGGAACACTGGGCTCTTGGGGCAAAAGGATGCCACAGAGGGGGTTAAACTGTCCTGGGAGGAGAATCCGAACACTGCGGTTTCCCAGTTGGGAAGTCCGCAGGCGCTTGGAGACGCCCCCTTGCTGCTAAACTCAGGACTCGGCTCAGTCTCTCCGTCCTCTCCCTGGACCATCTTTGAGAAAAAAGGACTTTTGGGAAACGAGGTGGGGTTGCTTCGGGGAAACGTGGGGCTCCTGGGTTGAGCAGACTTTTCAGATATGGTCAAACTGTCCTGAGAGCACAGGACAAAACCGGAGCTCCTGCAGGTGTCCACCAGTTCCTGTTTGAGGCGGTCGATGTGGAGCGCTACGTTGCGTCCGGTTAGCGCAAAGACGGGGGACTTCTGGAGGTGAGCGTCGTCGATCTGGGTGGAGTCTGAGCTCTGGTCACAAAGAGACGTAAATGTTCCTTTCTTACTTTTAGTGGATTTTACAGCACAGAAACAAACCTGTGGGGAGTGGAGAGGAGCAGGGAGAGACTCCAAGCTGCAGGGAGAATCCTGACTCTGGAACGAGGGCGGCACCTCCAGTTCAGGACTTCCTGCACTCCTTTTCCGCTTTTTACTAACATTTTCGTCTCCGGGTCCTTTTGTTTCTGGGAAAGGGATTGGGAAGTTTGATGTAACACTAAAATAAACGATGTTGTTTCCCGTTGTTGAGTTTAATGTTTATCAGAAGGAGACTGAGCTCAGTGGATTCACCTGACTTCAGGTCGTTTTCAGCTGTGCAGCCGTCCACTGGCGCTCCCGGATCGACGGCGGACAGCCCCTCCCTGTACGAGAGCCTCCGTCGACAGCTGAGCCTGTGGGAGCGATCCGTTTTACTCGGGGAGTTGAGGCACGGCTGCGTCTGTCCGACCATCTACGAGACAGAAGCAAATCTTCACATCCTTAGCTTGTTATGAATGAGAGGCCTAAAGACGCAGATGAGCTAGAGGCGACAGGTTTCCCGCCGTCTTATGAGAAGCCGCTGTCAGCCATTTTGATCTCCCAGATTTTTAACGCAAATAAAACAGCCAACCGAAGCAAACCAGGATCATCCTTTCTAGGAACTCACGCTTTCCTGGATGGCCTTCATCACAGCCTCCTTCTCCTGCTCCTGCTGGAACGCGACATCGCTGGCTTCCTTTTCACTCAGACGAAGAGCGAGGTCCATCATCTCCTCCTCCGTCATCTCCTCTGAGGAGCGCACAGCCAGGCAGAACCATACCGGCAGGTTAAAGTAAGCAGCAGGTCACATTTGGGTTTCGTTGTTTTAAAAATGGACAAAACTCTTAAATTGTGTGAGCAAATAGTCATTAAAGAGAGTGTTTATAATTAAAACAGGTCTATTAAACTAATCAATAGGAAGCTATGGTGCAGATGATGCCCATCCCATAATACACTAGCATGCAGATGGGGCTGTGGCTGCATGAAATGCAGCAATAAAGCTGAAAATTGCCTTATTATTTTACTTTGGCTTGTGTTGCGGATTTAATCCCATGTCTCTAAAAGCCCTGTGAACTTTGACCTCTCCCTCACCATCACTGCTGCTTGCCTGGCGAGAAGCTTCACAAGCACATGAAACTCCAGCGATGCTTCAGGAGTAGCCGTTCGTACTCCAAATCATTTAACAATAACACGTGTTTCAAGCTAACTCCATTATGGGGAAAGATGAGTGGGAAAGTGTTTCTTGTATTTTAATATAAAGGAGCCAAATCAGGGTATCTGCAGGTTTAAGGGAGCCAAATTTAACACTTTTTAATACCTTTTTTAAGGCCACTTTGACCAAATTTAAGCTATTTTAAAAATTAAATTTAAGCTATAATTTCCAGCTATTGCCTGGAACCGGTGCTAACCACGTCGCAAACGTGGGATTAACCATCCAGTTACCATTAAGCTTACAATTCCCCATGGTGCAAGCTCCCACTAGCTTAACCAGCTAATGTGCTCATTTAAAGAGCAAGTCAACCCCTACCAGAGTCTAACTCCACTCCCACTTCATGTTTGAAAAATGCAACAAATGCTGTTGCCTGGCAGACCAAGGGGGCAGAGCTGCTAACAAATACACACACACAGGCATTGTGACATCATAATCTACCAGTTTACATCATAGCATACCTCTTAGCCAATAGCGGTGGAAGATTTAAATTAGAATACAATGCAGAATTTTTACCTGACAACGGCACAACACTGCCAGTTTTAGGCAGAATATTTAAATTTTAACTAAGATGCACTGAAGTGCCAAATTATTGACGGCACGTGTCTGCAGCACGATTAGACACTCGTTTCTTTAGTTTATCAGCAAAAAAAAGGTTATTTGGGGTGACTTGCTCTTTAAATTAGCCCCCTTTCACAACCAACTGAATGTGTACAGTTTCGCTTATATCATACACTAAAAATGCTGAACACCAACTAGAAATTCACGAAAATGTTATAGAAATAAAAGAATCTTGTTTATCGGGTCTTTGGTAATTTAAGACCTTTGGAAACTGTATTTAAGGATTATTTGTCATTTTTAAGGATTTTTAGGACCTTAAATTTGGAAAAGCTAATTTAAGACTTTTTAAGACTTTTTAAGGACCCGCGGATACCCTGCAAATAATCTCATCGTCATGACTACAGCAGCTCACCCTTGTGGCCTGTAGAAAAATACATGTATGTGATACATGTATGTGTTTTTCCTTTATGCACCTGGCCGACTTGCACAAAGGTGAGGCAGCAGAAGGACCTGAGACTGAACCAAAAACCTGCTCTAACTCCTGAGCTGCTGCCGCTCCGTTTGAGTCATTTAAGTCGGATAAAAGCTGCTCAACGAAACCAAAAAGCACTCTGTGGGGTTTTTTTAGACCTGTTTTGGGTTTATTTCCCGTTTACCTTTGGGTTTGTTTGCTCTCTCATTCCGGCGTCTCTCTCTTGCCGGTGACTTTGCCAGAAGTAAAGAAGTGAACTCTTTCTGAAAAATCAGAAACCAAATGCAAAGGTTCAGCTGCTCGGTTTAAAGTGTGTCTAACAGAAATGGTTCAGTCTGAGTGGAAAAAGAGACCCAAATAAAGATCATTTTGTAAAATCTGAGTAAAACACGTTCAAAAGAGAAGTTAAAAATGATTTCGAACGTCACCCCACTGTCCCCGTCATCAGCAGATTCGTCCTCCTGAGTGTTTTCTTCTGTTTGTTGGTCGTCTGAGAAGATGTTCCTGCTCAGCTGTTTTCTCAGAGCCATCCTGGTTTCAGCTCACGTAACTGCCATCAAGAGAAAAGCACAACAGCTCTTAAACGATGGCCCATTTATTCAGATTTGAACAGTTTCTGGTAGATTTGAATCAATCCTTTTTTAGACATCAACAGGAAGTCAACACCTTAATGTTTCAAAATAAGATCTACTTTAATATAACCTGTTCAAACCTTATTTTATTGAGCAAAAGCAAACATACAAATAGATACAAACAATTCCAGTTTAGAGGGCTGATACCGATTTCTGATACTAGTATAGATCTGAGCTTCTGACAGAACTAGCGCTACCTGAACAGTCCTTCTTCCTTTCTGATTCATTTGATATTTACAATAATGCAAATAAAATGTGCACAAGACTGATCTGTTGCTAGTCTTTAATTGGAGCTAGAGAAAAAAATACGTTTTTGTCTGTGTCACATTGGCCAATCACAGCTGCTTCTTCTTACAAGTTCGTTTACAAAAGAAAACAAAAAATAAGATTTTCTTTAGGTAAAATCTCTTTTAAATGACACAAATGGTCCTGCTGTTAAGTGGCTGGTAGGGAAAAAATAAATCCAACACATTTTTGCATTTCATTATATATGAATAAAAAGTAGCCAGAGCCCAAATAACATTTGTGAAAAACCTCCAGAAAGCCTGAATATTATTCATCAAGATCATGTTGAACAAATACAACTAAATCAGGCTGTCTAACGGTGAGACGTTATTTCTTTCAGCCAAGAAAACAGGAAACTACTTAAGTACTCAGTTCTGCATTATCTGTCTTGTATTTCTGGTGCTTTATGACCTGAGGTTGACCTTTTCCCATTATAAGATTCAAGAAACAAGCCTTCGTAATTTTGTTTTGTGATTAAACTCAACCGGAAGCTCAGAATTCACCTGATAACGAACACTGATGTCCTCCTCTTCCTCATCCGTCTGCGACACTCGGAACGGTTCTTTCAGCCATAAGACGATCCTGAAATTACCCCAAAACCGAAATGAAGTCATTTTTAAAGCGTCTCTGACCGTAAACCAGCGTCCGTGAGCTAAACGAGAACTAAACAGCGCATTATAGAAACTAACTGACCGCGGAACGCTAAAAGCTGCGGATAAAGTTCGGAGTTGCGGATTTTTCATTTACATCATCAAACACAAAACATCACACTGACTTTTTATTCATTTGTTCACCACTAGAGCTACCGGAAACACAACTTAAATAAAAGATACTCGCAAAAACACTCACATCATATTTTCAAACACTTTTGCGGCGCCATGTTTGTTTCTATTCAAGAGATCACGTACACGGTACGTCAGGACGTCGCTCACGCTACCTTCACAAACGAACTATTTTTTCAATTACGTTTCTTTTATTTATGTAAATTCCAAGGTTAGTTTTATTTGCATCAATTTTCTAATATCTGACTTATTTTATTTGTAAATATTTTTTCTTTTCATTTAATTCTGCCTTTAGCTGTTTAAAATTTTGTTTTTTCACCAAACAGCTCCAGCCTTGAGGACAAATCCAGACAGGTGCTCCTCAAAGGATTTTTCATTTAAGTCTCTAGAGCAGCAGAAATCTGGGATTTAAGTTACTCATCCATCTCACGACAGTATCCTGCTCTATGGTCTCAATTCCACCAGAGATCAGCTCCAGACGCTTTAGTGGCCCCATGTGGTGAAACATGCACATCGCTGTAGGTTTGACTGGTTTAAACCTTAAACCACAGATTTAGTTTTTTTTTTTTTTTTTTTTGTGAAACCCACTAAGTGGTTTGATTTGAGTCTGAAAAAGCAAAAAAAATTCCAATTAAACTACATTTATAAACTGTTGTATAACAGGAGATCCAGATGAAACTTCAACTGGAAAGTTGCTTTAGAAGACAAGTCAGTGTTTGTAGGTAGAGGATGCATTTGGATAGGGTTATTTAAATGGCCCACCCTCTGGAAGTTTCTGAGTTACACTAAAATAATTTCCCTCTCAAGTGCTGTGAAGCTCCCCTACAGCCCTCAGCGGTCACGTGCCAGTCCAGACATGACCCTGTAGGCACCAGGAACACTTTCATCTACCAGAACGCTCCTCTGGTGTTTTATGCAGGGCTGAATTCCCCTAGAAAACAGGCAGTGATCAGTCTGCTCATTTAAAAAGCTTAATTTGTCACTCAAATAGTCAAGAACCTGAAATGTTTTATTAGCTGTCCTGCTTTTAGAGACTTGGCTGACTTTAATGTGTTCCTGATGAACTAGATTTAGCTGTAGCTTAGAGGTTGACCATCTACAGTGTAGCATAAAACCAAATATTTCCCTGGTGTAAATGCACGTGAGCATTAAAGATCAACCAATGCACCTTAAGAACTTTATTCCGACCTCAGAACATGACATTGCTTCAAAGAACAGCGATGAAGAACATTTGAGCAGTATGCCTCGGTAACGAGAAGCATCACCATAGAAAAGTAAATCAGAACTGGAACACGTACGTCAGAACTTGGAAAAACAGAAATGTACGACAAAAACATTTAAACTTCAAAACAGCAAATTCAGGCCAGGTCCTCCTCTCCCTCCTCTTCAAACTCTCCCTCCTCTTCAGCAGTAGCATCCTGGTGCTGGTACTCAAGACACCAGATCATTCATGTTGCTCTCAGCCTCTGTGAACTCCATCTCATCCATACCTTCTCCTGTGTACCAGTGGAGGAAAGCCTTGCGCCTGAACATGGCAGTGAACTGCTCGGAGATGCGCTTGAACAGCTCTTGAATGGCGGTGCTGTTGCCGATGAATGTGGCGGCCATCTTGAGACCTCTGGGAGGGATGTCGCAGATGGCGGTCTTGACGTTGTTTGGGATCCATTCAACAAAATAGCTGCTGTTCTTGTTCTGCACGTTCAGCATCTGCTCATCTACCTCCTTCATGGACATGCGGCCACGGAAGATGGCAGCCACCGTCAGGTAGCGCCCATGGCGTGGGTCACAAGCCGCCATCATGTTCTTGGCATCAAACATCTGCTGGGTGAGCTCTGGCACAGTGAGGGACCGGTACTGCTGACTGCCTCTGCTTGTGAGGGGAGCAAAGCCAGGCATGAAGAAATGCAGACGGGGAAATGGCACCATGTTGACGGCCAGCTTCCGCAGGTCAGCGTTGAGCTGTCCGGGAAACCGCAGGCAGGTGGTCACACACCACTCATGGTTGCAGAGACCAGGTGGTTGAGGTCACGGTAGGAGGGAGTTGTGAGTTTAAGTGTGCGGAAGCAGATGTCGTAGAGGGCTTCATTGTCAATGCAGAAGGTCTCATCGGTGTTTTCTACAAGCTGATGAACCGACAGAGTGGCATTGTAGGGCTCAACTACCGTGTCAGAGACTTTGGGAGAAGGCACCACGCTGAACGTGTTCATGATGCGATCTGGGTATTCTTCACGGATCTTACTGATCAGCAGGGTTCCCATACCGGAGCCTGTACCACCACCGAGGGAATGGGTGAGCTGGAAACCCTGCAGGCAGTCGCAGCTTTCAGCCTCTTTCCTGACCACATCCAGAACCGAGTCAACCAGCTCTGCACCTTCAGTGTAGTGGCCTTTAGCCCAGTTGTTACCAGCACCACTCTGACCTGAAAACCCAAAAAGCAGATTTAATTCCCACACAGACTTTGTGATTAAAATATACCAAAAGTCAATTACCCACCATAAACAAAGTTGTCAGGCCTGAAGACTTGTCCGAAAGGTCCGGACCTGACGGAGTCCATGGTCCCTGGCTCCAGATCAACAAGAACAGCACGAGGAACATATTTGCCACCTACACGGCAGACAGAAACGTCAATACACTCATACACACACACTTGATGTTAAACTCTTCATTTTCACAAACCTGAAGCTTCATTGTAGTAGACATTAATCCTGTCAAGCTGCAGGTCGCTGTCTCTGTGGTATGTTCCAGTTGGGTCAATGCCATGTTCGTCACTGATCACCTCCCAGAACTAAAGGGGGAAATAATAAACGTTTTAATACAAATAAACGCACCCAATCAGAGAGAATTGACCGTTTTTTTTTTTTAACTGGGTAGTCTCTCGCCGGGAGAGCCCGGCGCGCGCGGCCTCGCGCTCTATTGGCTAAGACAAGGGCGTCAGTTTGTTTTCAGAATTGCTGGGGACAATAACCATACACTTGAGTGGGGTTTAAAAATTGCTGGGGACAATAAAGTAGGCTAGCACAGGGGTCGGCAATCCGCGGCTCTGGAGCCACATGCGGCTCTTCCATCCATCTGATGCGGTTCTCTGTGCTTGTAAAATAATGAATGGATATTTAAATAAAATGCTTTATATTTTACTGCATTAATTTTACATCTGTAAGCCAATTCTAAATGTAAAGATTGTCTGCGTAAACCTGAACAGGTCCAACCCGGTCTTACTGTGAGACCGGGTTGACGCGTCACGCTTGTGCGTAATCATATGCGCTTCCTGAGCTGGAGGATGTCAGATTCTGGGCTTCTCCTCAGACAGGTTCCTGGATGCGTCGCCACATTGGAGACAGGAACAAGCACTATTCAGCCAAAGTTTCATAATCAGGTGTGGCAGTGTGAGTGTCCTGTCACATTGTCCCGATAGATAATGCGCCCTGGCTACTTGGCCAAGAGGATGTCCCTTTGGCTGAATGGTTAGAGCATATGACTCTCACCCGGGAGTATGGGATCGAATCCCGCCCGGGCCCTCGTTTCTCCGCCTTGCCACATATTGACGGATAAACTCAAGGATGTTGGTTGTTTTGAAAGAATTACCCCGACGCACACTGATGCGCATGGATGAGCTGACATTTTAATCGTTAACGCACATCGCAGAGGTAACTTGATTCCCATCAGAACATCAGAGCTTTATACTGGACACTGTGTTCAGCGTGGCTCGGAGAGCCCACGGTGGACAGTGGGCTGAAGATCTGAGGGGTTCGCAGCGCAGCGCAGAACCACGGCGCATGCGATGATTTCCTCCCACTGAAGCGGTCTGGAAACCCGGTCTCTCTGAGGGATGTGTCACTTGGAAAAATGTTCTTTTTATGAAATTATGAAACTTTGGCTGAACAGCGCGTGTTCCCGTCTCTAATATGGAGACGCATTACGCATCCAGTCTGAGGCAGAATAGCCTCTTCAGCTCAGAAAGCACCTGTAGAGACATTTGATTACGCTCAAAGTTTATGTGGAGCAGAAGCCGCCGGGCCACAGCAGGTGAAATGTTCCTAGCCTACATGAAGTGTAATGTTACTGGACACGCTGGTCTGGTTGGTTAGACCAGTGTTTGAAGTGGAAAACACACACACACACACACACACACACACACACACACACACACACACACACACATACACACACACACACACACACACACACACACACACACACCAATTAAAATAATGCTGATAGCGTGGACTAGAAGACAGGTGATGGGTTACGTATTTAAATGATGATCAGGCTGCTGTAATGTTTTAGACCGTTTGACTCAGAAGACCTCCGACCCGATTTGGACACAGAGGAGGATTCTGTTCATCTTCAGAACCAAAATCGGTACAGTTTGTTTACTTTTCTTAAATATTTCATTTCTGTGCTCCACTGGGAGCTCTAAGCTGACGAGTTCTCAGCTGGTCTTAGCTCCATCATGTGTCCCAATACAGTTTTACTGCCGTGTGTATTTATTGATATAACTCTGGAAAATATTCAACCGTCAATTTACCAGAATAAATCTTCCTGATGCTGGAGTAACTCCTTAGTTCAGCTTGTTGATTGCACTAATCCTGGATGTCATGGAGGCTTTAATGTTGAAATATAGAGATCATCTTTTAGATTATATCTGTGTGTGTGTGTGTGTGTGTGTGTGTGTGTGTGTGTGTGTGTGTGTGTGGTGGGGTCAGAACTGTAGAGAGTTGCGACACGCTTTGAACTCGTCGACTTGCAGTCACGTGGTTCATATGGTGGGACAAATCACAAAAATTGAATATTGTCACATTTCCCCTGGCATTTTTGGTAATCCTTGAATAATATTATATATTATATTTTATGTCCTAATTCCTTCACAAAGTAGCCTATTTATTTATTTTTTTCCAAACATTTGTAGGAAGACAGACACCCAAGGCCGGATTAACCATACGGGCAACTGGGCAATTGCCCAGGGCCCACGAGCTCTAAAGGGCCCAGGGCAGCAAGGTCACGAGCAAAATACTGTATCTGTAATCTCCCGCTTTATATTAAACTAGGGTGACCGTACGTCCTGTTTTCCCCGGACATGTCCACTTTTCACTCTCTGTCCGGGCGTCCGGACTGGGGGTTCTTGTATTGATGAAAATGTCCGGCTTTTCATCCAGGAGCAGGGATCGAATTATGGGGGAGTTGTATATCCTACACATCCAGGGGAGCTGGAAAAAAATGTTTTCTACCTATTCTACATCATTTATGGACTGTCAGCGTACCGGGGGTTCTTTTGAGCAAAGAGCACAGAGAGCGGCAGAGCACTGTTCGTTGGTGCGCTCCAGGCTGCTGCTTCCAGCGCACGGTCCATTCTCAAAGTGGCGCAACCAAAAAACTATAATAAACACACGATCGTTCATGTCCGCACATGTTCTCTACTTTCTGTCTTATTTGTGCCTGAAGCGCTCTGCTACTGCGGAGCTCATCACCTGTCGAAACGCGCTCTCCGCTTTGCGGTCAGGAGATCCCTTTGATCTGCTCAAAAGTAACTGATGAGGTAAAAAAGTAAGAATCTAGGCAGCTGTTTTTCTGGAGAGTTTAGAGGAGATGCAGGAAGATGAGAGACAGACAGGACAGGAAATAGTAAAATAAAAACAAGAAAACAAAGTAAAATGTAGGTAGATTTATCTCCACTACACATTTTTACCTGTATAAAACAATAAGTTACACACATGTAATATTTATACATCTGATACAATTCAGATCACCTTCAAAATCAGTCACACACCCAGGGCCGTTTCAAGACATTTTGGAGGCCAAGGCAAAACAGAACACCCCCCCCACCGCCATAACTGGGCTCCCCAGAAGCCTCTGTGTAATTCATACCCTCTCCAGTAGTGTTAGTTATATGGTGTTTATAAAAGCCCCTCAGACATTACTGACATGTTCTAATATTATCAGATGAAAAACTAAATTATCAGACATGCTGTCTCATCTGCTGCTTTTCTAAACTTGCTAAAAGTAACACAATCATTTGAAAGCCACTATTTGTTGATTCTCTGAAAGTTTCCATGGAGTATGTGACAACTTATCTTTTCATTGATCCTATCGTCTAATCTCACAGCTGAAACAAGCATCCTTAATAATCTGTGCACAGGAAGCTTACCGATGCTGTAGTAAAACAAAAGGTATAATAATTTATTATTAATAAAACCTTGTTGCAGCACTAAAGCAGAAAAATGAGATTTTGCAATAAATATGCAAAATATTTACATATGAATTGTTTTAGAGCCCTTTTATTGGCAGAATCTGATATTAATTTAGTTCTTACAAAAAAATGGGTCCCAGCGTTGTGTGGCGTTGCCATAGTGTGACGTCATAGGCACAGATCCCCTGTCCTCTTTTTTGGAAATGGAAATATGGTCACCCTGTATTCAACATACTGTCCACCTGAGCTTTTGCGATGCAGAGACGCTTCGCTGCCTATGACTCTGAACGTCAGTTGAGAGTCAGTCTCATGCAGACTGACCAATGAAGAGAGGGCCTCAAGTTAAGACCCTCTCCTCATTGGTCAGTCCACACGAAGTGGGTCAAAGGTTACTCTGAGCGGGTTACGTGATGTCAGGCATTCAAGTATTGAGTATATTTACTGCATATTACATTAAAATATTCTGTTTGTGACATAATATGGTGATCCTTGGGTCGTGATGATGGGGCCCTTTATTATTATTGCCCAGGGTACAACAAAGTGTTAATCTGGCCCTGACTACAAGTTTGTTTTATTTTAAAGTGACAATTAATTTACCATTAATTTCTAGAAATATCCATTGAAATGTTATTGTAAATGAATTAAATATGCCCATTTGATGAAACAATTGGCAGTTTCACAACTTATAGGGAGCCTAAGTCATGCTCATCTACTTCCGCACCACGGGTCCCCGGAAGAACGAAAAAATGAATGCAAGTCAACGGGGCTAAAAACAGCTATTTTCTAATTCTGCTTGTTTTGTGCCACGGATTTCACATATGATGTCCATGATTTTTAAAGACACATTCTGATACCAAGAACACACTTATTTTCGAACGGGGGAAACGCTATTTTAGGTTTTGTGTGAAAATACGTCCAGGACTAGAAATGCGCTTCACGAAAGTGACGTCATCGAACCAGACACAGAGAAAACTGAGGGACAAGGTCTGTAGGTTCCGCAAACTTCCCACAGGAGGAAGGAACCACCATAAATCTGCATGGTCATGTGGTAAGTAGCAGCTACGCTACGGGTTTGGAGACTATGTGGTAGAAGAAGAAGAAGAAAATATTATTTCTATAGCACCTCTCAAGATAAAACGTGACGTGATGGCGTCACATACGGTATGCGACGTGCCGATTTCTGGTGTGTAGTCATGCTAATTACAAATTTTTACAAGCTGATAAATCTCAAAGTACGTGACAGGTGTAGTCAAAACACCCATCATTACTTTTCATTTCAATTGGAGTACAACATGTGTGTGATCCAGGGGGTAAGGCTAAGCGGATTAGAACATGTAGCGTTTTTAGCCCCGTTCAGGGACCCATGAGTCGACCGGAAAGGGAGGAGACTTAGGCTCCCTACAACCATAAAAATCTGTTCTAAATTACATGAAAGCAGGTCTAAGTCTCTGGGCGACGCCATATTGGATGTCATGTGTCCTCTGCAGAAGCCCGTAAGGACAAAATGCATTTACTGATTTGTAACAAATGATTGCAAAACTTTCACCAATAATAAACATTGTTGTTTACCTCTTCACTCACTGCCAGTGTTGAAAGAGAGTCTAATGTGTGTCATTTTGCTGGAAGTTGCAATCCCAGGGTTTTTTGACCCTAATGGCCATCTGTTGGCGAAGTCTTATTTGAACACAAAAATAATGCTTGCTTGCAATGATTCAGGTATCTTTAAACTTTAAATCGGACCTTGAAAGGAGATGAGGAGCAACAGGCTGCAGAACAATTAAATGGTGAGAACTTATTTATGTGAAATAATACAATACACAATACAAATATTTTTATTTACAAATAAAATAATCATACTGGAGACAGAAAAATCAACAAACGAGACAAAAGTATTTTCATAAAATATAAAAATACAAATGTTTTTATGTTTTTTATTCATTAATCTCCTTTTAAATTTTGCATACAGGAAGATTTATCTTAAATGCGAGTGAATGAATGAATGTGTGTGTGTGTGTGTGTGTGTGTAGACATTTTAAATGAAGGGTTATAAAGATCTACAAACCTAATTTCCTAAAACAAAACATGGGATGAGAAACAATAGAAGCATTAGAGACGGGTTACTGATGGGTGGAGAAAACAAAAGCTAACAGATTCTATTTAAAGAGCAAGTCACCCCCTACTAGATTCTTACTCAACTCCCACTTCCTGTTTGAAAAATGCAACAAATGCTGTTGCCTAGCAGACCGAGAGGGCAGAGCCGCTAACAAATACACACACACACACACACACACACACACACACACACACACACACACACACACACACACACACACACACACACACACACACACACACACACACACACACACAGGCTCACAACGACATTGTGACATCAAATGGTACCAGCTAACATTCTAGTGTACCTCTTAGCCAATAGCGATGGCAGATTTAAATTCAAAAGCAGTGCAGAGTTTTTACCTGACAACGGCACAACACTGACAGTTTTAGGCAGAAAATTAAAATTTTTACTAAAATACACTGGAGTGCTAAACTATTGACTACACGTGTCTGCAGCACGATTAGACACGCGTTTATATAGTTTATCAGGAAACAAAAAAGTTGATTTGGGGGTGACTTGCTCTTTAATGTTCCTTTCACATAAAAATAAACTGCATTTATGCAAAGTTTTTATTTAACACACTTTGTGTTCAGCGGAGCGCACAGCCAGTCGGGAATATTTCAGTGTTTTGACTAAAAACAAACTGCGATGGACCGGCTCTCTGTCCAGGGCGTACCCCGCCTGATTGCCCATTGACCACTCGAGATAGACACCGGCCCAACCCACAACCCTACGTGGACACGCGGGTTTAGACAATGGATGGATGGATGGACTAAAAACAAAATAACTTTATAACAGAACCATCCATTTACTAACTAATGTTCACATTCACGGCCAGACTACATTTAATATAAAATGCTGTGGGAGTCACTGAATGGTTCATCTACAATAAAGACACACAGCTTTAGATAAAAACTTGTATTTTTATCCCTTCACAGTTGGAAAACCTGTTATTGTTCTGGTTTTTTTAGGCCAACAGCAGGAAGCTGAATATGAAAAAGAGGCTAATTTGACTAAAGTTTGCATCTTTTTTGGTGAACAGAAGTTTCCTCATGATTTATCCACATTGCATCTTCAGGATAACTCTGAAAATGTCCTCATATGTGTTTTTCTGCAGGATGTTTCCATGAAGCAGTCAAACGAATTCCTGGAAAAAACAAATTGTGGTTTCACTTTGAGACGGGAGCTCCTGATTGGTCGCTGCCCTCTGAGACCGAACAGGCAGGTTTCTCACCCGCAGCTCTAGGCTCCGTGTTGCAGACCTTTGTGTTTGCTGCCAACTCAGATGAAACAATGTTTTCATGAGAAAGGCGTGACTGGCGGCGGACGTAGGGCTTCTCCTCCACAGGGACGTAGTGCTTACTGAAGCATTTACAAATTCGCATCCACATGATGTACATGAACTCCACGATGTTCAGAACGATGCACAGCATGGAGGTGCAGCCCATGATGTAGAGGAAGATTTTCTTCTCCGTAGCTCGGGCGATGTAACAGTCCACTGTGTTGGGGCAGGGACTCTGGCTGCACTGCAGCAGAATGGGCACGTCAAAGCCATTAAACAGGAAGTAAAATGCCAGCAGGGAGCCCACTTCAAAGCCAGTCTTACAGATCAGGCTGATGGTGTAGGTGCAGAAAAGGCCTCCATCGATGTTCTTTTTGTCCTCGTAGAGTCTCCGCTTGTGTTTGGCCTCTCGGTGCTCCCTGTAGGCCACATGCAGCGCCACCAACAGTGAGGGTGTGGACACCATGATCAGCTGCAGGGCCCACAGACGCACCTGAGAGATGGGGAAGAAGTGGTCAAAGCAGACGTTCTCACAGCCGGGTTGCTCTGTGTTGCAGATAAAATCCTTCTGTTCATCCTTCCACACCTGCTCGGCAGCAGCAACGTACACCAGGATCCTGAACACGAAAACCACCGAGAGCCAGATGCGTCCTATCACAGTGGAATACTTGTTCACCCCACTGAGGATGTTCTCCAGGAAGCCCCAGTTCATCGTCCACGCCTGCAAGGAAGCAACAAAAAAGGAGGATCATGTACAAATTTACAGCAACATGCCTGAATATTTAACAATAACTGATGATTACATTACATATTCATTCTCTGAACCTTTTGTCCACTTTTTTCTGATATAAACAGCCTTTACGGTAAAGATCATCAGCTGACAAAGCAGGAGCTGACCGGTCCAGCAAAACAATAAGTTAATAATAAACCTCCTGCAGGACTCAAGTGAAGCCCTGCTAAAAAAAAAAAAAAAAAAATACAACAACAACCCTTAAATATACATTTGAAACAAAAATTGAAAAAAAGATTTGAATTTGAAAATTTGCTTTTAACCAAACAAACAAAAGAACGAAGTGTTTGAAAAATGGCAGTTAGAAAATAATCTGTCAAATATTCATTCCAGCTACAAAAATTCTAAAGCACTTTTCATTTTCTTTTCTCCTTCAAAAGCAAGTTCCAAAGCTTCAATTTCCACCTAAAATTTTTGAATGTTTAATCTTGAATGATCTTATTTTTAATAACACTTAACATCTAATATTTATAATCTCAATCCAATAATGATATATGTATATATATATATACATATATATATATATATATATATATTATATTTATAAAACTGAAGGAAAAACTAATCTAAAAAGTTAAGTCAAAATATGTGTAAAAAAATCATGTTTGGTTATTCAAAATGTAAAAAGCACATAAAGACACAGACAAAATATCAAGTTTACCATAGAGGCTTCGTTATCTGGCTTTTAGAGTTCACACTGAAACCTTCTGAGCTATAAAGGGACATTGGTTAAAAAAAAACAAGGCTTCTCATCTGCAGCAGATTTTTCGTAAAAATCTGACTTTCATTTTCCATAAAATTTGTTTTTGTTTAAAATTTGTTCTCTAATATTTTGGCACTTGTTTTACCCCATAGAACTGGATCTACTTTCATCCCATCACTTACATGATTTGTTTAATTAATACACATTTACTACCAATCATAGATGATTCTACCTTCTCAGGTTTCATTTGAGACTTCTGGGATTTTGACTAGACAGGTACGACCAGAAAAACGTCCAAGGAAAAATTATTCAAATAATTAAATGAACTAGTCATGTTTTCACCAGCTGGGCTTGTGATCGGCTGATGTCAGTTGTTCTCTTTTGGCGTTAAAGTTTTATTTTCAAATGTTACAGAGAAATAATAAAAAGTGATAACGGATCTAAAATATAACATTTGCTTTTATAACAGAGATTCAAAGGTCTGTGGTAAGAAAAAGGAGAATTTTCTCAAATGGTTTAGGACAAGGAGTGTTGGTTAAGGAAGAAACTGTATTAACCCTTTGATGCATGAATTATGAAATCTTCAACCATGATTTTTTAACAAATTTTTTCATTCTTCTTTAGGTGTGAATGAAACAAATTTCAACAAATAGTTTTTGTAACATTTAATAATTTACAAATAATTTATTACATGTCCACCTCAGTGGACAACGTGCATTCTGAACATGAAATATGCTGGCTTCCCTTACTGAAGTCCAAATGAAGGGGTTCAAACACAATAAAGTCTTCAACAGCTGTGCTTAATAGCAAAAAAAATAAAAAAATAATTTGAGCACCTCTCCACTATAGTGACCATTATGCATCAAAGGGTTAAATGGCAAAAAATTCTAAATATATAAAACTTTTCTGTATTCTGGATTAGTTCTTTAAGAATTTTTCATTCTTTTGCTACTAAACTACCTCCATACAGATGGGGAAAGCAAACCCGTATTTAATGGAATACTCACCTGAGGTTTTCTCAGGTGGAGTTTCTGACCTGTTCAGGTGCTAGTTTGTGTCTAAACGCGTCCTCTCTCTACTCACCTGAAATGCCGCACCTCAGCCGAGCCGACTCCCAACAACCAGCAGCGTCATTTCACATAGATTCAGATCAGTCCCACATCCCTCTGCATGTGTTCAGCTGCAGCCTCAGCAGTGATCATGTATGGAGAAAAGTTCATGTAAATACATCACGTGTCGAGCGTTGATGTCCTGTTCAGGGACTTTCTGGTGGAGAACAAACACCTGTGTTATTCTTTCCTCCCTCACCTGGCCTGTCTCACTGACTGATTGGTGAGACGGATATCATGTTACTCAGTTGATGAGTAAATAATGCATGCAGCCCTGAGGCACGAGGACAGTCTCAGCTGTCAGGTTTCAGCTCCAACATAAGCTCATTAAATATCTGAAGTTCTGTGGGTTTTGGCTGGTTTAGTAACCCGTGCCACCCCTCAGTGCCTTTAGTTGTCCTCCTATAGTTTCTTTTAAGGCATCAGATTTCTTTTGTGTTTTTAATTCTTGGCATGCTTACCTCCCAGTAGACTGTTCACCTTTTCCTTCTGTTTTCATTCCTTAAGTTTTGGTTTCACTCACAAAGAGTAGATTTGTTTTTAGCATTTAAACCATCCTTTACTCACGATCTGAGTGACTTTGTCTGGATTAAAGCACAAAATATGAACAAAACAAAGCAAGTTCTCTTCCTGAATTGGTCTTTAACTTATTTTATGGTTTACAACATTATACAACTAATAACAATAATAATACATTTGATTTAAGGCGCCTTTCTGTCGCTCAAGGTCACCGTACAAACGCAGACATTTGCAGAAAAGACAATAACATAAAACATAGCAGCAGAGCACAATACAGCACCAACAAGTTAAAAAGAACTGGAAGCACAATTACAGTGAATAGGCATCCTCAAAAAGATATATTATAATTATAATTTTCTGTTTTAACTAAAAACTGAAACTTCTTTCTGCTTTTCTGAAAATTAGGAGGATGTAAAAACTATTTCTGTGAAAGCAGACAGGACCAGGAATTACGTTAAATTAACACGTTTATTGTTAATCCTTGAAACCTATTTTACTTCTTGCCCATTAGAGGGCGCCACTGACACTCCTCTCTTCCAGATCTTTCTAACTGACTTTACTTGCTTTATGGTTTTAGGACTTTGTAGCTGATGTCATGTTTTTTTATGAAGGCTTTATGATTTTTATGGTTGTTTAGCAGTTTGAGACTGTAAAACATGCATTACAAATTAAAGAGCAAGTCACCCCCCAAATCAACTTTTTTTCTGATAAACTATATGAATGCGTGTCTAATCGTGCTGCAGACACATGTAGTCAATAGTTCTGCACTTTGGTGCATTTTTAATTTTCTGCCTAAAACTGTCAGTGTTGTGCCGTTGTTAGCTGGTACCATATGATGTCACAATGTCGTTGTGAGCCTGTGTGAGTATTTGTTAGTGGCTCTGCCCTTTCGGTCTGCTAGGCAACAGCGTTTGTTGCATTTTTCAAACAACAATGGTCTGTTATTTTTCTGCAGCTTGAACTTGGTTATAAGATATATTTTATTTTTTAACTATTTCTGGAGTTTTGTTTTCTTTTGCTTCCTTTTTAAACCCATCAGACAGGACCCAGATTAATTACACTAGTTTGTTAGTTTTAAATCCCCCTCACAGCTAAACACGTCTCATAAATATGCTCATTTTCTCTCAGAAAGGTCATAAGCTCTTCGACACTTGTCACTGATAAAAACCGGAACAGAAGTGAAATATGACCAGATGAATGTAGATATACGATAATGCAGCCCAACAGGTATGATAAAAGATTATTCTGAGGGTGTTTTAATGCTTTGTTTGCACACATTTGATTAAGTCAGCTATAATTATCTTTAATCCATTATTTCATGACAGGGAGGATAAAAAACAAATATATATTCAGCATCAGAACAAATTCAGGTCAGAATGTTCTCTAATGTTATGAAAACATGATTGCTTTGTGACATTACCGCATTAATGAAATCATAGATACAGTAAATCTGAGTTTCCTGTTTATTAAAACACAAGAATCTGAATTCATTTAGTCCAACAAACTGAAGCCAAACATGCTCAGAAGTTTCTCATGAATTTATTACTTTTTACATCTATTAAACATCATAGAAACAGCAACAAAAGGGAAGGATGGAGTGCATTGCTGTGAAAAAGTCCTTCAAGGCCAGCTGATGCTTTACATAAGGAAAACACAATATTTACATATAAATAAAAAAAATGAACAGCTCAGGTCTGCATTTAAAGACCGATCCTCTTGGAGGATGAAGGCAAAGCAGAAGGAAAAGTGCATCTGTTAGCTGAAAACAACCAAACGGCTTCACAAGAACAGACGCTGATCTAGAACAGTGCAGTGCATAGGAAGAAAAATGCTTAGTATTGATCTGAAGTGAGACGGCATCAGTTAATCCAGTGTTTGCTTGCATCAGTGTTAGCATAGCTTTTCAGAAACGGGCTACAACGAAACGTTTTCTTCTGGCATAGAAGTCAGTGTTTTAGCGACTGAATGAACACAGCAGCACACGTGGCTGCTGAGCTGCTCTTTAGCTGGTGATGCTGCCGTTGCTACAGCTAATTTATTCACATTCTTCCTTTGAGAAAACAATGTACAGCTGCAACAGTTTAGAAGTTTCATCCTAAACTCAAAACAAGCGTAGAAACACGCTGATTAAGCTCACAGTCCCGTGTGCCGACCTGCTGCAGGCTTCCAGGAAAGAGCCAATCAGATGCAAGGGTCACCTCAGAGGCGCAGCAGCTACTTTTGAAGAGTTAGTAAAAAGTTCAGTTTAAGGATAATGTAACACATTTATACCCTGCCTTCAATTAAGAGCATATTTTGTGGATTTGAGAGCATTGTTGTTGTTTTCATGCTCAGATTCTGTTCTCGCTTTAAGCCCTCTGATCCAGGGGTGCCTCCAGAAAATTTTGATAGGGGGGCCAGATGGGGCCAAAGACATTTTTGGGGTGGCACACCAAATTGGTCCTTGTGGTAACTCTGGGAGAATTTAGCCTGTGTAGATGTGCGGCATTGAGCCTTTATTCGTTTTGATTAAAATAACAGTACATATCCAAAACATTGAACTAAAATTTTACAAACACAAACATTTCAGAAATAGAAATTTCAGTTATTTAAAAGGTTACCCCAAAATTAATTAAAAATATAATTTTTTTAGGTTTATTCACCTGTGTTGCTGTGTTCACAAAAAAAAAATGGAGATAAAAACTTTTTTAAAATGGCGAGCAGCAGAAACGTATGTATATTTTTTTATTCTGATTATTTCTTTGCTCATTAATTGTAATATTTAGAGAGAGAGAGAGAGAGAGAGAGAGAGAGAGAGAGAGAGAGAGGAGAGAGAGAGAGAGAGAGAGAGAGAGAGAGAGAGAGAGAGAGAGAGAGAGAGAGAGAGAGAGAGAGAGAGAGAGAGAGAGAGAGAGAGAGAGAGAGAGAGAGAGAGAGAGAGAGAGAGAGAGAGAGAGAGAGAGAGAGAGAGAGAGAGAGAGAGAGAGAGAGAGAGAGAGAGAGAGAGAGAGAGAGAGAGAGAGAATGAAAACAACATTAATTCTCTCAAATCCACAAGATACGCTCGACTCATGGCAGGATGGGAATCCCTTATTTACTCCACCTAGGATACTTTGTAAAGAAGGACGATGTGGGACGTCCTCTTGTTGGAGGAAATGGCAGTTACACTATCGGCTGATTTCAGGATAAAAAAAGAGAGAACTGGAATTTTCCTCTCGTTGCTTAAAAGTATAATCTTTCATCCAAAAGCTTCTGAAGTTCTGATCATGGACCGGGTTCTCCAGATGTGCAGTCTCTTCTTGGGACATCGGATCCAAACTTCACCTTTGAGAGTTTATGAAGTGATGAAGACCCAAACAAGTGTTCTGTCACCACTTACAGCCCAGGATGAGGACTGAATGAGCCTTTAGGATGAGAGGTGAAACGTTGGAGAAGTCGTTCGGTCATATTTTTTTTAACTCTCAGGAGCGCCACCTCCTGGATGATTGAGAATCTACATCCACACATCAGCTTTTTACCGGCATGTTTCTGAGCTTAGATTCAGTTTCTGATTTGCGCGTTTTCCCAATATATATTAAATACTTAGAAGTCCAGCCTGCAAACAGCAGCACCCTCTGCGTCTTAGTGCCTGTTGCATGCACACGGAACATCTTTGAATGCATGGTACCACGCTGGTACGGTTGGTCCTACGTTATTCTTGCTTTTGCTACACGATTTTACATGCATCAGTTGTAAAGCCCCCGAAGCTGGTCTCTATGTGATGATACACCCATGCATAGGCTGGCATTTTCAAGCTTCAGTTTCCTAAAGGCAGCAACAAAAAGCTACAACAGGTCATGTTTCAGAAGCTGTGAAGCAAAGAAACAAGCATGCACGGTCCTGCAGAAGACAAACGGGAAATTCAAAAGTGTTGTTCCCTCGCCATCATCCTTATTTACTCTCTTCCACCCAAAAGTTCATAGAAACGACAAAACATGGAGACAAAAGAAAAACTTAAAAGTTGGATCTTTTAAAGAAATGCTGGAAAATAAAGAAAATTATTCTGGAACAAGTAAAGAGAATCAGAAGGGTTGAGCTCCTGGTTCCTAAGCTTCTCGAGTAGGGAGGTGTTGGACCCAATCTGCTGATAGAGCTAAAGCTAAAGCTAGCGTTATGTCAGCCTCAAACAGATGTCCATGTGTTTGTTTTAGGAGAGAAACAGGAATCAGGTTGTTTGTAGACTTCAGGTTCGATGTAAACAAGTCCACCAGCAGCGTCGTCATGGTTTTTAACTGGCAGGAAGTTTTTTTCTCATATTTTAACGAACATCTCAGGCGTCAAGTTCACATTCCTGTTTTAGCGTTTAAATGTGGATTCCTGCTCAGATGCGTTACGGTGGACAGGTAAAGGGGACCAATCAAAACTTAAAAGGGGCAGGGCCTCACACACTTATTACATTCAAGTTTTTTTTATAGCAACTTAAATCTTCATTTAGGGGCATGAATGAGGTTTTGTAGCAAACTCGACCACAAACTCCACGTCGTGAAGTCTGGCTGGTTTCTGCTGCTGAAGCAGGACTGAAGCGGAGCCAGAAAAACCACCAAAAACCTCATTCCTGGCCGTGAATCTGCTCCGAATCTAAATCAAACAAGAAGTTAAAATGTAGCCGAGTAGCGGCAGCGGAAAGTGAAAGTGGGGACGGCAGTTGAGCTTATCCGAGTATGAACCTGTGTCTTATCTCCTGCAAACAGAAACCACCAAACGGTCCCGCTGGACACTTAATACTAAAGCAAACAATCAAAACAAAATAACACTAAAAAGGTCAAAGTTAAACATCATCATTAGAAATACGAATGCATTTATACATTCATTTCATCTGGGATCTTGGCGACTCGCCTGCTCCGATTTGGCCGTTTCGTCTCATTTGTGGAAAGTTTGGAACATAAAAGGACAACTTTCCCACGTCGACCTGGTTTCACTAATACATAATTATTAACCCTTTAGGCGCCATCGTTCTTTCAGTAAAATATGAATGTTTTACATCACTATTTAAAAAGCTTGTAGCTTAAATCTGGTTAGAGATAGAGGAATATTGTAAATGAGAAAAATCTTCAGTATGAGCCAAATTTTGTGATAGGAACAAATTCACTCACATAATTTGCATATTATGATGTAATCAGGTAGCAGCCATATTGGATTGCATCGCATTTGCAGATTTTTGTTGTTTTTTTTGTTTTTGTCTTTTTTTCTTAGTGTTGTTATTGTTTATGATACATATATACATATTCCAATGTAGACATATATAACTATGTATGTATGTATATATATATATATATATATATATATATATATATAATATTTATTACTTTATTGGTATTTTGTTATGTTTACTGCGTATCAATCAAGAACACTGTTTTTGGTGCTTCAGTGTCATGAACACATTTCACTCATCCCTTCTTTGGTTTATTTCGACCGGCCGGGACCTACCGACCCGACCCGACCCGACAGACCGACCGACCGACAGACAGATAGATAGGGGCTGAATTGATCACCAGCGGAGTTTTCACCGGCCCGATCACTGCCACTACATCCCCCCTCCCCCCTGGCACGGTGGATCACGGGATCGGACCTGGTACAAGCCCCCCGCCACGTCTCTTTGCCCGACGCGGAACATCGGACAAGATAAGGGCTGGATGGGCTGCTTGTGTAACAGTATCGTCGCTGACGCAGCAACAGAAAGTCCGTCAGGCTGACGGACTCTCTGTTGCTGCGCGCTGAAGCCACGGGCAGGAAATATTCTTCCTCCAAATCCGAATCTGCAAGTACTAGACGAAGAGCTTCGTCAGCACTGAACATTCCTCTCGGCATTGTGTTTTTTCTTCTACCACTCGCTCGCTCTCACTCATCTGACTGCTCTGACAAGCCCTGCGGCTCTGCGACTGGTGGGCAGGGTTCAAGTTCTAAATACTCAAAAAGTTTGAATAGTAACAAACCCACAAATGCTGCTTGGGTTGAAGTTACAGGTGTCTGCAACCCCGCAGTGTAACGTATTAACTGCATGAGGGCTCATTTCTGCTGCTGTGGCTTATTAAATCCAACATTGCTGCTTGTTGCAATTCTGCGACTTTGGCGCTTAAAGGGTTAATATTATCGCGTTATATCAGCTTTAGCTGATAATGTAGAAAAATGCTGACAGATTAGCAGCTTTAGACTTTTTGAATTTAGACTACCGTATTTTCCGGACTATAAGCTTTTTTCATAGTCTGGCTGGTCCTGCGACTTATATACCAAATTATGTATACCGCGCTGCTGCGAGCCAGCTCCAGCCCAGGAATGAGCTCTCCCCGCCCACTGGGAGGGTTTGAAACACCGCCATTCTCTGTTGGAGACCGTGGCGCTGGTTGTTTATTCTGTTATTGTTACCGGTACTTGTCTTGCAATGTGAAATGTTTGACTTGACTTAAAGTCCAGAGTGACGTATATATATATACACACAGTGGGGCAAAAAAGTATTTAGCCAGCCACCGATTGTGCAAGTTCTCCCACTTAAAATGATGACAGAGGTCAGTAATTTTCATCATAGGTACACTTCAACTGTGAAAGACAGAATGTGAAAAAAAATCCATTAATTCACATGGCAGGATTTTTAAAGAATTTATGTGTAAATCAGGGTAGAAAATACGTATTTGGTCACTTCAAACAAGGAACATCTCTGGCTCTCACAGACCTGTAACGCCGTCTTTAAGAAGCTCTTCTGTCCTCCACTCATTACCTGTATTAATGGCACCTGTTTGAACTCATTATCTGTATAAAAGACACCTGTCCACAGCCTCAAACAGTCAGACTCCAAACTCCACTATGGCCAAGACCAAAGAGCTTTCAAAGGACACCAGGAAAATAATTGTAGACCTGCACCAGACTGGGAAGAGTGAATCTACAATAGGCAAGCAGCTTGGTGTGAAAAAATCAACTGTGGGAGCAATTATCAGAAAATGGAAGACATACAAGACCACTGATAATCTCCCTCGATCTGGGGCTCCACGCAAGATCTCATCCCATGGGGTCAAAATGATCATGAGAACGGTGAGCAAGAATCCCAGAACCACACGGGGGACCTGGTGAATGACCTGCAGAGAGCTGGGACCACAGTAACAAAGGTCACCATCAGTAACACACTACAACGGCAGGGAATCAAATCCTGCAGTGCCAGACATGTTCCGCTGCTGAAGCCAGTGCATGTCCAGGCCCGTCTGAAGTTTGCCAGAGAGCACATGGATGATACAGCAGAGGATTGGGAGAATGTCATGTGGTCAGATGAAACCAAAGTAGAACTTTTTGGTATAAACTCAACTCGTTGTGTTTGGAGAAAGAAGAATACTGAGTTGCATCCCAAGAACACCATACCTACTGTGAAGCATGGGGGTGGGAACATCATGCTTTGGGGCTGTTTTTCTGCTAAGGGGACAGGACGACTGATCCATGTTAAGGACAGAATGAATGGAGCCATGTATCGTGAGATTCTGAGCAAAAACCTCCTTCCATCAGTGAGAGCTTTGAAGATGAAACGTGGCTGGGTCTTCCAACACGACAATGATCCCAAACACACCGCCCGGGCAACAAAGGAGTGGCTCCGTAAGAAGCATTTGAAAGTCCTGGAGTGGCCTAGCCAGTCTCCAGACCTCAATCCCATAGAAAATCTGTGGAGGGAGTTGAAAGTCCGTGTTGCTCGGCGACAGCCCCAAAACATCACTGCTCTCGAGAAGATCTGCATGGAGGAATGGGCCAAAATACCAGCTACTGTGTGTGCAAACCTGGTAAAGACCTATAGTAATCGTTTGACCTCTGTTATTGCCAACAAATGTTATGTTACAAAGTATTGAGTTGAATTTTTGTTATTGACCAAATATTTATTTTCCACCCTGATTTACAAATAAATTCTTTAAAAATCCTGCCATGTGAATTCATGGATTTTTTTTCACATTCTGTCTCTCACAGTTGAAGTGTACCTATGATGTAAATTACTGACCTCTGTCATCATTTTAAGTGGGAGAACTTGCACAATCGGTGGCTGACTAAATACTTTTTTGCCACACTGTATATTATATATATTTTTTCCTCTTCATTATACATTTTATGGCTGGTGCAACTTATACTCCGGAAAATACGGTAAAATCTTTCAAACATGGGACGTTAAACTACACTAACGCTATGTCACGGACATCTTTGTTTCACATTTAAGACAATAAAATTTTACTCAATTCTGCACACGTCACTCAGCATGATTATTCACAATCGAAAAAAAAATAGGTCAGACATTAAAGCTAAAGCATGTGTGAAATTTTAGAGCATTTTGTGACTATTGGGTTTTATTCCAGCTTATTTAAAACTCAAAAATATTATTGGATATTTAGAGATTAGAGAGTCTGAGTTTGTGTGCTGCTGAAAATAATCCGACATCTTCAGCTTTAGCTCCCATCCTGAGCTCTTTTTGATCCTCTTCTGCAGATTTATGAAAGGTTTTATAGATTTACGTCTCTGGTAGGACCAGATGGACGTTAAGTCGAAGAGGAAATGACTAAATGTCCTTTCAAAATAAAGGTTCTTCAAAGAGTGGAAACATTTCCTCTATTATTGATTTAAAGTCACCCCCAAATCACCTTTTTTTCCTGATAAACTACATAAATGCGTGTCTAATCGTGCCGCAGACACGTGTAGTCAATAGTTTTGCACTTTAGTGCATTAGTTAAAATTTTTATTTTCTACCTAAAACTGTCAGTGTTGTGCCGTTGTCATGTAAAAACTCTGCACTGCATTTGAATTTAAATCTGCCATCGCTATTGGCTAAGAGGTACCCTAGAACGTTAGCTGGTACCATATGATGTCACAATGTCGTTGTGAGCCTGTGTGTGTGTGTGTATTTGTTAGCGGCTCTGCCCTCTCGGTCTGCTAGGCACCAGCATTTGTTGCATTTTTCAAACAGGAAGTGAAAGTTGAGTAAGAATCTAGTAGGGGTGACTTGCTCTTTAAATATTTTGTTTCTCATATTTTATTTATGAGTTAATTCGATTTAACTCTACATAACTTCATACTTAATTTCTGGTTGTTTTTTTAATTAACAATCAAATTCAAACCTAAAACCGAGTAAATCCTGAAGATTTAGCAAACAAAACATTTGTTTATCTGTTAAAATAAATAAAATAATCTGCCTTTTTCACACCCTTCTTTAGATTTGGCTCTAAAGCTCACCACGTTTGGCAGTAATTATAAATAATCATGAGGAGGAAACAAAGATGCACTGCTTGTATAAGTGTACTTTTACAATACAGCTTATACAAGTGTACGTGTGTATCGTGTCTAACATATCTACAGCAGGTTTCTAACAGCTTTGTGGCTCAGCGGGGCTGATTGGACTCGTGCGATGTCCAATAAATGAGTTCATGACCAGTGTGACAATATTTATAGATTCCTATTTTGGGTTTGGCAGTGAATGTGAGAGTTTCATGCATCTGTCCCTGCTCTTCATGCAGAGTTTGGCTTTGTGCGGTGTGTGTGTGTGTGTGTGTTCAGTGGTGTGGCACTCCTTCGGCGGTGCAGTTGATGGTGCTGAACCCAGGGAGCGTGACTCGCCCGCTGATGTAGATTTCTCGGTTGGAGCCCTGGTTCATGCGCTTCACCAGGTTCTTCTCGTACAGCAGCGGGTGGTACGCGCCGAGCGTGCAGGCGGCGTCGTAGAAACGCTGGTAGTAGTGGCAGAGCTCGGTCTTTCTACGGGACGGCAGGAACTCGTAGACATGCACCACCTCGCACAGTGACATCATCAAAACGGTGCCTGTACAGGAAGAGGTAGTTAACGTTATGAATCCAATGACGAATTATCCAAGGTTGGGTTAAAGAGAAACAAGACATCCCATGGCATTCCTAGGCTTGAGAGGATATTTGATCCTTTCAGTGGCCATTGCCGACTCCTGATGAGAAGCAGCATCTCTAGTCCAATAGATCTAACCCGGCCTTTCCACCGGATGCCCATAATGTCCGCAAAGCGCATTACGCAATAATTAACTCTAATTTCCCTCTGGGATTGATAAAGTATCTTTGATTTGATTTGATTGATTTCTCCTGGCTGGTCATTGCATGAACTGCTGAAATCATGCATTGGGTTGCAATCCTCCAGTGATTTCTTGACCTTGAACCAGTTTGATTTGAACGCTTTTGGTTGGAGAGAACACATCACTGAGCTCGTGGTTAAATGCATTTACTACGTTACACGCCGCTCACGCATCCAGCAGAAAGGACCAGTTAGGCTGAGTCCAGCCGCCCAAGACAGGAAGCTCATTTAGAGACTCGGAGCCAGGATCTTGTGCTTTGCTCCATGAGATTTGGATAGTGACTTCAGCAAAAGGTGCAGATCGGATGGCCCACAGCTTTGAATTGCAGTTTAAACTAGATCGCCGCCCTTACAACTGCAGTAATGAAAAAGTTTCATTTGCATCACGTGGGCCTTTTCCACCAGTACCTACTCAGCACAGCTCAACTCTTTTCAGCCCAGTTCCAAGGTGTTTCCACTAGTAACAGGTACCAGGTCACTGCCCCCTTTTTTAAAACAAGTTGTGAAGTTGTTCCAAGCATACCGGTGTCGGTACAGGATCTGCTTGGGTGCAAAATTGGCTCGGGGTCCGTCGACTGCGGATGACGTCTACAGGTGCTGGCCAGTAAATTAGAATATCATCAAAAGGTTGAAAATATTTCAGTAATTCCATTCAAAACGTGAAACTTGTACATTATATTCATGCAATGCACACAGACCAATGTATTTCCAATGTTCATTACATTTAAATTTGATATTTATAGGTGACAACCAATGAAAACATCAAATCTGGTATCTCAGAAAATTAGAATATTCTAAAGGCCAATGAAAAAATGTTTGTTTCTCTAATGTTGGCCAACTGAAAAGAATGAACATGAAGAGAATGTGCATGTATAGCACTCAATACTTAGTCGGGGCTCCTTTTGCCTCAATAACTGCAGTAATGCGGCGTGGCATGGACTCGATCAGTCTGTGGCACTGCTCAGGTGTTATGAGAGCCCAGGTTGCTCTGATAGTCGTCTTCAGCTCCTCTGCATTGTTGGGTCTAGCGTATTGCATCCTCCGCTTCACAATACCCCATAGATTTTCTATGGGGTTAAGGTCAGGCGAGTTTTCTGGCCAATCAAGGACAGGGATACCATGGTCCTTGAACCAGGTGCTGGTGGTTTTGGCACTGTGTGCAGGTGCCAAGTCCTGTTGAAAGGTGAAGTCTGCATCCCCATAAAGTTGGTCAGCAGCAGGAAGCATGAAGTGCTCTAAAACTTCCTGGTAGACGGCTGCATTGACCCTGGACCTCAGGAAACAGAGTGGGCCAACACCGGCAGATGACATGGCACCCCACACCATCACTGACGGTGGAAACTTTACACTGGACCTCATGCAACGTGGATTCTGTGCTTCTCCGCTCTTCCTCCAGACTCTGGGTCCTTGATTTCCAAAGGAAATGCAGAACTTGCTTTCATCAGAAAACATAACTTTGGACCACTCAGCATCAGTCCAGTCCTTTTTGTCCTTGGCCCAGGCGAGACGCTTCTTGCGCTGTTTCTTGTTCAAGAGTGGCTTGACACACGGAATGCGACACCTGAATCCCATGTCTTTCATGAGTCTCCTCGTGGTGGTTCTTGAAGCGCTGACTCCAGCTGCAGTCCACTCTTTGTGGATCTCCCCCACATTTTTGAATGGGTTTGTCGTCACAATTCTCTGCAGGGTGCGGTTATCCCTAGAGCTTGTACACTTTTTTCTACCACATTTTTTCCGTCCCTTCGCCTGTCTGTTAATGTGCTTGGACACAGAGCTCTGCGAACAGCCAGCTTCTTTAGCAATCACCTTTTGTGTCTTGCCCTCCTTGTGCAAGGTGTCAATGATTGTCTTTTGGACAGCTGTTAAGTCAGAAGTCTTCCCCATGATTGTGGTGCCTTCAAAACAAGACTGAGGGACCTTTTAAAGGCCTTTGCAGGTGTTTTGAGTAAATCAGCTGATTAGAGTGGCAGCAGGTGTCTTCTATATTCAGCCTTTTCAGAATATTCTAATTTTTTGAGATAACAAATTTGGAGTTTTCATTAGTTGTCACTTATGAATATCAAATTTAACTGTAATGAACATTGGAAATACATTGGTCTGTGTGCATTGCATGAATATAATGTACAAGTTTCACGTTTTGAATGGAATTACTGAAATATTTTCAACCTTTTGATGATATTCTAATTTACTGGCCAGCACCTGTAAGTAGTTGATTGGCTGAAAATGAACCTTACGGAATTACGTAATCACGTTAAGTTATCACGTTACGTTGGTCCAGGCAAATCTTTGTGTTGGAAAGATGGACAACTTTTACAAAGAAATCCATCATTACCTCTTTGAAAATACACTTTTAGCATAGAGCTGCATGTATATTAGGGCTGAACGATTAACTGCATGTGCAATTAAATTGCAATGTGACAAAAGGAGATTTTCTAATCGGAAAGGCTGCAATTTGGCAGCGAGTGGTTAGCGCAATGCTAATATACATGGAAAAACCCATAGGAATGCTAATGCTAATATTGCCGATTACATTATTACAAATTATGAATTAGAAACGTGCCAAATGATTACATTTGGAGTCTAATAGAAAGTAAAACTACCATCAATCAAATAAGTACAGACAGGTATTTTAGTAAAGCCAGAAAACTTTTAACTCCAGAGTTTTGGCTAGCAGCTATGAGCGTACCTGAACTACGCATGGACAAGACGTCAAAAACTCTAAACACAAAATACTTCAATAGACAGTACACACTTCTTTCCTGCAAATACAATTTCACAGGAGTTGCTAATACCTATGATCCTTCAAGGGATGTGCTCAAAGAGGAGTTCAACATTATGAATACAATATAGTGATTTATTTTACAAATACCGTTATAAACACAAACTTACGTCTTAAGAAACATTATTTTAACAACGAAACTGCTAAATTCTTTCCAACGGTATAGATTTATAGTGTATTTTGTCCGAGTGGGTTTGCCGTACTTTGACGTCATCGGCAGTCGAAGGACCCCGAGCCGATTTTGCACCCGAGCAGATCCTGTACCGACACCGGGCCAGCCGAAGAGGCAAATTCAGCAACTGTGTGCTGGCTACCCAGAATGTTGCACCTTGATGTCCACGACCTTTTCCAGGTCTCTTCTTCTGGAAGTCTGACAAAAACCACTGCTGCCATGGTGCATTGTGTCGTGTTTGCATGCCACACACAGAACAGCTTGTGTTACTTTTAGGACTCTGGAGCAGTTTCTCAGTTGTAACAGAAAACCACCCAAAGAGTGAAGTTGAGCCACACCGTAGTGGAAAAGGTCCACAGTTTGTTAAGCTTCAGTCGAACTTCAGCTCAAATGTCGTATCCTAGTTTTGCTCTTCGCCTCGGTCTTCGTGTCTTAATGACATGGGACGTGGATGTTTGACATCCTGGCCTTCAGCTGCTCTGTTGTTAATCTGGACTTTTTTTTTCTGCAGTCGTAGACAGGTAGACTGAGGCTGAACGTGAATCTGGCCTCCTGTTCCCTGAGTTCTCACAGCAACTTAAAGCAGAACATAAACAGGTTTCATAGCTCAGTAATAAAAAACAACCAAATTACCCCTTTTACCTGTTCCCGTTGACCCGATGCTGGTGTTTCATTTCAGTGATGGGCTCGACACACGGGAGGCGACATCGCCTCTCCTCCATTCATTTTCAATGAGACATGCGCGACAAAGCGATAATAGCGGGTCTCCCTCCTACTAAGCGAAACGCGAAAAACGTGCGTGTGAAATTTTGCGCTCGTGCACATGTCGTGCACAGGCGACCCAGCGACGCAATCCCAGAAAGTTGAAATATTTTTTTACTTTCATCGCTGTCGCTCAGACGAGGACCAATCAACGGAGGTTTCATTCACTGACCAATGAGCGGACAGGATGCTCCGTGCATCTCCGAGCAAACATGGAGGAGAAGTTGATACTTGCTGTGACGGATTTTCCAGAACGGTACAATATTTCTACCAAAGAATACAGAGATGTTCCCAAAAGGGAAATTGTTGGTGCCAGAAAGAACACATCAGGAGCGTCCTTGAGGTCCCTCATTAAATGATGGTATTCTCCGTTTCTTTCTCTGGTTTGTAATATGGGATGAACCCATTCTCGGGTTTTTTTTAATATAGTAAAATCAGAAGTAAGATTTCACATAACTCTAGCAGCACCTTGTGACACATCATATCCACCGCTTTTTTAACTCTGAACCACTTAAATAACCTTAATTCCCTCCAACCTGACACAGCCAATCAAAACAACGGAAGATTCGATTTCGCCATGGAACAGAACGCGTAGACGGCTTTGCCGCTGCCGCGGGTCACCTCCCGTGTGTAGGGATGGGTACCGAATTCGGTACTTTTTAAGGTACCGACCGAATTCCATAGTACCGACCGAGCACCGACTCACGTCATTTCAAACGGTGTCTCGTTTGGTACCCGTCCTTCATAACGAGAATGTGCCAAGACAGCTGCGCATGCGCAAGAGCGTTATGTCGTCGCTCGCTGCGAGCCAGTTGTAAACAGAGCAGCATGGTAGAAAGAACGCACGCTAAAGCTTGGGTCCACGTCACTAAATGTGATGGGTAACTGGGTGATGATGAAACCAGCAACAGCGATCTAAGTGAGACATCCTCATCTTAATCTGCTCCGGTAGGTAAATAAAAAGTTTAAGATAACGTTAGCTTGATATGTTAGCTTCCGTTTCGCTAATGGTGCATTCGCTTTCTCCTCGGAACTCCGAATTTCCGACTAGAAGAACATGAACGCGCTCTAAAGTTTGGCTTCACTTTACTAAATGCAACGGGTGACTGGGAGAAGATGAAACCAGTGGCAACGATCTAAGTGTGAGGCATCATCGTTTTAATCTGCTCCAGCGGTTAAATAAACTGTTAAAGATAACGTTAGCTTGATATGTTAGCTTCCATTGCCACCGTTGTTATCAGCTAATGGTGCGTTCGCTTTCTCCTTGGAAATTCTAACTTCCCAGTTGGAAAAATCAAATGAAAAAAGACGGCAAAAGGAATGCAGCTACACAGTAAATTTAGTTCACAGTAAAGATGTTTGCTTCAGTTTAATTATCAGCTTATAAAACTACAAGGACGATGTTAATTCAAACAGTTGAATGTTATTTAACGTGATATTCATCAAATATTGTTATATATTGAGAAAAATATATATTTAATTATAAAAGAGAATTAAAATAATAAACACTCAAAAGTATTGAAAATTGGTACCGTTAAGTACCGGTATCGATTCCTAGGTACTGGGAATTAGTACCGAATCGATTCAAATATCAAAGGTACCCATCCCTACCCGTGTGTCAAGTAATAAAAGCGACAGCGACGAATTTCGCTGATCGAGGTCTTTTATCGCCTCCCGGGTATCGAGCCCCTAAGACATCTTAGCAGAGTCAACATTACTCACATTAAAATCTGTAGCTAGCGGAAACCTATTTTTACATGTGGAGACAAGAGCATGAGCAGGAAGTGGTGAGACAGCTGGTGTTTCTCATACCAAGGAAGCCTGAAGAGGGTGGGTTCTTCTGGATGGGCTCAGCCATGTTGTCTTGTATTCGCTGCCAGACCTGCCACTCGAAGCGAGGATGCAGGATGTAGAAGGGCTGCTGCGGATGAAGCCTCCTGTACCTCTGGTACTGGGTGAAGATGGGGTAATCAGTCCGGTTGTACCACTGCAGGAAATACGCAGAACGTGTGGAAAACAGTGTGCAGGAACCATGACCTGGTTTTCATGAGCGTCACTGAGGTAGGAACTGTTGGAGACCGGTTGCAAACACAAAATTGTGGAAAAGCATGCACATTTTTCTTTGGAATTGCACTTAGCTGTGGCTAACGTTATTTTACAAAGTAATTAAGAACAAATTTAAACAAAAGCTAATTTTTATGTTGCAGTTTGGTCACAAAGTTGCTTAACTGTGACACAACTGAGTCTGCAACCCCGCCCAAACCGCCTCTTCTTTCTGACACCAAATGAACTAAATAAATGAGGAAACTTAGGAAGGGTTTGTCAGCATTTTAGGAGAACTTGAGTTTGGAGCACGAGGCTTTATGACTGAAGGAACGAGAGGAAATGTTATGAGACATCAGTCACATTTTACTGCCAACGGTTACATCCCAGTCAGTTCCTGGCTTGATGCAACGTAAAAAACTGCAGATGAATTTACATACATTAAACCTGAACCCAAATGCAGGTTTCTCCTGTAGTTGAGCCTTTAGTCGGACATGACAATAATAGAGCAGTAGCAGATTCTAGCAAACCAAAACTAAAGGAAAAGAAATGGCTGAGTTGTGCTTATGTTGTGGATTTCACCTGAGTGAGGTCAGAGGAAAAGGGGGCGGGGTCCCATGCCACCAGGACACCTGAGCTGTACAGCGAACTGGACAAGAAGTGATTGTCGTCAGACGCCATCACCTGGAAAACAAGAACACTCGTTGCCTTAAAGGGGCCGTAGAACGTGAACCCCGTTAACCCCGTCGTTGTTGAATAGAGTAAGTAAGTACATTTTATTTGTATAGCACTCATCACAGACATAGAATCACAAAGCGCTTCACATAGATCAAAACAAAATAAAACAAAGTCATAAAATCATAAACAGATTAGCATCATAAAATCAAAATGATCTCAAAACAGAATCAGATTAACATAAAAAAAATAGTCATTAACAGATGAAAGATTAAAAATTTGAGTTAAAAATAAGAAAATAAAAGGTTTAGGTAAAAGCAGCTTTAAATAAAAGGGTCTTCAGCTGTTTTTTAAAAGTGTCCAGACAGTCAACGCTGCGTAAGGATAAAGGAAGATCATTCCAGAGTCAACAGTCTGGAAGGAGCGATCACCTCCACTTTTATATCCGGTATTTGGAACTTCTAGAAGTTTCTGGGGCCTCGTTTATCCAACATTGTGGAGAATCCTTACTAAAACCGTACTTAAGCTCAGCAAAAAAAAAAAGTACCTACGCCAAGTAGGTTTGTGATCTATCAAACATGGAGGACGCACAGCTGCACGCAATCTCCGCTTCATAAATCGGAGACTAACGAGAATGTTTCTCAGCTGCATTTTAGTTACATCCCGCCCTCACCACGCCCACTTACTGCCATAAATGGTCAATGCAAAGTGCCTTGTGGATCTCATGCATATACATAAGCCGGCTGTTGCAGCGCTCCGCCCATGACATGGCGACCGTAGATCAAGGCAGATCAAGGAAGCGCAATTTCACAGAAGCAGAAGTTGAGGTACCTGTGGGTGAGGTGGAGAAATGAAAGGAAGTGCTTTTGCAAAACAAAAGAAAATCCACGGAGCGGCACAGCGGTGCTGAAGCCGTCAATGTTATGAATTCTTCAGGGAGGGTGCGGTGGCATCAGCTGGCATAGGCAAGATGATGCCCGCACTGCCCGCTCACCACAGCCATGGAATACACCTCATGATCACACAACACTGTATCGGAGCAGGCGGAGGGAGACTAGGGGTCTTAGCCACCTCTGTTGCTGCTTGGCTTCCTGGGGCTGGAGGCTAGGAGGGAGATCTGGCCGTCTGGTTGGGGTCTGGGGTGGTGGGTTGCTGTGCTCAGCGTTGGGCGGGGGAGCCTGCTCATCAGCACCCCAGCAGAAATGGTCAAACTCTGGGAACTGGTGATGGTTATACCCCATGTGCAGCAGTACCGGGACCAGAGTGAATAGGGTGTGTATGGGGAGCATGAGTGGGTGTCCGGCGTGCATTTTTGTAAGTCTTGGGTTGTATGTGCATGTGTGAGCATGAGGGAGGGAGCGTGTGACTGTGTTTGTGTATGACTGTATATGTCAGGTGGGGCCTTTGGGTCCTCCCCTCTCCTGGAACTTCTCTTGATGATATAGATCTCTGTCCCCCCTCCCCCTGCCACACCTGGTGTGAGGGGTTGTGCCATGGTCTGCCTGAGTGTTCGTGGCAACCGGGTCTGGGGGTTTAAGATTTTGGCATCTGCCTGATAGATCCTGGTGGCTGCCTGGTGGGGTCTGGGTCCCTGGGCTCTGCTGGGTCTCCGGCGGGGGTGGTCGCCCCTGGGTCCCGGGCTCGGCCGGCTAGGGGGTGGGAGGCTGCGGGCGGGCCTGTGGGCTTGCCGCTGATATCTCCCGGGACTCTGCCGGATGCTGGTTGTGGCCCCCCGGGGTGATCCTCTGTGCCTCTCGAGGGGGACGGGGGCCTTTCTGGTTGCAGTCTCCTTGGGGTTCCTGTGTTCTGGGGCAGCGCCTGGATCTCTGGGACTTGGAGCTCCTCCCGTCTCCTACGCATCTTTGGGGGGCGGATCTGTGGTCCCTCACACTCTCTATTGGACGCTCCTATAGAGAAACCTTACATATACAAGCGCGTGTACACACACAGTTGCTCACATGGTGCTCTCAAAAGTATGGGCTTGGGCACGTTCAACACATGTCTTAAGACTATGGTGGGCACTTAATGCACTGTGATTTATTATCGTGATTCTTCAGTTAAGCAATGTTGATTATCTATTTCTTCATCAAGTTGACGCAGTGATAGCTAGATCTTGTTGTATTGTTGTTGTGTCCCTTTTTTTTTTGTCTTTTTCTGCAGGTCTAGAAGCAGACTCTTGTTCATTATTGTTTATTTTTGTGGACACCCCCCCCCCCCCCCCCCCCTCTCCCCACCTTTTCTTTTCCTTTCTCTTTCACCTCTGTCTCCGTGTCTGGTCGGAATTACAAAACATTCAACAACAATAACAATAAAGTTTTAAGTATCAGGCGTGACGTTAAAAGCAGACGCTTTGATGCTCCACCTGAGAGTAAATCTGTAAGGCTTGTCACCAGCATTCAGACATCAATTCTGTTTGCTTCACAGCCAGACAGGACACGGTAAGAAAAAAAAAAAAAAAAAAAGAATTCTTCAGGGAGATCTGTGGCGGGTATAAAAAAAATGGTCCAATCAGGATTCGAATCCCCAGACTCCCGGGTGAAAGTCACACACGCTAACCAGTCACCCAAATAGAGATTCCCCTTGTACAAGTAGCCAGGGTGCATGATCAATCGGGTCACAGTGACAGGACACACAGGAGTAAATGGGGGTGAAAAACTTGCCCTGATATTTCTGCTTTTATTCTCAAAGACTGCTAGAAAGTTGTTGCAGTCAGACCTTGAGTAAAGTGGCATAAGAAGGACGTGAGGTGAAACAATCTGGTTCATGGTGTCAAACAGGACTTTAGAGTTATTTTTGTTTACAGCAAGTGGCCCTGGAAATGTTCACCGTCTCATTCAGGGATGTTATCAGTTCTTTAAAGTACAGCCCGTGACTTTCTAATCTAGTTGACTTCCAACCTCTCTCGGCTCTGCGGCATGTCCTTCTGAGACTGTAAATGTTTTGATTAACCCAGGGACTTTTTCTCTTGCTAGAAAAAGTGATCTGCTTAACAGGAGCTACTTTATCTAAGATACTGCAACGTTGTTTATCCAATGACTGGATGAACAAGCTGGGATCTTCACCCTGAACTGAGCTGCTGTCAAATAATCTAGAAAATCCATCCACCGCTGACTGATTAATGACACATCTCTTTGATTTTAGGTTGTGAGGGACAGATTCAACATTAGATAGGACATTAAAGATAGTGGCTGATGGAAAACATCTCGTCATGACGTTAAAAAAGCTGACATTCCTGATTATTGAATCACCTACCAGCAAAGTGGTAGGTGAAAACAGTGGACGAGGTGTAGAGGGCTCCTGATTTGTGTTCCCGTGGAGGTGTGGAGGATTCTGGGGTTGGGTTCCTGTGGTTTCGTGGAACTGGAGGGTTTTAGGTGGAGGATTTGCCGTGGAGGAGCTCACCTGAGCCAGGGCAGGAGGTCCAGCAGAGTGTCGACGCACAGCATCCTTTAGTATTTTGGATCGGGCAACAGAGGTTAAGGTCTGGGGGGGAAGAGACTGCTGAGGTTGCTTCTTCCGGACTACAGGCTCCTTCCTGCTGGATGGGATTAGATGGTTGGGAGGGAAGAGGAGGCCTGGAGGAATCAACTGTTTGTTCCTCAGCAAGTGGAGGGAAGCGGTTTGAAAGACTGAGGTCAGGTGGGGAGTTGGGATCAACCACACGGGCTCTCCTACGGCCACGTACCACAACCTCTGACCAAGATGAAAATTGGTCAGGAGTAGAGCTGGAAGTTGGATTTCGTTGTGCAGAGGGATCCCAAGCAATGGTGCCTTGGAGTCGAGAGTTTAGCACGGATGTTTTATCTTCAAACTGAATTGACAGTGGTCTCAGACAGTACAGGAAAACTCTTCATTAAGTCACCTGCTGTTTAAACTCTGAAATAAATCTTGACATTTGCGAGCAGAAATAAAAATGTGCAGAAACAGACTTTTATCCATTTGTTTATCATCATTTAGGGATTTGTAGTCCAGGTTTTTGGAATGCATCAGATAAAACTGTTTGAAATCAGCTTTTCTTTTTCTAAATAAACTGTGCACAGGAAGACACAGGGAAAAGCAGTGTTACCATGGCAACCAGGCAACTCGGCTCTTTCTCAACTCTGATTTTTTAACATAATGACACAAAAATGCTGTAAAATTTCACTTCCTTGTCTCACTAAATTGTAATTGGGCTGCAACTGACTTAAATGGGTAAACGTAAATGGTAAATGGCCTGTATTTGATATAGCGCCTTCTAGAGCCCTGGAACCCCCCAAGGTGCTTTACAACACAATCAGTCATTCACCCATTCACACACACATTCACACCCTGGTGGGGATGAGCTACAATGTAGCCACAGCTGCCCTGGGCGCACTGACAGAGGCGAGGCTGCCGAGCACTGGCGCCACCGGTCCCTCCGACCACCACCAGCAGGCAACGTGGGGGCTCGAACTGCACCCTTCCGATTACGGGGCGAGCACTAAACTCCTGTGCCACCGTCGCAAATCAGTTGAAGAATCTTAAAAACCTGTTTTACCTGTGAGTTGACTAGGCGGATGGTGGTTTTAGAGCCCACGTCTTTCTCAAAGCCGCTGGTGAGTGCGGCGTTGAATCGCAGCACTGCATCATGGGAATCTGCAGTTAAAAAAGGATTTTTAGAGGAACTTCGTGATGTTTCAGTTCCCATAAAAAACCAGAACAGGCAAATCCTTAAATAAGCAGAATGAGTCAAGAGAAGTTTCCGTTTCCAGAGCTGAACCAGAAAAAAATAAAACCAGGAGGGTCACCTCGTTACGTTTAAAAGTCCCACCGGAGCGTCGCGGTGGCCCAGATTAAACATCTGAAATGACTTTCACACTGACGACATTTGCTCTATTAGATCCCATTAAAACAATAATCCGGGTAAATCTCACCGATTTCTTTGCCCAGTCCAGAGTTGCGCAGTGACCCAGCTGAAGAGACCACGGCGCAGCTTCTGTACGGCCCGAGGTCAGAGGTCAGCTGTTTTAATGGAAGCTGACTGGCCCAGGGCAACACTGAGAAGGGCTGGAGGTCAGAGGTCAAAGTTGTGACTTCCACCTTTTCCTTTAGTTGGCAGAGAAGCTTGGGACCGCTCAGCTTCGGCCTGCCAGAGATGCCACCAGGTCCCGACACCTTTACTCCATACTTATTCATCGCCTGACCAACAGAGAAACACCGGTCTGGTTAAACGAGACGTCCGGTTAAGAGACACATTCAAGTTGCGGCAGAAAGTCTCACCTGGTAATTCTGCACCACCTTCTTCATTCTGCTTCCCAGCATGCTGCTGGACATGTCTTCATTCCACACTTCTCCCAAAAGCCCGTGAGGTCCAAAGAACTCTACGTCCTTCCTGCCACTCAGCTCCCCCTTCCGCTGGGCTCCGAACAGGCTTTCTAGCGCTCGTCTGAAGGGGCGTGGCAGCAGGTGAGCTAAAAACCCAGAGGGCTCCCGCGCTCGCATTTGCTTTGAAGGAGGGCCCAGGTCCGCCAGGGTGTGGTTCTGTGAGGAGAGGACAGGGATCGGTCGGTGGGGGTCACCTGGAATGACCCCTGGGAGCTTCTGAGGGTCGATGTACATGGATTTAGCCCCACCTCGAAGCACCTGGAGCCGTAACAAGAACATCGAGTGAAGTTTTCACATCAAAAGCTGCTGTGGTAGCATCACAGACGGAGACAGACCACAGACCTTGATGACCGAGTGTGCACGAGGTTGAGCCCGGGTTCGTGCTCGCACGCCGAAGATGGCATCAGTTACGGGAACACTGTTTTCAGCACAGATGGCATAGAGCAGAGCCATGGAGACGCAGAAGAAGGCGAGGCAAACAGCTCCGCGGCGAGCACGACGCCTCAGACGCCACAGCAGGCTAACCCTGTCCATCGCCGCCGCGGGGATCTGAAGACAAACCACCAGACGTGATCAAAGCTTAGAGAGTAAAGCAGTAGAAAATGTAAAACAGATTCACAAAATTCCTCTAAATCAATCCTGATTTTCATATCTCGAAGAAAATCACTGGCGTAAAAAAAACAAAAGGACGACTTGGCCAAACACCAACAGAAAACGGATACTTTTATTCACTTCAGGAACGCGTACAGAAGCAGTGGAGACCCACAAGTCAACACTAACGGATGCAAAAGAGTCAGACGTGCATAATGTGTCCCCTTAAAGACAAAAAACCATCAAATCTTTGACAAATCTATGTTTTAGTTTCCCTTCAAATACGAATGATATGAGTGACAACTTCCTGTGAAAAGAAACCAAAGAGATACGGTGCTGAAAAAAGAAATGAGGTCGCTGCCCCGGGTGGAGGATGAAATCAGGAAGAATGAGCAGAAAGGAGGAGGGGGAGGACTTGATTCAGAAAACCCAAAGGCCCGCTTCACCAACGCTCACGTTGGGTCCGTCGGGCACTACAGAACCAAGCCGCACCGAGGCTAAACTAGAGATCACGTTTGACCACATTATGTGTAAAACAGGATGTTTTGTTTAAAGTGTTTATTTTACATATTTACATAAAGTCATTATTCATGATCAGAGATTAACTGGAAGCTTCTCCGGTTAGGCGGTAAAAATGTTAAAAAGTCTTCAGCCGGATGGAAATTTCTGCATAAAAACCCGACCCCCAAGCATACGTTTCTTTTGGTTTTTAGCAGGGACTTCATGGTTTTCCTGTATAAATGGTGTGTTTTTAACTAGAACATTTTTCAGTTACAATTTCACATATTGTGATTTTTGAGGAGTAAAAGGAAGTTTATAGGATTTACAGAAAGTGTGCAATCATTGTTTAAACTAAATTAGGCAGGTGCAGGCATTTGGGCACCACACAAAATAAATTCACTCATTCTTTAGTAGATCTGCAGAAATAACAGTCCTTCCAACAGTCCTAACGCTTCCTTTAGATCCAACGAGAGTCTGGATTCTGGTGAAGGTATTTTGGACAGTTTTCTCCAGAATTTGACTTTGAAGGCGTGTGAGATTTTGCCTTTAGTTGAACCTAAATGAATGAACTTCAAAACAAAAATCTTTACCTTTTTTAGTTACATCTGATTCAGAAAGCACTTGGATGAATGGCTTACCGGTCTTCCACGATATGATGCAGGAACCCACCACAATCCTGACTCCTAATATAAAGCAAGGCTCAAATAGACCTTCAGAACGCTTCAGGGTTGTCCACAAGTAAACAACTCCTGTTCCTGCTAGCAGCGCTGGTTCCATGAGTCAGAGGGTGTGTCTGACTCCAGGGGCAGGATGCTTTTGAGGACGGGTCCTCCTTGCTAGACTGCTAAAACCGGAACCCAGCGGCTCTGAATTCGAACAATCTAGCCTTCACCTCTACCGTGACCTGTAGGCCAAGTCATAGCCGTGGCGGCAGCTACACGCAAAGGAAATATGCTAAAGCTAGCGAAAATCGAGCAGGAATATTAAGGAGCTACAGCAGCTTCACGTCCATCAGCAGCGTTTGTTCTCAACCGTTTTCAGGTAAAGTAATTTAGTTTATTCTAGAAGCTTTCAGGACTCACATGTTAACTTTAGATGGTTTCATGTATGTTTTAAGCTACAGAATGAACTTGTTAAATGTGCACAACACATTTCTACAGAGTATTATCATGTAGGTAATTAATATAAACCAAATGCATTATAAATGTTGAATGCAGTAGGATGTTTTCAAGTGTAAATTGGACCTCAGGACTTCTTATTTTGCATCAAATAAGGGTAAAACGTTTTAAAAACAGGCCTTTTAATAAAATGAAGTGATTTCAATGTGCATTTGTTTATTCAACTTAAGCCTAATAATGCTTAGATATGTCTTAAAGATGTAAATTCTCTGTAGTTTTTATTTAAAGAGCAAGTCACCCCCTACCAGAGTATTACATAACTGGTCCATACTGGTTTTGATCTGTAAATAAGTGTAACGTATTATAAATAATCTTGTCTCCTTACCAACTTTTCATTTTCTGTTAATGTGACATGTTCAAAAGCATCTGTAATAATAAAACTGGTGATAAAATGAAAGAGTTAACAGTTAGTATTTGTTTTAATAAATGTGTTCAAATATCAAACAGCTAAATAACATTAACATGATGACAGTAGAAGGCCTCTCTCCCAGGAGGACCACCAGGTAAAGCCTCTCCTGACCCAGGACACCTGCAGTCCTACAGAGAAAATCAGACCACAGGTGACAAAAAGGCAATAAACACATTTTACATTTATCCACGAGAAGATAAAAATTATATTCTTCACACAAACACTTTTTACTTAATTAAAACGTGTCAGCTTTGTAAATCCCTGAATGTAAAACTACTTTTCACAGCAGAACTTCTGTGGTTGTGTGTAAACAGTTTCACTCTTCACCTCTAAGCTTAATAAAAACGCTTCTTTGCTCTGTCATCCCTAAAACAAATGATAAGAAGCTTAATTTGCTAAAGAACACACACACACACACACACACACACACACACACACACACACACACACACACACACACACGCACGCACGCACACACATACACACACACACACACACACTCACACAAACGGGAATAACTACAGGACCCGCGATACAAACTCGTTCTGGCTGATTTCTGCCTAAAATGTAATTTAAAAACAAATATACAAAAGAAAAATGTCTATAAACTGAACCGCTTTAAGCTTTTTAGGTTTCTACCGCTAGTTTTTAACAAACTTACGTTTAAAACGTTGTTGCTCTCCCCATTTTCTCTTCCTGTTGAAAATCCACAGCCGGCACGCAAAGCATGCTGGATAGCCTTGTTCTGTGAGGATACAACAGACCCATCCTCGAAATTTGGGCGGAGCGAGGACGCGTTTGAGGATGCAAGAATGAGTATTCTTGGATTTTAGACTCGCTGCGCTGTGATGTCATCGACCTCAAATTGCGTCCTTACAAGCATCCTGCCCCCGGATTGGGACACACCCAGAGTTAAGGTTGTATGACAAAAGGACATAAACACCCTAAAGTGGGAGGCAGGGCTTGACAGATTGGGGGGCGTGGAGACATCAGCTGATGCTTGTTTGGCATGATGATGCTGATGATCATAAAAGGACAGCAAAGCTACCCGAGAGTAAGTGATGGACCGGTCATTACTGCACCCAGTTTTGGGAAGGTGGGGTCATTAGCAGTCGTGTAGGACTGACAACAGTGACAATAGCAGAGTAGGTGGTTAACATTCAAGTGCTAGAAGGCGAGACTAGCGGCCTTCATTAGATGGTCAGGGCTGGGAGTAGTTGGATCCAGCCGTTGGATCCAGTAGATATCCTTGCAAGTTAATCCCTGAGGCATTGGACAGCATTTGAACCTCAGACACTCGGGGTGTTGACGTGTCTTCTAAATACCAGATTTTTGATGCATGTGTATATTTTCTGACTGAAGTTAGTTTAACGGTGGAGGGAGGGACCGATATGTGTGTTTAGCCCGAGATTGGGGGCAGGTTTATATGTTTTAAGGGTGTTGTGCCTCTGAAGGGGATGACTTGTAGTGACATGTTTGCTGTGGATTTACAATGTTTTATTCTCTTTTTGCAATGAATAAAGTTGTATTTTTGTAACTTGTGTCCACTCTTTTCCATAAGAGATTACTCACCTTTTGCACAACCATGTGGGTCTCTACTGCCTCTTTAATTGCTGCAAACATAAATAAAAATCATCCATCAGTTTTCTGTAAGATTTTGGTTTCAGGAATCATATGCTTCTATGAGCCGTTAGAAAATGTCTCCTATTGTGAGGTCACAATAAGGGACATTAGCATAAATCCCCTTCTCACCAGTCAATGCTGACGGAGCAGCTCTACCCTGGTTTCCCGCAGCATAATCAAGCTCATCACCAGATAGTAGCCAATCAGAGGATAGGTGGGTGTGGTCAGCAATAGCTTGTTTTCTTAAAGTGACAGAGACCTGAAATGGCTCATTCAGGAAGGTATTGAAACAGAATAAACTGCTGAAAATACTTTTTGTGAGCGGAATTTAGTACAAAGAACTTCATAAATATGTTTTATATCAACCATAAAACTATTATAAGTTGTTTAATTAAAGGTAGAATATGTCCCCTTTAACAACCGTTCGTAGAGCATTTCTAAAGTCCCAACATTTCATGAAGCATTTTATGAACTTAGCAAGAAAAGAAATAGTACAACACAAAAATTCTAAGGAATATGGAGATGTTTGAGGAAAAGGTGTAACATTATTACATTGCAATATTACCTTAATATTATTACAATTAGAATATTATTAATTTACATTAAATCAAAGCCGTAATAGCCCCAAAACATAAAATGCAAAAGTGTAATGTCTTCAACGCCTTTTTGTTGGCGAGGACTTCAAAGGAGTATTTATCTTTAACGACTCTAAACATTTATAAATGTGATGTTTATTCCATCGACTGCTATCTTGGCAACAGTCATGCTCTGCAACTTACTGATAAAAGTATTGTCAAGACAGAAAAAATTAAATAAAGAGACCAGAGGTACGAAATAAAGCTGAAAAAGAAAACCCAATAAAAATATGCACTACATAGCCAGCTAATACATATAAATGCATGTTTAGGTTGATTAGCTGCCTTTTTACACCAACAACTGGCAGATAGATAGATCCTGGCACTAATGCAGGATTGTGTGGTTTCTCAAATGGGGCGTGCATGATCTATTTTGGGTTTAAGTGGTTTTTTTGTTTCCACAGGAAGGTCTCATACCTCCTAACCTCACAGGAAATGGGTTTTAAAGCCTCTGTATGCTAGCTATGTGTAAATATAACATCATCAAGAATTAAAATCAAATGGTAAATACAAGAGGTTTGACATGTTGGCTAAACGAATGGAGAATGAGAGGTTATCGTTACGCTAACAAAATTTAACTGGTCTTTGACCCAAAACTGGGGGGCAGATACATTAATGAAAAACTAAAACTAGTTTGGTGCAAGATGCCCAACGGAGGACAAAACCATAAAATGGACAACACAAAAGGCAATACTCGTTTGAGGCTAAGCCTATGTATCGAATGTGTCGGGAAATATTTATTTAAAGCCCCATCTATGTGTAAAATCAGCAAAACACTATCTACTGTATGAAAATGAGGAAATGATGTGTCAGCTGAGCTAACGGAGACTGAAAGAGATTACTGTTATGTCAACAAAACTTAACTGACTTTTGTGAACAAAACCCAAGAGAGGAGCCAGACTTGGTGTTTCCTCCAACATTTATGAAAGTTGAAAAGAGTTTGTTGCTAAATACCCAACTAATAAAGGACTGTTGCTAAATGATGAAAACGTTTCAACACGTGAGGTTTTTCTCCATTTGGCCTTTTTCCTTGAAATTAAGAACACACACGATGGTTTAGAGGCTGATTAGTGGTGCTGGTGTGTGTGAACAGCATTTAAAAAAGAGAAGGAATTGACTCGCCCCTTTCGCCTGATGAACTCCTTTCTCTCTCAGGCTTGGCTTCAAGAAGAGTTTCCTTGGTTACCCCTTTGGTTCTTGGCAAAAGCATAATGAATCTTCCAGCCTTTCCTAGGCTGGTCTTTGACTAAACTGGATGGATCACTTCCCTGTCAGAGCAAAATTCATTGAGAACACAAGCAGATGGTAAAGCCTGGTAAAGTCTGGTAAAGTCCATGAAGGTGGGAATGGTGGGAGTGTTGTTGCGGCCCGGGCCACAATGTGCATTCATTAAAAGAAAACGGTGAACATAAGCATGGCGTGCAGGTCGTTGGCCATCTAGTATGACCCGCCCAGCGACAAATTACGGAGCTCTTTAGCAACCAAATTCAGCATCCAAAAGTCAGTGAAAATATGACTTTAGTCTGCAGTCGACCAATGAAAATACACCCAAGGACTGATGGAAAAACTAGTAATGAGTGTAAAATGTGATAGCATTAGAAACATTAACAACAACATGTAGCCCAGCAGGACCAGTCTGCAACATGTTTATGTGCTTCAAACGGGAGGATTTGGAGTCTTATTTCCTCACATCTTGCTGGAGATTGGATAAAAGCAAAGCAACACTACCACTGACCCTGTTTGCTCAGAGACATGGATGTTTTATCTCCACAAATATCACAAACCTGGAGGAGCTTCAGCTGAGTGTTTGAGTTGTTAATGCTAGCAGTTAGCTTCTGTTTAAAGAGATGTTCTCCGTTGTTGCCTGGACGCTAAACCAACAACAGCCTTCCCCGTCGTGAGTCAAGATGGGTGAGCCCATGAATGCTAAGTGACAGTGTGACATAGATCTGTCAGGATTTTCTAATCCTAGAGTTTCACCATCTGTTTTCTATCAGAGGCTAATGCAGGAGATAGGTGTAGGAGACTATCTTCATGTTCAGCCTGCATGAAACACTCAGAGTGGCATGTTAAAATCAGATATAATCAATAAAACCAGGTTTTTCAGTGTTCCACACCTTTGAACTATGGCTGCCTTTAGACTTTCAAGCAACTAATGACCCATTAGTGTGCTACACCCCCCCCCAAAAAATGTTTTAATGTTTTGTTAAAAAATTGTATACAACTACATCATGAATAAAACTTTATGATCAGAGCAAAATATTTTAAAAAGATCTTTCACAGAGAAACCATTTACTTTTTTAAAGCGATTGGCTACTGAAAGGACTAATTCAGTAGAATATAACATAAAATCATGGACGTCACCACTAGCAGAGTAAAAATTCTACAAAAAAAAAAAAAAATAAAAAAAAAAAAATATATATATACGTATATAAATAAATAAAACATTTAAAATGTTGAAACAAGCCTGTAAAAAGTCATTCATACCAGCAGATATTTTATTGCTCTTTTAAAGAGACAATGTGTAGTTTTTACCATTAATTTCTGGAAACATCCATCAAAATGTGGTTGAAAATGCTCAGTTGTTGAAAATATTGGCAGCTTCTTAGCATAAAACTATAAATATTTGGTCTAAAATACATGGGAGCGGGTCTATATCTACGCCCTATTAGACGGCATGTTTCCTTCTACGGGAGCCCATAAGGACAAAATGCATTTACTGATTCGTAACAAACAGTTACATAACTTTATCATTCTTAAATGTTGTTTTTTTTTACACATTTACCTCTTCACTTGTTGTCAGTGATGAGAGTCTGATGTGCTTGTTATTTTGCTAACGTTTGCACTCCCCAGGGCTTTTTGACCCTAATGGGCATCCATTGGTAAGGTCTTACTCCAACACAAAAATACTGCTTGCTTGCAATGATTTATGTATCTACTGCCCCCTATTGCCAGGAAAAATACACACTGTTGCTTTAAGGTTGTGGAACACAGAAAAATGTGTTTGAATTATTTATGATTATAATCTGTCATAATTATAGTCTCCTGCATTAGCTTCTGATAGAAAATAGACGGTGAAACTCTAGGATTAGAAAATCCTGACAGATCTACGTCACACTGTTACTAACATTCATGGACTCGCCCATCTTGACTCACGACGGGGAAGGATGTTGTTGGTTTAGCGTCCAGAAAACAGCAGAGAACGTCTCGGCTAGTAGAAGCTAACTGTTAGAATTAGCATCTTCACCACATAGCAGAACTCCTCCATGCTTGTGGTGTTTGTGGAGATAAACATCAACAAGCAAACCGAGACAGTGGTAGAGCCGTGTTGCTGTAGCCCGAGGCGAGATGTGTATCAGGAAATAAGACCTTCTGTCTGTCCTAATCCAGTCCAGTCATCTGATGGTACTTTCTCCTCCAGACGAATCGTCCATGCTGAAACACGCACATTCTCCTCCAGAGTACGACTTACAAGGCATTCATTCCTACTAGACACTGCAGATGTATTAAAAATATGAGTAAGGGACCTCTTTGACAAACAAGTTTTGAAATCCCAAAGAGAAAAGGTTTTGTTCCCGATCAAATAAGTAAAATGCATCTTTTTAGTCGAGGTCTTTTTGTGATTTGACCTTCTGCACTTCCTGCTGAAAAGACACTGAAAACTGAGCACTGAATGCCGAGAGGATAAGAGAAACGAGTCTCTGGAGGAAACAGCTGTTTCCACTTTGCCTAAACAGAAGGAGCAGGCTGTTTGTATTCACTCGTAGTTCTTTCGACCGCTATCGGACACCACCGTCGAAGCTCACACAATGATTTTCTGATTCTACATCGCCACAATTATCAATCTGCGGAGTTGCTGTTGGCAGGGCCGGATTATCATTGCAGGGGCCCCTGGCCACAATGTGCTTAGGCTTGTTGGTCTCCTCTCTTGCCTTCAGAAAAACTGCTTTCTGGCCTTTCTATTATTAAAATCATTTGCAATGTCATCAAAGCACTGAGGCGCTGTTGAGTTTGTGTTCTTCTCAGTTCATTTTTTATTCTTGCCATTTGTGAAAATGATCGTCCCCCTTCACAATTTGCAACTGGAAGAGTTAGAAAAATCCACAGGGCCACAAACACATCAGGGAAGGTGGACTGCAGACTATTTTTAGCCTGAAAACAATCCTGGTTCTACTTATATTACATTATCTATGTGGACTCTCTGGGGATTATCTTGAGTTGAGAGTGCAAAACTCTGATTGTTGACGCGCTCCAGACATCTGCGTCCTGAGCACGGCCACGGTAACATGATCAAATTAGGTGTCGCCACCTCAAAAACTAATTTAACACGCGATTGTTCATGTCGGCTCATTTCCTTTAATGTTTTCTGTCTTTTATTTGTGCCTGATGTGTTTCGCTGCTGTGGAGCGGGGCGCATCACCTCACCGGTGCGGCTGGCGCGCACTCCGCTGTTTTTGCGGTCGGTAGATCTTTTAGAACTGCAGTTCAAAGGTAACTCATAAGGTGACTATATATGAACACAGGTAACAGTTTTCTTTAGGATTGAGAAGAGATGCAGGAAGATAATAAACAGGCAGGACAGAAAAATAGTCAAATTAAAAACAAGTTAGTTTTTGCACCTGGTGGTTGCAACAAACAGACACCATTGAAGGTAATCAGAAGTGAGGAACAGAAAATTAAGTCATTCTTTCAATGTTTAGAGCAGCAGGAACTCTGAGAGGCTGCAGGCGCATCAGTGAGTTTGCGGCGGTTGCGTGCGGGGGTGGGGGGGCTTAATCAGGGGAACAGTAAAGATGCAGAAACTACCGTTGTTAAAAGAAATGTGTTTAACTTAGAAAATGTGGGCACAATTTTAATTATTTTTCAACATTTTTCTCCAGTGTTAAGACTGCTGCACAAAAAAAAAAAAAAGAATGCTGCTCACGTGGGCCCCCTTGCGGCTGTGGGCCTCTGGGCCTGTGCCCAGTTTGTCCGTATTATAATCCGGCCTTGGCTGTTGGGCGCCGTGGTGATGCAGATTGATGCAAACGCCTTGCAGCAAAATGGTTGTGGGTTTGAAACTCAGCTGGAGTCTTCCTGGAGTTTAGATGTTCTCAGTTAACGTGTGGCAATTCTGCTGAGGTCGAATTAAAAGCATTTCATAAGTTTCAAAGGCTTTTGTTGACTCCTGTATTTGATGTAGCATCTATATTTGCAGTGATGGCTCTTCTAGGCCACTGTTGTTCACCCTGACCTGCTCATCACCAGATTCTAGTCCAGATCTGGAATGATGGCACTCACTCCATCATTAGCCCTGTTTCCATTACCAATACGCCAATATCTGCATAAAGATGAGGCTCTGAGTCCCCTGGTACCACTCACGTTTCTGTTTTTATCTCTTCAGAGGACACCGACATACAATCAGCTCCAGTTGGAGCCTTGGAGTTATGATTAAAGCATTAATATCAGCTTTTGTCTGGATAAAATGTGAAAAGTCTCAAGGTGACTTTAAACCAGACGGTTTTATAATATAAGCATGAGATTAGCAACTTCTGATCCAAACAAGTCCCAAAACAGTCTGTCTTCTCCCCATGAACACACAATCTGCAGAGAGGAAGTGCGAGGCTGGAAGACAGGACTGTGATGCAGTGTGAGTGTGTGTGTGTGTGTGTTTTAATCTGAGTGAGTTTGCTGAAACGCTGCAACAAATCAGCACACCTGCTCAGCTGAAGCATATTTTAATCTAATCCCACCAGAGCATTTCTGTTTGACAGGAAATCACGCTTCATCACCGAACAACAACTCTAATCGGGCTTAACACAGCTACAAGACACCGGAGCATCACGGAGACACGGATTGGAGACGGATTTAGTTACCTTAACGTAACGCTGAAATTTAAAGACGACTCTCTATCGGTCTGAAACCAGCAGCCCATTGGGTAACCTGAAAAGCTCGTCTTTAAATATCCAACAGCTTCTCTGCTTGACCGCTCTTGTGACGCCCGACAGCACAGACGTTTTAAAAAAGTCAAATCACACAAATTAGTTTTTTTACTCAAAATAGATTAAACAGTTAGTCTCATTTAACAAAAGTGCACCTACAACCTAAAAATGTCCCAAATACTCCATTAATATGGATTCATGTTGAAAAGTCTCATTCATTAACACAGACACAAAGCATCTAGAATGCTGCACGAGAGCCTAATAAAGGGAAAACGGGTAACAAAACTGTTCTGTGATTTAAAAAAGAACTACAGCATGGAGCCTAATGAAGGGTTTAAAACTCATGAGAAAACACACAGACAGGAAGTCAAAGAACAGACGAGACAATCAAACGGTACATTAGAGGCAAAGCCGACTGAGGCCAGCTCTCGATGTGGGTTAACAACAGAACCGTTCTTCCCTGCGACTGCCACCAGAGACATTTATGGATGTGTCTTCAAAACAGTAAAAGCAAAGCAAGGTGGAGCAACAGCCAGTGATCTCTTTCTAGGAGTTTCATTTAAGTCTGTTCAGTGGTTCAGTTGGTAGCACTGTTGCCTCACAGCATGAAGGGTGCTGGTTCGAATCCCAGCAGCAGCCTTGGTACGTGGCATTAGGATGTTCTCCACATGCATGTGGGGCTTTTCTCCAGACATTTCCCTCCACAGAAAGAAAATTCACTTTGTTATTTGGAGAATCCTGGTCGTGGATGCTCATATCCAGCATGTTTTAGTTGTTTCTCTGCTCCAACACAGCTCAACAACAGGCTTCTGCATAAAGCCTGATTTATGCTTCTCCGTCTGCGTCAATGCGGAGACACGCAACGCCATTATCCGTCCTTGCGTAGGGCTCCGGCAGGCACGCAAGTACGTACGGAGTCGAGCCCACTTTTTCAAACATCCGTCGAACGAGACGGATTACGCAAGCTTGTGATTGGTCAGGACGCTGCTGTTGTTTACAGCGCCGCCATTGCACCCTCAAAAACATAAAGAGAGCCGAGGATAACTAGCGGCAGACACGGAGAAGCTTGACGAATACCTCACGAAAAAACTCTAAAAATGTGAACGTTTAATTCTCCCGTGATTGGAGGAGTGAAAAGATGTGCAGCAAGCGTTTTATTTGTGGACGGAAATGACAGGAAACGTGGGTTTAGAGGTGGGGAGCGCATGAAGCGGTGGGAGAATGAGAGACAAATATGTCCGTGTTAAAAGTCTCTTATATACACAAAAAACACAATATAAACAAACGATCTTGGACCGATACATGACAGGATACCACAGAACAGCTCTCCGCCCTCTGCTGTCCTGCCGGGCAATTGCTTTGCAACACTCTCCAGGAGACGGAGAAGTATGAGAGCAAAACGCTTCCGTCAATCCGTGCGTGTCTGTCCCTTGCGGAGCTGACGGAGAAGCATAAACCAGGCTTAAGCTACTGAACAGGTGTGTTGGAGCAGAGAAACAACTAAAACATGTTGGACAGGAGCTCTAGAGGACCATGGTTGCCTACCCCTGCTTTGTGCTGTCCCTAGGTGTGATATTTGTCTCTGTGTGTCCCTGTGATGGACTGGAGACATTTTCCAGGTGCCTGAGAGACACCAAATCCCTGCGACCCTAGAGAGGTTGAAGCAATTCAGATAATGGATGAATGGTTCACTAGCTACTCGGCTAACCAACAGAGTCGAATCCAAGAGTTATCGGCTAAATTTCTGAGTTACGTCCAGTTTTGTGTTGACCAAGGTCAGTTTTATGCATAAGAATGTAAAAAAGTATTCATTAATAAATGTAGAAAGTCAATCGACTCCGACACGACTGTATTTAGTGCATTTTCACACCTGTAGCTTGGCTCAGATGAACTGCATAATATAATTATTTGTGAGATTTTGTTTTGTTTTTCAGAGGAAATTACAAAAGAAACAACTTGTCACTACAAACCATGTGAGAATGTTCAGTCTGCTGATTGGTTAGATCGTCTGGGGGCGGGGCTACCAGTGGCAAATACAGGAAGAAGGCTGCAAGACCTGATTCTGAGCTAGGTGACAACCCAGGGCGTTTCTCAATGTCAAGGAACCTTGCCTTGATGTCTTGGCCCCGCTCCGGTTGCCTAGGAGATACGTCATTGGGAGCCGCCAAGATGTGTTCCAATGTTCATCTTCTACCGAGGCGTGTGTTCTCCGTTTGTTAGCTATTTAGCTAGCTGAGCAAGGATACACGGGAGGTGTCTTGTAGCCTAGCCTTGGTCAACAATTCCCCAGAATACACCGCGATAATTTCAAAATGACGGTGGATCAGAAGCCGGCAGCTACTTCGGGGACAATTTTCAAGTTTAAAAGTAAGTCAGCTAATTTAAAATGTTTTTTTTAGATCCAAAGAAGTTATCTATTGTTGGTTAGTTGCTTAGTAGTTGCAGCTTCAGTGGCTAGCGGGTAGTAACTCTCATATATTTAATTTAATAAACATATACACAATTTAAAAAGTAAAAGGCTTGTTATATATTTATGTTGAAACTAATGCGTATAAAATATAACGTTATCTCCCGTGTCACGTGATGTTACGTGACCGCCGTGGAAGCCACAGTCAGGTGATGCAAGTCTGTTCCATTTAACCGTTTTCTTTGACCAAGGAAGGACAGCGACCTCGTACGCAAGGTGCCTGGCCTCGCAAGACATCGCCTCGCAAGGCCAGGCGCCTTGACATTGAGAAACACCCCCGGTCTGACCCCCTCAATCCACCAAACCATTTCTAATCTATATGAAAAATAAATGTTGTGTTGCTTAACTCATATCTTTCTGACACAAGTAGAGGATCTACTTTGTACTTTTTTCTTTAAACTAACATTTATACGTGTTAATCGAATCGGAGTTGGCATCAAACATCAAAGCTGCTCCCATAAACTTGTGCTTTTATTTCACTACTATCTGGATTCATTATCATCACAACCACAGAGATTGTGTAACACAGATGTCCGGTGTTTGGCGGCGTTCCTTTCTGTGGATCGCAGCTGAATCCGAGTGATTCACACAACAGAAAGCGATAAAACAATCATTACCTACAGCAGCTGTTATTCAGGCTGTGAGAATCACCCACTTCTTTACACGTTTTTAACAGAAGTTACCTGAGATTTTACACACAAAACAAACACAAAAAATAACCTTTTCTTTTTACAAACAAGTGCAGAAGTTACCTTGTAGTCCATGGTGTATGCGGTAACGTGTTGTTGTTGATTAGAAACAAGCTGATAGTTTCAGGTTTCCTCTCATCTCCTCTGTAGATGGAGAAATAGGAAAAAAAAGTAAAACATTTTCTGTAGATGTTGTACTTTCTGATGAGCATTTTACAAAATGATGTTGATGCAGGATCTGTTTCATCCAACTGAAAATGTCAGTTTTCTGTAAGACTGTGAAAATCCCGAAAGACGTGCAAAAAGAACATGACGCAAAAACTTTTTACTAATAATTAGTTGAGCTGGAACAAGGTAGTGTTAAATGGCCGTGTTGATATCACACAGAAGACAGTTTAACTGGATATGCATATGCTGATTACAGCTTGGTGTGCTCATGGTTGCTGCATCTCAATTTAAAAATGTTATTTTTAGAACATTTAAAGCTGGAAGAAGTTATTAAGAGGTAAAGAAATATGGAGTTTTTAAATTTCATTTCATTTAACCACAGGGCTCCAAACTAAGCGTTTATGCATCAGTGTTGCTGAATGAGTGAACTCACAAATCTGCCGTCCTGCAAAGAGCTGAAAATCAGATTAGACTCAGCAACTCACTGGATTATTATTATTATTATTATTATTATTATTATTTTATTTTTTGAAAGAGAGAGAAAAATATCTTCATGCAGCTTGAAGAGCTTTAAATTAACTTTTGCTGCTCTAATGCTGGGCTTTTAAAAGCTTGCATATCAATCTTTACTCGGAACATGTGGTTCTCAACTCGGGCCAAAATGGCGTCGGTGTAACATCTTCATTTCGGAGCTCCGCTGACCCACTACTTTTTGATGAACACGGTTAACTGAAGTTTTTCCAAAGAGTCCTAGAAAACAACTTAGTTGACAGCTTTAAGGATTCAACTCATTTTGTTAAATAAAATATTACGTTTGTGCTTTTTTTTCTGTTTTTCAACGTGAAAATCTAATCTGTCGACCCATGCTTGCTCCCTCGTGGCTGAAAATGGAAGACAGAGGTGATATTTGGGATGTGAGGCACACATATGCCAGAAAATGCTAGGAACCGTCTCTCTCGGAGAATGAACCGGCTCTTACTCCACTCCCCGAAACTCCAGACAGCCGTCCGGCTAAAAAGTCAAAACCAAATTTCAAAACCCCCGAAGCTCCGCCAGCTATGATGTCTGTGATGTTACGTATTGAAAAGATGCAAGAGGAAAGCCTTGGCAGATTGGTGCACGTGGAGTCAGCTGTTAAAGAGAACAGCGCTTCCGCTAAAAGTCTGGTTAATGCTAGGGAATCTTTGGCTGGAAATCTGAGTAATCTAGCAGAAAAGGTGGAAACTATTATTGACTTAAAAGTTGCTGCTTCGGAAAAGGAGAATGCTATCCTCCATGAAAAGGTTGAAGAAGTTGACACATATAAAAGGAGCTGGAATCTCAGAGTGGCTGGAGTGGAGGAGCGCAGCGGTGAGAATGTGAAGCAGCTGATTATTGACCTCTTCAGTAAAGTTTCCCCGGATATAGCAGACAAGCTTCCTATGTCTGTTGACATCGTGCACGGATTGGGTCCACGGTCAGATAAAGATAAATCTTCTCGTCGCGTCATCGCACAGTTCATCTCTCGATCACACCGAGACATAATCTGGAGGGATGCTTGAAATGCTGCTGTGCTCAAGCAGAAGAAAATCCGGATTTTAGAAGACCTATCTCAGAGCGTGAAGGAAGCGAGGAACAAACTGTGGCCCCCGGTGGAGCGAGCGAGGAAAGATGGAAAAAGAGCAGGCTTCCGAGGAGCCTTTGCTATTATTGATGGCAAGAGAGTATCTGTTAATAACACGTGAGTATCGTTTTGAAGGTTGGACACTTTGCTGTCTCTTATTTTGAATTATTTTTAAATGGATCTAAGGGACAAAAAATTACAATTAAAATAATAATAATAATAATAAATTAAAACTAAAAAAAATTATATATACTATGGTAAAATTTGCTTTTCTCCAAATAAATCATGCAATAAATCTATCAGAGGGCTTTTTCAACAGCTTTCCATCTCCTCTCCCTATATTATTTTGTTTTGGAACTCTACTATAAACAGTGATGGGCAAGTGACTTCAAAACAGTAATGCATTATTTATTACTTGTTACCCTCATTTTAAAGTAAGTCATTACATTACAATATTACTGATTTTAAAATGTAAGGCATTACACTACTTTTGCATTACTTTAAGTTAGTTTCACCAAAACAACTTCAATATGAATCTGGTCATGTGACGCTCAGTGAGCTCATGACATATATGTGGAAGGTGATGTGGTGTCTGAGCTAGGATTGCTGTTAAAAACAGTCAGATATAATAACAGTGCTTTAAAATGATTGTTTATTACATAAAAGCAACAACAAACTGTACTCTCAGCACGCTGCCATCTTAGATTAACTGAGCAGGGAGTGAGGTGGTGGTGGCTCCAAGCCTATATTTGCCTTGGTCCCCAAATGCCTTGATACGGCCCTGGATGTGGGACTGACTTCTGGGGTGATCTGATTCTATCACATGTATAAATATTAAATGCTTATATATTATTGCTTTTCACTGGTAAACATGTGTATTGGGGATAAATCTACCTACTTTTTTTCTTGATTTTATTTGAATAATTTCCTGCCCTTTCTCTCTCTAACCTTCCTGCATGCTGCATGTTTTCTCCGTCTTCCAGAAAAAACTGTGTCCTAGACTTCCTACTTTCTAACCATCAGCCAAAGGGATCTTCAGATGCACGGCGCTCCAGCAGTAATGAGTTCAAATCACCGCGGCACAGATTATGAACTCAGCTGAGGCAAAGCACGTCAGAAAAGCACAAAATACCAGAGAATATGCGCTGATATGAACGATCGCAAGTGAATTATTTTGCTTTAGTGGAGCGATTTGTTACAGCGGCCGCGTGCAGAGCTGAGCCGTTACCGCGGCGTCCTCTCTGCCCGCAAAGCTGAGTCCATAAATGACGTAATATATGCTGATACTGGATCTTACTTCGGGTTTCCCGCAATTTGAATTTTTAAGGAACACATCTTGATTCTGGGTTTAAAAATGTGTTTTAATTACCGCGTTACTGACAATTGTACCGAGTAAATATTACCATTTTCTTTCCCTGTAATGCCTTACATTACCACATTACAGCAAAAAGCAATGCATTACAGTAATTAATTACTTTTGTACCCCATTACTCCCAACACTGACTATAAATAATATTCCATGGAATAAAACTTGGCTTTTACCCCACAGATATATTTGAACTAATAAAATTAGAGAAGTTTCTTTTAAAATATTACATAACTGTTACCCTGTTAAACATTTTATTTCCCAAAGATTTAAAAAGGACATTGACACCTGCTGTTCTTTCTGTAACAATCATCCTGAAACAATTACTCGCCTATTCTGGACCTGCACAAATACTTCAAAATGTTGGTCTGATGTCTTAGATCTTCTGCAGCTAAAGGTTCTTCCTGATGTCTCCTTCTGTTTGAAACATGTTATTTTTGGATTTTTTTGAAGACAAAGAGAGTAATAGAATCTACATACTGAACCAAATTTTTATTTTTGCTAAATATTATATAAATATACCCATGTCAATCCTTTTTTACCTGTCTTCATCTGTGAAATTAAAAATATGCTGATTCTATTAAAAACTCAGGAAATTTAAAAGCTATATGAACTTGAACCTACTTGAAGAATACGACATGTACAACTGATAACACATTTCCCCCCTCTCGATTCCTTGTAATATCTGATTGTGCTCTGTATTCTTATCTTTTGAACACTGTTTTATCTCTTTGGCCCCTTTGTTTGTTTGCTTGTATTGTTGTGCTTTACTTCGTTTCTATGTGATACCCAATTTTCACTAATAAAGTTAGTTAAAACATGTGGTTCTCCATTGATCTTTTTGACCTAAAATGTTGCACGGACGATTTGAACACAAGGTCGGATTGCATTTTAAATTTTAATCTTTATTCTACTGCAGCATAAGCCAGTCTGTTCTGTGCCAACCCTGCCAGAGTAAAATGTATATTTTAATAACTTTTACAGCTAAAATGATCCCTGCCTCAGCAGAATTACAAGGCTTTCTTGTGCCTTAAACACTGATTAATGTTACTGGGTGAGATGGGAGCAAAGGTTGAACCAAACAGATGGCTCCTAGCAGTTATGCGTGATGACATGAGACAAGATTAACAAAAACTTGGACGTTAAAATGTTTATCTAGATCCAAGTAGCAGGAAATGTAATGATTCAATTATTGTCAATATATATATATTAATGGTGAAAACTAATTGTGCTATATAAAAAACAAAATACAAAGTGTGTTGCAAAAATATATAAATATATATATAATTATTTTTTTTAATAACATAGATATAATTAACATTAGATACACACTCTTGGTGCGCTACCTATCTATCTTCAGGTGTTTTGCAGTATTTTGCTGACCTGGGTTAAGTGATGTTCGTCCGTTACGTCGCGTCGTATCTTTGTTGTTTAACGACGCAACAGGACCAAGCAGCTCGTTGTTTTTACAGCAGCCATCTTTCCGGGGAGCCTCCCGAGTCGCTGCCCTGCTGCCGGTTCTTCCCGTCCGAGTACGCTGTCGGTGTCCGGTGACATTTGCAGTTACCGGACGGAGGGCTAGCGGGTCCTTCTCTACTCGTTTTCTGTGACTACGCACCCCCGCAGCACCGCACGACCAAGCTAGCGTACAAAGAAGAAGCGACTTCCGTTTGAAGTTTCAAAATAAAAGTTGCAAAGTGTGTTGTTTACAAAAGTTCCTGTCAGCTAACACTAGATCAGTGCTTCTCAACCCTGGTCCTCAGTGCCCCCCTGTCCTGCATGTTCATGTCTCTGCTACAGCACACCTGGTTCACATATTTGCATTGTGTTCTTAGGATAACATCAAGTGCTGCAGAAGCCTGTTAATCATGCATTCATTTAAGTCAGGTGTGTGGCAGCAGAGAAACAATGCTGTTGGAAACGGTGACATAAAAAACATGCAGGACAGGGGTGTGCTGAGGACCAGGGTTGAGAAACACTACACTAGATAGTCAGAATATAACTTCCGTCAGTTAAACTCTGAGAAGACTGAATGTCTGATCATTGATTGCCCCTGAGAGCAAGGCTCCTCTGATTAGTCAAAACATTGGCCATCTTCCGTCAAATCAGATCTTGAGGAATTTATTTGTTATTGTCTCTTGAAGGCCACTCACAAATGTTGGTCCAAAACAATTTTTATCATTTGAGAAATATCTCGTAACTGCAAATGTTGGTGTCAAAACATGAACCTGAAATGGTTATCCAGCCAAGCCTTTATCTCCTCCCATGTAGATTACTGTAACACACTTTTCACATGTGAAAAGCAGTTGACCGCATTCAATTGATCCAGAACGTAAGTGGAGCAAACAGAAGAGCTCACATCACTCCTATTCTGATGTCTCTTCACTGGTTAGCCCCTAACTTTAGAGTTCATTTTATAATCCTGACTATAACATTTAATGCTCTACATGGTCAAGCTGCTCCCTATATTACTGAACTGTTAGAGCCTTGTGCTCAAAATCGAGCCCTCAGCTCCACCAAATCAGAACCTTCCAAAGATCCAAAGACCTGATATAAAAGTCGAGGTGATCACCCTTTCTAAGCTGTTGCACCCCGACTTTGGAATGAACTTCCTTTATTTTTCTGTAGCACTGACTGTCTGGTCTCCTTTAAAAGGCAGCCAAAGACTCTTTTATTTAAAACAGCTTTTACTGAAATCATTTGAGTACTTTGACCCTTTTTCATTTTAATAATCATTCATTTGTGTTGCAAATTGTTTTAAGTTTAGGATCATTTATGGATTTATGACCATCATTTTTGCACCTTTGATGCACTGGCGACCTGTTAATGTTTTCCCTGCCACGCCCCATCTCTCGCCCAACGACAACTGAAACTCGAGTCGGCACCAAAATCCCACGATCCCATCGAGCGGTACAGAAAGTGAAAGGTGAAATATTTCACATTTAAGTAAATTATCTAAATAATCATAAAGAATTGACAGACTAAAACTTTTTATTTTTGTATCGAGATAATTGTAAGTTGCTATGTAACTGAAAACACATAAGTTAAATGGAACAAATTATGAATGTAATCCAGATCATTGGGGGGGGGGGGGGGGGGGGGGGGTTCAAATTTGCGTATGTATTCAAATCAGAAAACGAACATATTTTGTTTTATTTTGAAGGATACAACAATTCTAAACATTTCCGGTTTAGTTTGAATCGATGTGAATTGATGAGAATCTGCAGCAACCGAGACACGCAATATCTGCAGGATGGTGGTGGTGGTGGTGGTGGGGGGGGGGGGGGGGGGGGGGGGGGGGGTAACGACCATCATTCTCTACTCCCGTTTCAGTGATATAATCACACTGCTGGCAGAGCCCATTTGATCATAACTTAACACAATAAGTTCAGTGTTCTGCACTTTATAAAACACACATCAGTGAGCTGCATAATTCCAAATTCCTAATCTTTGCAGATCAAACGCATTAATAGTCTGACGAGGTAGTATTATCATGATATTATTAGAAAATGTTTCCCAAGCTTGTTTTTGTGAAGCGCCTCGTGATTTTTATCTTGAGAGGTGCTATAGAAATGATTTTCTTCTTCTACAAGTTTTCAGCAGCAAGAGGCCGGGACATGTAAAAACCAAAACCAAGCCCCCACACGGGTCTGAAATTGAGGCCAACAAGGAAGTGAAATAAATTGCAGTTCCACCCCAACGACATATAAATATTGGACAATGGGTTTCCAAAGCCTCCAATAATAAGTTTTTGAGCTAAAATGGGAGGTGGCCACTGTTATGTATGGACCAAGAGTTATTGTGTGTTATGCAAGTCATCGCCAGTGTGTGTGTGTGTGTGTGTGTGTGTGTGGGGGGGGGGGGGGGGGGCACTATGCCCAGTTATGTGTGTGTGTTACTTCCGTGTTCTGCAATAATAAGGAGAAGAAAACTGGTAACCAAGCTATCGTGTATGCAGTCTGACTCGGTATAAATTCTAATAGTGTATTGACACTACGGTGGAAATATAACATAAATTGGCGACGAGTTGTGACGTCCGAGAGACTTGGCCGTCTACTGAGCATGTACTGACTGCGTGGCCGAGTTTGGACGGAAAACGGACGATCGCGTGGCGACTTAGCATCGGAGCTAGTGGCTAGCTGCTTTTTCTCTGACGAGTCAGAAGCGACAGTGTGGGCTGTGGAAAGAGGATACATCATGGCTGGAATGATTGGGCAGATGGACCCCTTTGATGATGCTGGTGAGCAATGGGCGACGTATATTGAACGTTTTGAGCATTGCATCCTTGCTAATGACATTCAGCCAGAGAAACAAGTCCCGGTGCTGCTGAGTGTGTTGGGTCCCAAGACATAAGGTCTTCTGCGTAATCTGGTGGCTCCGAGCAAGCCTGGGGCAATGGAGTATGACGATATTGTGGGTGTAATGCAAGCTCATTTTGCTCCCAAACCGCTGGTAATAGCTGAGAGGTTCTGGTTCAACAAGAGGAATCAGGGGGAGGAAGAAACGGTTGCACAGTATGTGGTGGTGCTGTCAGAGCCTTGTTGTCATTGTCAGAACATTGCGAGTTTGGTGCGTATCTGGAAGATGCTCTATGGGACAGATTTGTGTGTGGATAAAGTGTGAAACTGTGCAGAAGCGTCTTTTGACTGGAAACGATCTCACCTTTCGCAAAGCAGTTGATTATGCTGTGTCAGCATAGACAGCAACACGTGAAGTGCAGCAGTTGAGTGGTTCCATTAAAGTGAATGCGGTGCTGGCACAAAAAGGTGATAAAGGCCGTCGCTGTGGGAAAATGAATCATACTGATGAGGACTGCTGGTACAAAGACCACGACTGTCATCAGCGTGGGAGTATTACGTCCCCAGCTCTCTAGAGCCCCCTTCAGACAGGCCATGAAAAACGGAAATGTTCCGGACTCTGTCTGTAAGACCTCTGTGTCTGAATACAAACATCCGGATAATGTGTTCTGGAATTTAACCGGACGAAGCCCCTAGTAACAGGTCCGGACTTGTTACGGACAGGGTGGCTGCTTCAGACTGGTGAGGTAGAGTTCCTGACAAGGGGGAGAGGGAGGAGGAGGGGACCGGAGGATGCTGTGCGCACCTAGATAGCCCGCTACTGTAGCATGCGGCGAACGGCAGCTCGCCTCCTACGGTACCGCCTAGACGCGCGACGGAGCGCTTCACACCGCTTCAGTGATTCCTTTAACCATTGAGCTTCATCATCCAGGTCTCTTATACGTCTTCGTGTGCGCAGAATTATGCTTAAGCGCCTCGTGATTTTTATCTTCTTCTTAACATGGGTCCATACACCCATTGTTATCTGGATGACATTCTCGTCAGTGGTCCAGATAAACAGACACACCTGAGAACCCTTAAGGAAGTTTTGGGCAGGCTGGAGGACTATGGCCTGCATTTCAAACAGGAGAAGTGCCTGTTTTTCCAAGAATCAGTGGAACACTTGGGCCACATGATTGATGCGGCAGGGTTGCACAAATCACCAGAAAAGGTGCGGGCCGTTATGGAAGCTCCAGCGCCAGCAGATGTCAGCCAGTTACGTTCTTTTCTGGGAATGCTCAACTATTATGGACGTTTCATACCTGATGTAGCTACCGTCCTGAAGCCGCTGAATGAGCTACTCAGTAAAGAGAAGAAGTGGCAATGGACAACAGCCTGTGAGTCAGCTTTCCAGAAAGCTAAAGAACGTCTGGCTTCACCAGAAATACTCACTCACTACAATCCTGAACTGCCTCTCCGTTTGGCATGTGACGCTTCACCAAATGGAGTTGGGGCCATGCTCTCACATGTCATGCGTGGTGGCCAGGAACGGCCAATTGCTTATGCTTCATGAACCCTCAGTAAAGCAGAGTGAAACTATGCTCAGATTGAGAGGGAGGCATTGACAATTGTATTTGGAGTGCGCAAGTTTCACCAGTATCTCCATGGTAACAAGTTCACCTTACTCACTGACCATTGCCCACTGACCTCCATTCTGAGTCCAGTAAAAGGTACACCATCAATGGCAGCTCATGAATGCAGCATTGGGCGCTCCTTCTGTCAGCACATAATTACACCTTGCAGTATCGGAAGGGGGCATATCACGCCAATGCGGACGGACTGTCACGTTTGCCTCTGCCCCTGGCACATAAAAAGAAACAGGGAGCAGTTGAGGTATTCTATGCATCTCAACTGGGCACCTTACCAGTCAGTGTTGCCGAGATCAGACGTGACACCTTGTCTGATGTCACATTGTCTCGTGTCCTGGAAATGGTAACAACGGGACATTTTCCAGCAGCAAAGGACGCAGATCAAGAGCTGTCACCTTATCTGAGGCGCAGACATGAACTCACAATACAGCAGGGATGCCTCATGTGGGGCGTGAGGGTGATTGTGCCACCTAAGCTGCACTCTTGTGTCCTGCAAGAGCTCCACACTGCACATCCAGGGATGGTGAGGATGAAGAGCTTAGCTCGCAGCTATGTCTGGTGGCCTGGGATTGAGTCTCAGATTGAGCTTCAAGCTAAAGCCTGCCACTCTTGTCAGCGTGTGCAAAAAGAGCTTGTGTTAGCACCCCTGAACCCGTGGTTGTGGCCTTCATGTCCATGGGACCGGATCCATGTGGATTTTGCGGGTCCATTTGAAGG